CTTTATGCTTCCACATCTGAGTGTTTCAGCTGATTCTGCTGACCCTGGGGGATGCCCACATGAGCAACTGAGTGAGCTGTGAGCAGATGGATTCTGAGGATCTGACTTGACTCTATGCTGGGAACCAGGCAACAGACTTCTCAAGATGAGCTATAACAGGGTGTTGTCAAGTAAATGTTGGTTACCTCTAGACATCATAATTTTGTATCAGAGAGAAGACAGTTACTACCATTTAATTTAAGGGGGATAGATAAAAGACCCATCATCATCTATGAAATTTTATGTGATTCAGAGCCTCGATTTCCTTGGCTATTGTTCTGTGGTTTTTGTTTGTTTGTTCAGTCTTTTCTTCTCCACTTGTTCATCCAAATCCTTCTCTTTCTCCCTTCCTTTGCTGCCTTCTTCAAGTGAAAAATCAGAGCAATATTTTCCATAGAATGTCCACATACCTGGTATTCCTCAACACCAAGAGAAAAATACAAGAGCAAAATCTGAATGTAAATAGAACACAAATACAACATACTCTTTTTAATCTTCACTGAGCTTAATTTTGCAGACTTCACCTAGGCCTCACTGACTAAAGGATGTTTGGTTTTGAGTTTAGAAATTGTTGCTCCTGGACCCTTATTTTCCTTCCAGTTGTATTGCTTCAAGTTGTTTCTGAAATACTGAAATTCAGTTTTTACTACTACGGCCTGTCTTAAGATTATGAGGAAGAAAGAGTAAATGAGAATAGAAATTGAACACACTCTGACTTGTACTGAACCTGATTCTGCCACCGTCACCAAGACCCAAGTCCTGCTGCTCTATTTTTCTCAAGACAAGCTTTATTCTTATTCCTTTTGTATATTTTGTATTAATAATGCTACATTTGTATGGGGCTTTATAATAGAATATTTCTACATGGATTATTTCATTTAGTCTCACAGAGAAACTGGAAGTGGGAGGATGGATAGCTCTTTTTTTTTAAAGATTTATTTATTTATTTATGAGAGAGAGAGAGAGAGAGAGAGAGAGAGAGAGAGAGGAGGCAGAGGGAGAAGCAGGCTCCATGCCGGGAGCCTGACGTGGGACTCGATCCGGGGACTCCAGGATCACGCCCTGGGCCAAAGGCAGGCGTGAAACCGCTGAGCCACCCAGGGATCCCCGATAGCTCTGTTTTTAAAAGAGGAAATCAATGTTCATAAGAATCAAGATTCAGATCTGGACTTTCAGAATTCGGGTCCACTCTTTTCACATCAGTGGGGCTCAGGGAGCCACAGAAATAGATTTCCTCCTCTTTCTCTCATGTCTCTTCCTTGTGGATAAACATTAGGATCTTGGTCTGTGTACTTATCTGCTAATTAAGAACTTATTATGATACAATTAGAGCATGAGCTATTGCCCCATATGCTATTAGGTAAGATACACTAGTTGATTAGTGATTAAACTAAATTAAGTTAATAGAAAAACTTGAAGAATATGGTGATGATTGAAACTATAGTTACAGTTCGGTCAGGGGTACCCAAATAAACCCCAAATAACAGTGGATTAAACAAGAAAGACGTTTACATTCTCTGCCATGTAAAATTCTGGAAGAATGGGCTGGTATGATGACTCTGCTTTTGAAATGTTCCAGAGACTCAGGGCCCTTCTAGCTCACAGCTCTGCCAGCCCATGGTGTGGTCCTGGGCGACAAGATGGAGAGAATCATAAAGATAAATCCATGAATAAAAAAGATGAAAATTCTCACCTTTATGAGGGGGACAGTAACAAATAATATAAACAGGTAACTGTATTATTAGATAGTTATAAGGACTAAGGTTGAAATCAAACCAGAAAAGGATGCTGGAGGTGGGAGTGTCAGAATTATAAGGAGGTGGTTAGGTGTGGTACATTGCAGATGTGACATTTGATAGGAAACTGGCAGCCAGTGAGGTGAGAAGAAGGATATCCAAGGGAATAACGTGCCAGAGTAAGTGCGGGGTGGGGTAGAGTGGGTGTGTGTTCGGGATGATTGCAAGAGCAGAAGGCTAATCCTTGATATGTTTGAGGAAAAGCAAAGATGCTAGTAGGGCTAGAGCAGAGGAAGTGAAAGGAAGACAACCAGAAGAGGTGAGAGAAGTAAGGGAGAAACACATTACATACACGGTTGCCTTATGGCTTTTACGCTAAGATGAGAAACCATTGGAGGTTTGGGGTGTGGAAGGGACCTAAGTAGTATTTAATAGGAGCCTTGGCTGCCATGCTGAAGAGTTCCTAGGGGGAAGCAAAAGGAGAAGCAGGGTGGTCAAATAGGTTGCTATTTGCAATCATCCAGCAGAGAGTTGACAGAGGCTTGCACTTTGGTAACAATAATGGAAGTGAGAAGTGGTTAGAGTCTGGATACGTTTTGAAAAAGAGTGCATTCAATTGATACTGCCATGTAAGCAAATTACTGCAAACTTAGTGGCTTAAAGCAACACAAATTCCTTACCTGACAGTTGACGTTGGTCGGGAGTCTGGGCACAGCTTACCTGGATTCCCTACTTTAGCCTGTAATCAAGGCATCACTGGATGCCAGTCTTATCCAGAGGCTTGATTTAGGATGAATCTTCTTCCAAGCTCATTTGGGCTGTCGGCAGAATTCATTTTCTTTCTTTTTTTTTTTTTTTTCAGAATTCATTTTCTTTTGACGCTGGAATTTATGGAGGCTTGCCTCTTCAAGTTCAGCAGGAGAGCTGGCAGCAGGCACCTCCCCCCCCCCACATCCCAGCCAGTGCCACATCCTCTGCAGGTGGAGTCATCAGCCTCCCGTCCCCACACGTCCTCCCTGTTGGCACTGCTCAGGCCAGAGGGCAGAGCACAGAGGTTTCCCTACACTCTACCTCCCCTCCCAGAACACTCCCAGGCTTGGAGTTTTTCTATAGGTTTGGAGTGGGGAGGGTTCCAGGGAAGGTACCCGGACAATAAAGAGATTGGATCCCCCCAAAAATTAACGCTCTCCAGAGCCCCAGTCTGCTAAGAGAGATTCTTACATTACATAGTGTAACCATGGGAACGACATCCCATCACCTGTTCCTTATTCTGTTGGTTGGGAGCCTCACAGGTTCTGCTGTCACTCAAGGGGAGGGAATTTCTGGGTGCCAGGAGGCTGGAATTATTAGAGGTCACTGTAAGGTGTGTCCACTGCAATGAACAAGCAGGATTTTGTTGCTGTTGTTTAGCTGTAGACCAAACACTGAGACAAAGGAGAGAACAGCTGAAAAGTTCAATGCCATTAACTGAAATTGGGGAGAGAGAGGGAGGGAAGACCAAGACCACAAATTTGGCAACATAAAGAATGAGATGCCCATTAAATACCCCCAGGGAGATGTTGCAGAGACAGTGGCATATGGAATCCAGAGTTAAGGAAGGAGGTTTGAGATATAAATTTGGGACTCATTAGTATATAAATGGTATTTAAAACAAAGGAATGAAATCACTAGGGAGTGAGGGTAGACAAAAAACAGGTCCAAGGACTGGGCCCTAGGTTCCCCACATTAAAAAGTCGGATCTAGGATGAAGCAGTAAAGGAGAAGGAAAGTAATAGTGAGATAAGAGGGGTGCATGAGCATGTGCCACCCTTACAGCCTTTACAGGTTGACTTAGTTCTTTAAAAATCTCAGAAAGCAAAGTTTTTTCCCCTTATCTCTCTGTTTTGGGAAACACTTAGCCACCTTTTTCTCTCTGAATGTGCTGCCTTTTTTGAGTGGTCTTAGATGCCAAATGTGAATGGAAAAACCAGGTTTGACCTTGTTGTGTAGGTTCAACAACCAGGTTTGCTTTTCTGCCCAAATAAGCCAACTCAATTCAGTCAGAACATGGATGACACTGTCAGTGGGAGTGTGGGAACTGTTTTAGTTTGAGATTGACACCAAAAAAAAAAAAAAAAAGGCTGCTCTGTAAAGTGTATACCCCCTCAGATATCGGGTAACACATGGCATGTACTACCTCAAAAGTAAGTGGTCTCAAACAATGTCAAGAGAATGAGTCTTTCCTTGATGTATTAGATGTGAATACTGGAGGCATTTTTGTGTATGCCCTTTGGTCAAACATTTATTTGAGTACCCATTGATTATGCACAGAAATTTATTGAAATCATTAAAATGTAAAGACTTCCTATGGGCATAATAAACCACCATTTGTCCACCCAACCATACCCTGCACTTAAGGATTTATTGCAATACAGTTTACTTTGCAGAGTCATTTCTGTTAGTATGGAACCCAGAGCAATAATCTTGAAATTCTAAGTGGTTAAAGTAGAAACAAAGATCCCATTTGTTCAAATTCAGTACATCATAATGTAATTAGCGTCATCGATAATGCAAATATGTATGTATATCTCGACTCATTAGCTGTGTCTACTGAAGCTTTGTGACTTGATTCTTAGTCCCTTTGACATATAACTGAGAACTCCCAATGTTCACTTAGAAAAATATCTGTTCTCCAATGTCCACTCAAGTGTTTCACAGGTGTCTTAGTTGCTCAGCAAAGTCAGAGCTGTGCTCACGGAACAAATTATGAAGCTCGTTTCTTAGTTGGGCGATGATTTTGAATTAATCAGCTTTTGAAGCAGTGTACACATAGTTCTGTCAGCTGTCTTATACAAATTAGGTTATAGTCCCCATTTCACAGATGAGGAAACGGAAGAAGAGCCCAACTCCCTATGAACACAGCCGTCCAAACGCTGCACTTGGGCACTTGGTCAGCGAGGCTGGTGGGCTCCTGTGGGACCACACAAGTGACATCCCAATGGGGGCATGTTGAGCCCGGAAACGGGAATCGCAAGCAGGCTAATGAAATGGCTTCATTGCCTTTCAGACAGGCCTGGAGGTCAAATTAGTTTATTTGTTTTTAATTTAGCTGAAATTATAGGCTGGTTGAAAGATTCTTTTGCCTGCAGGGATCTTTTGAATAGCCATACAAACCTTTTGGTCTCTCTCTCTCTCTCTCTCTCTCTCTCTCTCTCTCTCACTTTCTTCCTCTCCTCTCATTTGCAGGATTAGAAAAGCACTTGGGAGGCACATTCATCTTGCCGGCGTTGTCAGGAGTGATCAGCGAGTTTTATTAAAAGCCCTGGGGTTGCCTGAAAAGCCTCCTTGTCTGAGTTGGAAATGAAAGGGACATGTTAAGATCTTGGGGCACATTGTCAGGACCCCTTGCCCTGCCCCTTGGACTATGAGCTAACATCCCTGGAGGAAGCACAGAAACCCTCCTTTGTTGAAGGGATTTCACTGGTGGACAAACCAAGTTGGCCCCTGACAGCATGAGCTCTCCGAATTGGAGTGGGCACAGTGCCTTGCTGTTGTTGCTGCTGCTGCTTCTCCTAAACTGGGCCAGTCCCTCCTTCATCAGCCTTAACCGCGGGGTCAGGGTGATGAAGGGCAGCTCTGCCTTCCTGTCGGGAGATGACCTGAAGTTTGCCATCCCCAAAGAAAAAGATGCTTGCAAAGTGGAAGTTGTGATGAACGAGCCAATGACCCAAAGGGTTGGGAAACTCACTCCACAGGTACGTCATACCTGAGATTTTTCTATTCAGTCATGTGTATGAATGTGAGTGAGTGAGTGAGTAAGTGAGTGAGTGAGTGATTGTGTGTGTGTGTGTGTGTGAGAGACAGAGAGAGAGAGAGAGAGAGAGAGAGAGAAAGAAAAACAGAACAGGGACAGCCTTCCAAGGGCTGGAGCGGGCTATCTCCTGTGTGATGTGATAAGGTCAGTCTTTATGTGATTATTCCTGCCCCAAATGATCTCATCCATTGCTGGTCAGAGTGCCTTTGAAGAAGATCTCAAGATTTCAAGATGTGTTTTAGACTGTTCTTGTGATCACAGAGTGGCAAAAGTAAAATGTGAAGACATTTTCATCTGTTTCCATCACTGGAACATTCTGTTGAGTGAGAGGAGAGATATGGAAAAAGGGGTGAAAATACTTCACCTTAAATACTCATTGTTCTTCAAAAATGTCTAGAAAATTTTAGTCAAAATCTTGAAGACCTTGTCGTTTGAGAGTATTCTATGTGCAGTCCTTTCATAGGATGAAGTTACCTTCTAAGTCATGGGTTAAAAAAAAAAGTCTGTATTATCACATATTGTCTTTGCTTGAAGTAGGAGTTTATCTTTATACAAAATAGGAAATTGGTTCTGGTTTTATGACTTGTCTCTGCTGTGGTTTAACTTCCTCCCAAGGCAGTTCTGAGAATGTTTAGCATTGGTTGCTGCTGCTGCTTCTGGAAAAATGCACCGTTATTTGTGAACTGTGAAATGTTAATTTTCTTCTTCTCCATTTGGCTAAAGAAACTTATTCCAGGAAGTTACTCAACAGAAGTATCAGACAATGTAGAGACAAACTAAAGAGACTAAGATAGATGCTAACTCACGTGGTTATCGCCAGCTGCCCCATTTACTGCATTCAGAGTCCAGTCCAGTTCTGAAACACATCGCAATTCTATGGTGGGCTCTCACTTAGGGAGTATTCCTGATGTGATAGCAACCAAATGTCTCTCTCCAGTTTCCCATGAGATTTTCTTTTGTCAGCTAGAGCTTCTGATGGGCACCTGTAAACTGTCTGAATATAATAATGGCCCCAGCTCCTAAGGGGTCATATTCCCAAGTGCTTGGGAATTGCAACATCTTCACACTTCCCTCCCAACACGATTTGCACTGCAAAAGTGTGGGTGTGTTTTAAGATTTTGTTTATTTATTTGAGAGACAGAGAGAGCATGAGCAGGGGGAGGGGCAAGCGGACTCCCTGCTGAGCTTGGAGCCCAACACTGGGCTCTATCCCAGCACCTTGAGATCATGACCTGAGTCCAAGTCAGATACTAAGTGACTGAGCCACACCAGTGACAGTGTGTTTGATTGTACTTACGCAGTCAGGGAAAGAGGAGAGACCTGGGATAGCTCATACCTGGAACCCAGATGCGCTAAATGCAATGAGTAGGTGACATGAAAAAGATTAGCTGCAGGTAATGAAGTCCTAACTAGATGTGCATTTGTTAAAAGCAAATCCTTGGCATTTGGGGAAGCAATAGAGGGCCCTAATCCTAAACAGTGGGGTCATGGCTGCACTGATATGTGTGGGTGCCTTATAAAGTTGTGAACTCATCATTTGGTACCCCTTCCAATCAATATTATTTTTAAAAAATTGTCTAACATTTATTTAGAAGTGAGATTATTTTGTGGGGGAAGAGAAAAAAATTCTCCCTCATGTACACTGGGGCAACCTATGGTCCAGGTGTATTATCTCTGGCTCTAAGCAAGCAAAACAAAAGCCCCATTCTTCAGCAGATTCTCCCTCCTTAGAAAGTAATTTGGGGAGAATAAACTTTTCCTTAAGTCAGCCTTGAGGAGTAACCTCTCCCCATCCCAAAAAGCCTATGACTTATAAGCATATGTATAGTACTTTCTCTGCAAGTAACAAAGTTGTCTCCATTGTATATTTTTGGTGATGTTTTAATGGTCTTCACCATCTGGCCGGCTCTGAGATGCTAGAGAGCAAATGGGGATCCAAGTGACTACAACGAGGTAAAACACTTATTTGGGGATCAAGGGTTGTAAGAGATCTCTAAGTCATCTCCATTCCAAACTTCCTTTGATTTTAAAGCAAAAATCCAGTTACTAGAAGAATATGGGGGCGGGGGGTGAGGGGTGGAGGCACTTGGGTGGCTCAGTCAGTTAAGCTTCTGCCTTTGGTTCAGGTCATGATCCCAGGGTCTTGGGATTGAGTCCTGCATCAGGCTCCCTGCTCAGCCAGTAGCCTGCTTTTCCTTCTGCTTGCCACTCCCCCTGCCTGTGCTCACTCTTTCTCTGACACATAAACAAATAAAGTATTTTTTAGAAGAAAGAATATGAACAAAAAAAAATAAAAGAAAGAATATGGAGCAGAAACAACATGATTTAGGGAAGTCTCTACCAGTAGGCCAGGGATGGGGCTTCAAAGTCTCAACTGGTCCTTTCGCGTGCTGTGGCTTAGTGCAAGAAGATGTTCAGTGAGCACATTTCCGGAGGTTGATGTGGTATCACAAGTGGATTTATATGGTCTAAAGTAAATATGGGACTTGTATCTTCTAAAATTTATTGTGTGAAAATAAGGAGGCAGTTGAACTGTGGAGTTTCATTATCTTTCTGTCAGATATTTGTACCGTAAGAAAATCTATGCCTCAAGAAAACTTTGTTTCTCAAACTGCCAGATGATCTTCCTAGTTTATTATGATAATTTCAACAGAAGCCAGATTCCTAAGTAAAGTCTGGTTTTGGGGGGAATGTGTGCTTATTTTTAAGTCAACCCTCCCCCAAGGATGTATTTCTTATGGCATTTTTGAAATTATGCATAGCCAAATGCACACATACACACAAAGCGTAAACATTATTCTTTAATAGCATTTACCAGTAAGTTGAAAGCAAGGCTATGTGAACCCATTTCTAGCGAGATGACTGTATTAACAGAACCCTGCTGTGTAATGAACAGTTTTATTTGATTTGCACAGAAAATGTTTTGTTTAACATCTGTTCAATTAGTGTTTTCATTTCATTACTGAAGTTTGTCTTAGAACCAACAGGTTCATTTTCCTATTGGATATTTGGAAAGGGATTTCAATTGGCGCACACCAGTACCTTCTGTTTAGATAACCCTCTTGATATAGTCAATTAGATAAGGTCGGTGGCAATATGTTTTCCTCATGTTTTAGGACAAGACTTCCTCACACACAGCACTTCTCACACCTGTTTCAAAGCAAGAAATTTCCTGGGTGGAAAAGCACCTCAGTTTAGAGCTGAGCTTGCTTTTTTGAATCGGAAATACAGCCGTAAGAAAACATCTCTAACTTGAACCCGTTTACTGTCATTAAAGTGAGTAATGAGTTAGGAATGTGTGACAATTTAATTATAAATTGTAATTGAAAAGCAGTTGAAGTGGAAAAAAACCAAGGCTAGACAGTAATTAGAAAAGGATTTAGCTCTCCTTTGTTTTAGTTAGTAAATTTATGGACAATTATGGTTGTCGCCTTTTATAAAAGGAAAACATATTACGAAACATAAAACAGATGTTTCTTTTAACAAAGCAGATTGTCTCTTTATCACCATGACTATTTGTCAGTGATATGGGGAAGGTCTTTCCTTTATCTCCTTCCTTGTTGTCAATTAAAAAGAGGAACTGATGATGTCTGTGGGAAAAGAAGATCATTTGTATTAGTAATAAAGTCTTCTCAGAGAGGACGTTGTTGCCTGTAAATGATTGAGCCTGTGACAAAGTATATGCTAAACACCATGAACTCAACAATGACAGTGTGCAAATACCTCAAGGCTATTTCTTAACACTGTTCCAAGTCAGGTTGTGTAGAATGAAGGTCATGCTGTGGTTGGGAGAGAAAATTCTTCTTTCAAGAATTAGGGTTCCCAAAATACGACACTTAGCAATTTCCTTAATTGTTCTGAGTGAGGTGAGTCAGTTAACTATAATTTTGTTTGAATAGAAGAAATTACCGTTAGCATGCTATTTGTCTCATCAACCATTCCTCCTATGACTAACCAGTAACGCAGTCTTTTGCAAGTGTATGAGAAACAACTGCAAGTCATGTTTGGCTCTGATCAGCCACAATAGTGTCCATAGTCAGTAGCTTCATTCTTGAATGTAAAAATGCTATTTGGAAAAGAAAGAAATAAAAGGAGAAGAAAAAGATATATAATATATAGTGTGTTTGTGTGAGGGGTAATGCACACCTTTTCATGCATACACACAAGTAGACCTCTCTAACTCAATTATTATGAACGCTGAAGGGTGTGGGTGTATGATATTTTGATAAATTGAATGATATTTTAAATGTACTATTGACTGTAAACAAATAATCATTTCAAGAGATAATTGCTCCTTAATATATCTGCTTGATCTGCTTGGATTTTCATAGTTTAGGTATTCTGCTACAACTATGTAAGCAGGATGGTGAGTGGGCACGGGGGGGGGTTGGGTGGAGGTGGTGGTGGGTACAATATACACATGAGCATGTACACACATACACACGTAGATGCCCCCAACTAACAGACCATAATTACCCCAGGCAGTACTCTACTGCCAGAAAAATCAAATCTTGTACCATTTTTTTCACAAATATTTATTCATTTCTTCACATGAACTAGGTCTTTGACTGCCATTTCCTTCCCAATGAAGTAAAGTATATTCACAATGGTTGCCCGATTCTTGATGAAGATACAGTGAAGCTTAGACTTTACAGGTAAGCAGCACACATAACCATTCTATGTTACTTCTTAGGGCTTTTCCTCTCGATAGGTATTATCATGAGACTAGTTACTAGATTCCAAACAAGAAAATAATCAGTAGAAATTGGGGACCTAAGTAGATGAGGCAAGAACTGAGGTCCACTTTCAACTATATTTGTATCATCTTCCTGGGGGCTTTTCTGTGACAAATTTCAGTCCTGTTCCCCTTTACAGTTGTTGTGCAGATCCACCCTCCTACTTATGATGAAAAATGAAAATTACAAAATACAAATTCTTAGTGAGAACTAGGAAAATATATTCCAAAATTGAATGATATTCTTCATTTTGATTATCAGCTGCTTGGTTAATAAGAAGTAGAGTATCTTCTAAGTGTAAACATATTAAATGATAAAATTGTTTAAAAAATCAATTACAGAGTTAAGTACAGAGTGATCGTGTAAGCTAGCAGTTCTACTCTTAAATATATACATAAGGGAAATAAAAGCATTTATTTCCACAAAAACTTGCAGACAGATATTCATGCAGCATTATTCATAATAGCTAAAACGTTGAAACAACCCAACCAGTGAATGTATAAACAAAAGATGGTGTATCCATACAATGGAATGTTATTCAGCCATAAAACAGAATGAAATACTGATAGATGCTACTACAGCATGGATGAACCTTGAAACCATCATGCTAAATGAAAGATGCCAGACACAAAAGGTCACATACCTTTTCTGGAAAAGGCAAACCCGTAATATGCAGAAAGCAGACTAGCAGTTGCCAGGTCTGGGGGAAGGGCAAATGGGGAGTGATTGCTAGTGGATATGGATTTCTTGTTGAGTTGATAAAATTTTCTGGAATTGGGTGGTTGTGATGGTTGCATAACCTTGTGAATACACTAAAAACCACTGAGTCATGTACTTTAAAAAGGTGAATTTTATGGTATGTGAATTATATCTCAATAAAAATTAGTTTAAAAATTAAGCTCATGGTTATGGTATTGCTCACTTCGTAGAGGTAACTGACAATGCTGTAGGTGGAGTAGGCTTTTAGATAGATTTTTACTTGGTTTTATTGCTGTTATGACTATATGGCTAAAATACCTTAGTGTGAATTTCCCTTGGGTACTATACTATTGCAAAGAGTTTTGTGGAAGACACTGGGACAGTGACTCATTCTATAGAGAGTTATGATCACCTACTATCACCGAGCATAGGAAACACAAAGGCAAGGATGCATAGGTTTTTGGTGCTCATAATCTGATGCAAAATATGGGCAGATAATTAATAACACAAAAAGTGCTGAAAGGTGTGAACAAAACACTGTGCTCAAAACATGAAATAGTGTCCAAGAATTCCTTATCACCAGCATATTGGCTGTTTGGTCTTTCTAAGACTTTAGAGTTAAAAAACGAACTTTGGACAGCTTATCTGGAAGGGCTGAAAAAGACTAGTGGATTGTGGATCCTCCTACTTCTTTCTTGAATTTCGAAGGCACAGCCAGGGTAGAGTAGCAGGCGAGAAAGGCTGATGCAGAGGAGCTGTGGTTCCTCTTGGTCTTGAGGACATTTGATATAGAATACTCAGAGAAGTCGGAGGCAGAAAATCAGAAAACATGCTTTCCCTGCCTTGCCTCCTCTTCAGCCCTTTTGTTGAGCAGTTCCCCCTCTGTAACATGGAATTACCAGTGTCTCTCATAGGTTTCTGAAGAACAAAAAGATGTTGATGCTTCAGAAACGCCTCCCTTTCACTCCTGAATCAAAACTCAATCCATAAATTACACAGGCTTGGTACTCTTAAATTATACATGTGCTAGAAGTGAGATTCTGAGCTCCCGGCTGTCATTACATATCAGCATGGCTGATGGGTTTGCAAGAAGGTGTTGAAAGGGGATCCCTGGGTGGCGCAGCGGTTTGGCACCTGCCTTTGGCCCAGGGCGCGATCCTGGAGACCCGGGATCGAGTCCCACGTCGGGCTCCCGGTGCATGGAGCCTGCTTCTCCCTCTGCCTGTGTCTCTGCCTCTCTCTCTCTCTCTCTCTCTCTCTCTCTCTCTGTATGACTATCGTAAAAAAAAAAAAAGTGTTGAAAGAAAGCTCATTGGCCAGGGAGACGGCAGAAAAAGGAATTGACACCAAGATGAGGAGAGGAAAGGAAAAGAACAGAGATTGGGGGTACGGTATATAGCAGAATCCAGACTCTCCCCCTTACGCACATTTTGTAAAGGTCAATCCTTGGATACCGGAAGTACCTGAGCGCTAGTAAATATGGCCTTTGCTGTGTTCTCTCCACAGATTTACTGAGACAGATACCTTCACGGAAACCTTTATCCTGCGGGTCTATCTCCTGGAACCAGACTGTAACATCATCCGTAAGAGTAACAATGTACTGGAGGTGTCAGAATTCTACGGCCTGTCCGGAGCCATTGATAAGAACCTGCTCAGATTTGATTACGAGAGGACGGCTGGCCTGGAGTGTACGGTCAGGCTGGATCCTGTGGGGAGCCGGCTGCCAGCCCACGGTCAGGTGGTCCTGCTGGAGCCTCGGCCAGAGAAACCTCGGGGAGATCAGCCACACAGTTTTTTCCCTAAGTCTCGTATGTATGTTTTAATACATATCTGAATGTTGCTAGGCCTGACAGAAACTTCTGTAAATAGTCAGTTTCCACTGCGACAAAAAATTTTTGCTTGATACAAGGATTTGTGGCTGGTTGAAAACTGTAGGCTCGTGGCTAAGAGTATAGACTTTGGAATCAGTAAGACTTGCGTTTCAAACCGCCTCTGCTCTTTATTTCCTGGGGTGATTTTAGTCAAGTTACTTTTTTTTTAAATTATTTATTTATTTATTTATTTATTCATGAGAGACACAGAGAGAGGCAGAAACATAGAGGGATAAGCAGGCTCCGTGCAGGGAGCCCGATGTGGGACTCGATCCCAGACCCTGGGATCACGCCCTGAGCCAAAGGCAGACGCTCAACAGCTGAGCCACCCAGGTGTCCCTTAGTCAAGTTACTTAACCTGGCTAAGCCTCCATGAAATGGGCTAGGATAGCTCTCCACAGGGTTGAGGCAAGATGGAGTAAATGAGATCCCATGCACAAAGTGTGCTTCACACGGTGTTGGGCTCTTAGCAGGTGCTCAGTGACCATCATCTGTTATTATTCAGAGTAACAATGGCAGCGGTCGTAAGAGTAATTGGTGCATTTATTAAGTATGATTTGATTACAAATAAGTTTGAGGTAGAGCAGGTGAGCAGTAGCTATGGTTTAAATCAGGAGAAGTTAATAACGTTCCTTCTGCTATTCATTTAATCAGTATATTTTGGGCACCTCCTCTGTGCTTAATAATGCTCTAGGCACTATATGAAGACAATCACAGTCATAGGAATACTTGCATTTGGGCAATAATTTACAGCTAAGGACGTGATTATGCATGAGTCTTCTCATTTAGTGTTCACAACTGTCTGGTTAAGAAATAGAATACTGATTTTGTACATCAAGGAAATGTACAAAAGCCCACTCGAAAAATACGTGGCCTGTGGGTGTCACCCCACAACAGTGAAATGAAGCTGGGCAGAGATACACTATTGCAGAGATGATTATGGTCTTTAGTGGGAGAGAGCAGGTTGGTTCAGGTGGTCAAAGCATACTTAAAAGAGGGTTTAGTAAAAAGACTAAGGGGACCTGGAAAGGTATCAGGACTCAGGGGTGTGATGAGCACAGTGGGAAGAGAATTTGAGTGAGTAGAACAGCATCGGAGTGAGATCATGACAGACCCCTGGATGTGGATGCTGTGATGGAAGGCTGGCGGTGGAGTATGGAAGGCCAGTCATGATCCATTGGCCTATGTGTCAGGGATATTCAGTCATCAGAACACATATTTTATTACTTTTCTCTCAGTGTAACTTTTGGTGAGCAAGGAGCTCAGGAGACAACTGGTCAAACATTCTTCTCAGGAAAAGAAATTCAGGGGTTGTAGAGTAATGCCCACCCCCTCCTTGAATGATTAGAGGTTATGTGTGTGTATTCTTGAGGCAGTGAGAGGGAGTCAGTATCCATGGGAGGGAGGATTGGTTTTTTAATTTTACAATCATGCTCTAGTGACTGTCTCAACTCAGTTACTGAACATTCTAGAACTGGGAACAGAGCTGAGGTGTCCAGGTGGAAGCTGTGCCCTGGGACTGAAGAAAATGGGAAGTGTCAACGTGAGCTGTGAGGAGTTCCTGTTGATGGGGCTTCATTATCAACACACAGATCCCCCTTCTCCCAACATCGACTACATCTCCATCCAGGTGGACCTCACAGATGGCAGGAGCAAAATCGTATACAAGGTAGAACTGGGGGTTATGTGTCTGTATCCTAGAATGACCTGCTGCAAGAGAGCCACCTCCATGGGGGTGCTCATGTTGGCTGCCATGCCACGGACAGTTCCTCCCCTATTATGGGTGGGACTCCCCTTAATAGAACTAGAACTTCAGGCTTGTTGATTTTTCCAGCAAGTGCTTAACCCCAGAGCTATGTGCAGAATATCAGTGTACGATTTCTTGTCGCTGGCTCTCTTCTAGCTTTGCCAACACTAAGGCAATGGAGGAAGGACTGGGGCCAACCATGCTATCCTTCTTTCTCTTCTCCTTCAGTCTTCTTTAGCTTGTCATGTGGTCTTTTGTAGCACCCTCTCTCTGAGGCTTCATTCGCTCCTTCTTTGTTTGAACCTCTTTTCACCGTTAGAAGAAACCATGGGGCCCAAATGTCAACCAGCAAGGCCACGGGAAACGGAGCAAGGAGAGGCTCAGTTTCATTATTATGGGAATAGCAGATTATATCCTTTTCCCTCTTCCAGGCTCTGAGATGGAAGACCAGGTCATGAAGGAGACAGGTCCCCTACAGCCTTCTCTATCTTTCAGTTTCAGTTAAATTGTCCTCCTGCCCTTTCCTCTTGTTAATCTCTTCACACTGAAATGAAGGTAGAAGATGAAATCAGTTTATATGAAATATTTAACACGCTACTCAACTGATTTATACACCCTATAATTTGTTTATTTGGGTGAGTGGAGCAACTATGTACCAGCTGAAACAGCTTGGATTTTGTGCTGGTATAAGATGATCCAAGATTACGTTCATGAGGGCAGCCTGGGTGGCTCAGCGGTTTAGCGCCTGCCTTCGGCCCACGGCATGATCCTGGAGGCTTCTCCCTCTGCCTGTGTCTCTGTGTCTCTCTGTGTGTGTCTCTCATGAATAAATAAATAAAATCTTTTTTTTTAAGATTTATTTATTTATTTTTGATAGACATAGAGAGAGAGAGGCAGAGACACAGGAGGAGGGAGAAGCAGGCTCCATGCCTGGAGCCTGACGTGGGATTCGATCCCAGGACTCCAGGATTGCGCCCTGGGCCAAAGGCAGGCGCCAAACCGCTGAGCCACCCAGGGATCCCCCAATAAATAAAATCTTAAAAAAAAAAGATTACATTCATGAAAGACCTCCATCTTTCAAAATTTGGCTTCTCACAGGGTTTCTCCCAAGAAACTAAGATTAGGGAACACTGTCACTCCCACAGAATTGATAAGATAAAACATGATAAGAAAATGACAAGACAGGATCAGAGAATTTTAGAGTTGAGATGAAAAAAAAAACCAACTTTGAGATGGTCTGGTCAAATTGATTAGGCAAATCACTTGATGAATTTTAAAGGATAGATTTCTGAGCCTAACATCGACAGCTAAGAGCATGAACACTGGGCCCAGTTTGCCTGGGTTCAAATGTCTGATTACTAGCTTTTGACCATGGATTTTATGCCTCATTTTAAAAATCTTAAGATGGGGATAATAGAATCTACTTCTTAGGGTAATTGAGAGAAATAAATGAGATAATACTTATAAAGCACTTGTCATGAAGCCCGGTACATAGTAAGTACTGTGCATATGCTAGTTAAAAAAGTGACCTGGGAAAAAATGGATCATCAGCTATGTTTGGGAATAACTGGCCTAGCCCAAACGTCTTGTGTGGTGGTGGTCAGAGAAAGTGCATACTGTGCCCGTACATACACGGCCGTTTTATGACTGAGTCAAGACTAAATTCTAGGTCTAACTATTAGTAGATGTCTTCTCATCTTTTTGACACAAAAATATTTTTTAATTTAATTTATTTTATTTTGAGAGAGAGGGAGAGAGTGGGGGAGTGTGGGACCACAGAGAACAAAAGAGACAATCTCAAGCAGGCTCCATGCTCAGTGCAGAGTCTGCCTGACGCAGGGCTCAATCTCAGGACCTGAGATGATGACTCAAGCCAAAATTGAGTCAGATACTTAACTGACTGAGCCACCCAGAAGCCCCAAAACTTCACTTTTATTGCTGTCTTACCTCCATTAAAAAATTAGGCTCATTTTTCTTCCTGAAGAGATTTTTCTTTTTTACCTCTCTATACTGAGTTAGGGTTTTGTTTCTATTTTTAGATCAGTTTGTGATTTTACCCCTTAAAATGACCTTCTTGTTTTATTAATTAACCCACTCCATAGTCAATTTGGCATGCCATAAAACACATTCTTTTATGGATATCAAAGTAATATGTTCACTGTGGAGAATACTTTTTTAAAAAGTCAGAAAGCAAAATAGGTTCTATTTCTTCCACTTTATGCACACACACATACACACACTCATGGTAAGGAGTCGTTTGCACCAGTGTTGGATTTGCTTTATGGATTTGAACTTATACTATATTTGAAGTTTTAAAATATTGTCATTTTATTATTTTTTTGCTTGTACAGTCCAGCCTCATCAAGTGACTAAATGACTATTTCATCCATAATTTCTTCTAGATTCTTAAGGTTTTCTTGTTTACATTAGCCTTTTAAATCAATCTGAAATGAGTTTTAGATACTGTGAAACACGGAACAGGTTTTTTTCTCTCAAATAGCCAAAATTTTCAGCACTATTTGTTGAATAAGGATTTCTGTTTCTCATTGATTTTTGCTTCTTCTATTGTATAGAAAGGTGTTAACATACAATTTCAAGTCTAGCTCTTTTGTTCCTTAGATTTACCACCTTATTCCTGTGCCAGTATCAGTTATCCTAAATCTAAAAGGTCAATAATACACTTTAATATTTTACAGGCAAGTTCTTCCTTATTACTTATCTTCAACGTTTTCTTATCCATTCTCACCTAATCTTAGTTCTCAGTAAAGAATTAATCCATTTATATTTGTTAAAGAAAAGGCCCTAAGTATTTTTTATCAGAATTGGATCATAACTATAAAGTATTTTGGAAATAATTGGAATATTAGAGCATTTACCATATTGAGCCTTCTCATCCAGAAATGAGGGGCCTCACTTCATCTAAGCAAACATTCTTTGATATGTTTCTGTAAAATTTGCAGTTTTCTTCATGTAAGTTGAGCATACCTAATAAGTCCAGTCCTAGGCAGTTTGCTTTTGGGAAATTACTGTGAATAAACACTTTCCACCTTCATTTTATCTTCTCATTGGTTACTGATGATAAATGGGAAAACTATTTTTTTTGGTATAATTTTCTTTTATCTGGCTTCTTTCTTGAATTCAATTATTCTAAGAATTTTTAAGTTCTTTGAGCCTTTGAAGACCTAATTATATCTCTCGGTAATGATGATAATTTTGTCCTTTCTTTTTTAGGAATTAGTCCTCTTATTTTTGCTCTATTCCCCACTAGTTTGGCCAGTATAATATTAAGTATAATGATTCTTATAATAATCTTTGTCATATATTTTATTAATTTTAACTACCCACACTGTCCTTTTTTAATGTTTTTTTCCTTGATTCATCTTTCTTTGAAAGTACTATGGTCACATCTGCTTTTTTCTTTACATGATAACTTTTGATCAACCTTTTACTTTTAATCTTTGTATGTAATTTTATTTTAAATGTCTCTCCTATAAGACACATGTAATTAGAGATATAATTTCAGAATATTTGTCGTGAACATGGGAATATAAGCTATAGTTTTATAATGGATATGTATTTTTTTCTATCATCTTTTTATTTTTTAAAGATTTTATTTATTTGAGAGAGAGAGAGAGAGGAATGAGAGCGTGAGCACAAGTTGGGGGAGGGACAGAGGGAGAAACAGACTCCTCACTGAGCAGGGAGCCCAATGCGGAGCTCAGTCCCAGGACCCTGGGATCATGACCTGAACTGAAGGCAGATGCTTAACCAATGGAGCCACCGAGGTGCCCCTATTATCTTGTTTTATGCTTTCTGGCTAATTAAAAAAAATCATCTTACAATAGAGATTATATTTTCTATGTTTTCCTTCACTCATCTGAGAGTCTTTTATCCCATTTTATGTTTTACTGGGATTTATTTCCAAAACTTAAAGCATTGTTTAACTTGTTTTTTTAACACTTAAGATAAAAAGTGAAATGAGGTCCCTTAGGTCCTTCCTATATATGATGAGGAGTGATCCTATTTATCCTTTCTCCTGGTGATTGCCCACCTTCCAGGCTTTGTTTATACAATCTGCAATTTTAGCTCTGGCATTTGGTTGTTATCCCTGTTATTTCTTTTTAAAAAGATTTATTTATTTATTCATGAGAGACACAGAGAGAGGCAGAGACACAGGCAGAGGGAGAGGCAGGCTCCCTGCGGGGAGCCCGATGTGGGACTCAATCCCAGGACCCTGGATCAGATGTTCAACCACTGAGCCATCCAGGTGTCCCATACCTGTTATTTCTTTTTTTTTTCCATACCTGTTATTTCTTAAATCATCTATCTTTTATTTCAGATAAGCTCTTTTGACACTTCTCTCCATTTTGTTAAGATGTTTAAAATAACATATTTCTTTAGGCTTAACTCTAGGCTTAAATGGTCTTGCTGTTCAGCACCAGTCCTTACACACAGTGATTTTCCCATTCTTGAATTTTCAAAATTATTGCTCTTTAAATAATTTCTTTTTAAGTAGGCTCCACATCCAGCATGGAGCCCAATCTAGGGCTTGAACTCATGACCCTGAGATCAAGACCTGAGCTGAGATCAAGAGCTGAACTGAGATCAAGAGTCTGATGCTTAATTGACCCACCTAGGCACTCCTTTAAATGTTTTTTTTTAAATCTTTTTTTTAATTTTTATTTATTTATGATAGTCAGAGAGAGAGAGAGAGAGAGAGAGAGAGAGAGAGGCAGAGACACAGGCAGAGGGAGAAGCAGGCTCCATGCACAGGGAGCCCGATGTGGGACTCGATCCCGGGTCTCCAGGATCGCGCCCTGGGCCAAAGGCAGGCGCCAAACCGCTGTGCCACCCAGGGATCCCTAAATGTTTTTTTTTTAATGGCATGTAAAGAATAGATACTTTAAACACTGAGATGTTTCAGCATATCATTAATTTGTCTTCATTAAGCATGCAGTGGGAGAGGAGAGGAGTTGATTTCCTTTTTTCTTTGTTCCTCTTCTCTCTTCTGAGTTTTGCTGGCTAGTTTCAGAACTTATGGTCTTGAATGGGTGTTTTGTGGGGAGCATTGGGGAGAGAGGGTTTTGATCAGAAACTGATAGAATATGACGTCATGCTGTATAATTCTGGCAAGTGTTTCCAGCTGATTCTTTGTCTCCAGAACAAATTTTGGTTTCTCTGGGGATTCCCCCATCCTGGAGGTCTCTTTCCGGTGGATCTCATTTCCTGAGAAATGATCTCATTGCATTTCTTGCCTGAATATTCACTTGCAATTCCTCCCACAGCTCTAGGATGATTTCCACCTTCAGCGGCCTGCTGCTGGGATTCTTTGGCTTCTCATGGATGTACCCAAAAGGTCAGAGTCCAGGATGACTCCAGACCAATCCTCTGTCCCACTTGCCCATATCTGGGAACTCTCATATATTTTCTTCTGCCACAAACAAGGACTATAGGGAGATCCCAGAAGAAGCACCATTATTCTTCTGTGTCTGGCCACTTAGCTTACTCCTGTAAGAGCCCAGCATCAGTCCCTTGTGTTCTTATCTGTGAAAGATACATTGTAAGGCTGTCCTCAAGGAAACTTCTCTCCTGACAAGTGAGACAGAGGTAGCATTGCCCATCTTTACTCTCCATGGGGGTATGTGAGGTTGGGGATGGAGGAAGTAACTCAGCATAGCAAAGCGGTCTTCTTTACAAATAGATTTTTCTCTTACCCTTCTCAACCCTTTTCTGTTCTTCTAGTGGGTGAGAGGGTTCTAGACCAGTTCCAGACAATTTGCGTTTATAAATTCTTCCTAGAGTATTGGTATCACATTCACTTTGATATCTGATATTTCTTTCATTGGAACTTAAGTTGAGACTGAGCCAAAAAAAATTCCATTTTCAACATTTTGTTATATATAGATTACAACTTCTAGTCCAATGTCCAGTGTTCAGCATATTGGATGTGACTCTTATCATTTAGTGTTGTTCTTAACAGTCCCATAATAACCAGCATCTTCTGCTCTGAGGATTCTTTCTCATAGCACCTGTTGACACCTCAAATTCCAAGATGCAATTTCCTGGTTTCTCTGGAGATCCTCATTACTGGGGCCTTTTGCTCATAGCTCTCTCATTTGAGGAGGATGCATTTCTAGCCTGACTGGTAACTTTTTAAAATTACCTACTCCTCACTTGGGGACTCAGGGTCTTAACTAACTAGACAACCGAGCCACCATCCTTCAGTTGCATGAGTACTGAGTTATAGAGACATTTCCTTTCATCTTGCCTTAGCCATCTTTAAAACCATATGACAGGAAGTGGGTACAGCAGCCAGAGGAGGTTGGTAGCATGTGCCAGGCACTGCTGAGTGCTTTACTTTGGCTATCTCACTTAATCCTTGGGGGTTAATCCTTGGGGGTTTACTATTTCCATGTTACAAATGGGGGGAAAATATTTAGGAGTTAAATATCCTGTTTAAATAAAATCACACAAATCATAAGTGCTAGAGATAGTGTCAAAGGGCAGTTACTTCCTTTTTTCTTTTTTAAAGATTTTGTTAGAAGAGAGAGAAAGAGCAGGGGCAGAAGGAGAAGCAAACCCTCCCCCCATGGAGCAGGGACCCCAATTTGTGGCTCCATCCCAGGACCCTGGGATCATGACCTGAGCCAAAGGCAGGCACTTAACTGACTGAGCCACCCAAGCATCCCAGGACAGCTCCTTCTGATGCCAAAATGAATGTCCCTTTTCAACCCTGGCTACATATTAGACTCACCGGAGAACTTTAAAAATACCAATTTTCTGGTCCCTTTGGGGAACAATTAAATTAGAACCTACAGAGATGGAGCTTGGGCATCAGTATATGTTTAAAACTCTCCAACGATTCTAATGTGCAGCCAGGCTTCAAGTCATTTCCAAACACACCATATTATTACCATGTATGTGATAGCTTCATTCATATTACTTCCCCTTTGTATTTTCTTTCCCCTTCAAAAGTCAGAGAGTGCGTGGTTGCCCGTCTATATCAGACCTGGCATTCCTAATCAGATTCCAAGGGCTGCGTTCATGGCCATGTTTACTCTGGAAGTGGATCAGTTCATCCTGACCTCTTTGACTACATCCGTTCTGGATTGTGAAGAGGACGAGACCCCAAAGTCCTTGCTGGTGTTTAACATTACTAAAGCGCCACTCCAGGGCTACGTGACTCATCTCTGGGATCACACCAGACCGGTCTCCTCATTCACCTGGAAAGATCTCAGTGACCTGCAGATAGCCTATCAGCCACCGAATAGCAGCCATTCTGTGCGGAGACATTACGAGGTAAGAAAAAAAGGAGACAAAGTGTTAGCCTATTTGGTTTCCAGAGTTATTGGAGAGGGAGGCCACTTCCCCTCACCTTCAGGCTAGTTTGTAGGGTCAGTGCCTCAGAGGAGAATCAATCACTGTAAATCTGGGCCACACTCAGATGCCAAGAGGAGCCAGGTGATGCAAATGAATAAACCCATGGGTTGGGTGGTGGGGAACGGAGACTGTGGGGAGCAGAAGAAAGAGCTGCAGCTTCAGAGGCAGCTGCACCCAAGCTCCGGTGATTGCTGCCCTGTTTTGAAAACAGACAAATATGGACACACCCAGGGTAGCCTTAGCTCTTGTTCTTTCAGAGGAGTTGGAAATCTGTAAGTTTTTTGTGAAAATGTTTCAATTTCTAAATATGGAATACATATTAAAAGTTCTAAAACAAACAAACAAAAAGTTCTAAAACATATTGTGGCAGCTACAAAATTGTATTTCTGAGGGCCACATTTGGCCCAGAGCTCACCAGTTTGAGAACTCTTGTGTCCTTAATGTCCTTTCTACAATACATAGACCATGGAAGTTAGAGATGACTCTGTCCACAATCCTTTCACTAACAAATTCTGTTTTTAAAAAATATTTATTTATTCATTTGAGAGAGAGAGCACAAGTTGGAGGGGTAGGGAGAGGGAGAGAGAATCTCAAGCAGACCTCATGCTGAGTGTGGAGTCCAATTTGGAGCTCGATCCCATGAACCCAAGATTATGACCTGAGCTGAGCTCAGGTCACTCAACCCCCTGTGCCACCCAAGTGCCCCTCATTAATAAATTCTATTCCCTCTTGTTTGGAGGAGTGTTTTACTGGGATCCTAAATTTTAATGAGTAACACTGACTCCAGGTAGGAGATTCTATAATCTCTTTGGAGAACTAATTTCCCTATCAAACACTTTTCCTGTCAGAAAAGTCCTCTTTCTGTCTAATCTAAGTACTTTCTGCTGCTATTCCAGGCTCTTTCATCTTTGTTTTGGATGGGAGCTGAGAACAGCTGGTTACAGTCTGTGCATAATAACCCTTACCAAACTTACCTACCAGCAAGTTGATTTGAACATGAACAGGATGGAAAGTTTAAATGAGCAGATTGATACAGACTTGACTTCAGGTTTATTAAGGAAAATGAGCGTCCCTGGGGTTCCAAATTGTTCTCCATCTAATTTAGGCATTTTCAGCATTTAGCCTCCAGGGCAGACAAAAGACTTCAGGCTGTAAATGCCGTGCTTTGCCCTTTGCTTTTTTTTTTTTTTTTTTCATAATAGTAAGTGGCAGCTGTTTTTTTCTTTCTTGCTCTCACTTCTCATTCCTTCCATATTATAAAGTAATTTCTCTTTAGACGTCTGGTTTTACCCTGAACTCATAAATAAAGCACAGCTACTCAGGCTGCTTCATGTGTCTTTTCCAGCATTGTATAATGTAATCTTAAAGCAGAACCTGTCCAAATATGTGATTTTGTTGTTGTTGTTGTTAGAAGGTGACTTTTTAATTTTCTCAGTGGCAATTAGATGCTTTGCAGATTATGTGGGTTGGAAGCCCTCGGCTCATTCAGCCACCTGGAGTGGGACCCCTGAGAGCAGAACAATGGCCAACCCTTCCGAGGACTGTAATGCCAAGGTGGTCCGTTCTTTCAGCCATGAAAATTCAAACTCATTTTATTAGGTACTCTGTTGGTTTGAGAACAGTGTTTCTTAGTGAGCATGTGACATATGATTTTATATGGCTCGACCTAATAGATATTTACATTACATCTCCAAAAGACATCTCCACCTGGGTATGGTTTCATTTTCAGTCTGTTACTTTGGCAGTCTTGAATCTGTTTCTTTTGTTGGTAGTATTTGCTGATATGTTGCCATTTGATAATTTATCCTCTCTGATGACCAAATGGACATCATTGTCAAATGGATATTTTTCAAAAGTAGGCATGTGCCTTCCATTTCTGTGTTATACGTTATCCTCCCATGTCAGCATCTCATGCAATGTGTGCATAACACATAATAAGGTTCAAAACTTCTCTTCCTTCTGCCCCTCACTCCCTGCCTCCCCTCAACCCCTGCTCGGACACTCTCTCTCAAATAAATAATAAATAAATAAATAAATAAATAAATAAATAAATAAAATCTTTAAAAATATCATATCATATAGCACCATTTATTACTGATGGATTTCATGGAGGCAAATAAAATCTGGATATTTAAAACTATGTTTGGAGAGATAGATGCCTCTGGACCAGGGTCTCTTACAGGCAGTACCATTGGCATTTTGCGCTGGATAATTCTATATTGTGGGGTCTGTCCTGTGCATGGAGCATCCCTGGCCTCTATCCACTATTAGTGGTCAGTAGTACCACCCACCATGAATACCCACTTTTGAGACCAGAAATGTCTCCAGCTATTCCCAAATGTCTCTGGGGCGGGGGGTGGGGGGGCGGACAAAGTCTCCCTCAATTAAAATCCACTGCTCTAGACCCTATGCCTTTGAAAGAGCTGGATTGGTCTGATGCTGGTCTCCTGAGCAATTGCAGGAATCTTTCTCCAGCATATTTGCTTTCAGGTTAAAAGCTTCTTTTATGGGAAGGAAAATTTAAAAATACTGTTAACTAAGGAATAAGATCTAGAGCCTGAAATTGTGAGCTCAGGTTGCCAAAAATGAGATCAGATGGGGCACCTGGGTGGTTCAGTCCATTAAGCATCTAACTCTTGATTTCAGCTCAGGTCACGATCTCAGGGTTGTGAGATGGAGCCCTGTGTTGGGCTCCATACTCAGCGGGGAGTCTGCTTCTCTCCCCCCACATCCCCTCCCCCTGCTCTCTCTTTCTTTCTTTCTCTCTCTCACACTCTCTGTCTCTAAAATAAATAAGTAAATGTTTTAAAAAGAGGGATCAGTCAACAGCAGAAACCTCAATCTGTTTTGCCTCCATCTGTGGTGTATAGTGTATACCCCAGGGAATAATGGTATTTTATGCTATAAATTGTCAATGTGTGATTCTTATGCAACTGTTTGTTTACAGGTGGAGGTGGAGGTTTATGACTTCTTCTTTGAAAGGAGTGTGCCTATTACGGTCCACATCTCCATCAGAACAGCAGATACAAATGCCCCGAGAGTGTCCTGGAACACAGGTGAAACTCAGTATAGGGCGTCAAGCAACATAGCCCTGAAGGGAAGGCAGGAAAGTTTATGGGTTGGGAAAGAAAGGTTGTTTTCTTCCCATTTCACACATGAAACAACTGAAACCCAGACAAGTTAAGGGAATCAGATGGTTGTTTTTGTTTTGTTTTGTTTTTCCTACTGGCAGGGTGAGAAATTTAAATCCAGGATTCCTGTGTGGTGAAGCCAAGTTTTTCCTTTGTAGGAAATAAGCCAGAAGGATACCTTTCAACTGAATGAGGCAAAAAAGTGACTATTTGTGATATTGAACTATAGTTGGACATAGGGAGAAAAAGTCTCCAACTCTGACTATTCAGAGGGAAGAAAGGAAGCTGTAGACTAATTCATTGTCCTGTTTTTAGGACATGCAAGGATGCCATAATACATGAATAAGAGCTTTAACTGCTTTGTTTTAAAAGAAGGTCACTTGTGAGTGGTCTTATAATGCAATGTGTATATTTAGATCAGATGTAAACGGGGAATGTGAATGAAGATTTTCTCTTTTCCCACTGATCCCATTGATAGCATTCAAAACATACTTATAAGTGATGGTGGTAGGCTCTGTTAAGGGGAAAATATTTGTGTCTGATTTAAGTCCTCAGATTGTGGCTTACACACACACATACACACTCACTCACATGCCCTTGCACAAGGGTACCCATACACATGTTTGTATGTGTGTGAGCTTCAGGTGTGTGGAGAACATGGATTGAGCAGTCTTGCAGGTTCTACGTCCCATTCTACCTCTGTTAGAGGGATAATGAAAGAAAAGAAGGAATTGATAACATGAAGTTTAGTAATGATCACATATTAAGTGGATTACTGCTTGAGCATAAAGATTTAATACTCTGTATTATCTGTAAAACTCAAGCTGGTTAAGAGAGCTCAAAATCTGGTTTTGGCTATTTGGATATGAGAATCTTTTTTAAAATGAATTTTTACCTATTATGAACTTAATATATGTTCATCATTGAAAACTTGGAAAGTGTATTAAACAATAGGAATGAATGAATGGGTAATAATAATAATTATGGTAACAATGATGAATGGATAGTAATGAGTAAATGAATGAAATAGTAATGAATCAATAAAATCATTTATTACTTCACCATGAAGACCAAACCACTGTTAATATTTTGCTGTATATACTTCTAGTGTTCTTGTTTGCTCTTCTGCTGTCTCCCATGATGCCTGGGACTGTGCTGTACCATACACTCTTGGCTTCAAAACCCTTATTACGAGTCACAGTCATATTCTTTTTTTTTTTTTTTAATTTTTAAGTAGGCTCCACACCCAGCATGGAGCCCAGGGTGGGGCTTGAACTCATGACCCTGAGGTCAAGACCTGAACCAAGACAAAGAGTAATAATAAGATGCTTCACCAACTGAGGCACCCAGGAGCCCCTAACAGAAATTATTTATAAGTGCTTGTCCTTTCTCCCTTCTTTCCTCCCTTCTTTCTTTCTTTTCTTCCTCCATCCCTTCTTTCCCCCTTTTTCTTTCTCTCTCTCTCCTTCTTCATACTGTATGTCCTATCCCAAGTTCCCTAGCCAGCAGTCCTTGAGGCAGGTCATATGCACTAACCCTATACTGAAAACAAGAAGAGGAAAAGGAAATTGTGGGGAACAAATAAAAAGGTGGCATGACAAAGTTTATGAGAAAGTGAAGTTGATTGTTAGCCATGCTGGTGTCTCCAGAAGGAGATGGAACCACTGTGTGTGGTCAGTCAGGGGTGGGATGGGGGAGGGGTGAATAGTCTCTCTCTTAGCTGCTTTCCATCTCCTGTCTCACTGTGGTCAGTTTGCCTCAATGGATGTCGACTCCCCACATGTCCATGATGTGGTACCTGGCCCCTCTTTGTGACTACTACACAAACTCCCTGTGTCCCCTGGTGTAGGACCTGGCCATGGTCACAAGGGTAAGTCATGCCAAAACCTGGCCCTTGCCCAAGAGAATGGTTGAGCCAACCAGCCATATCAGTAGATGAGGCAAAGGTGGCAGCCAGAACTTTATAATTGTGGGGACTCTGGGGACCCTTGTGGGGCTGCTGCTGCAGGAAAGGGGGCACATGGTCACAGCCAGGGAGGCAGGGAAAGCTGGGCAGGTTTGAAAGGGAGTGTAACCCAGTCCATCCATACACTGCCTCTAAGTTTTATCTACTTGGTTCCTTAAAAAGCTTTGCTCCCTTTTAAGATTCTTTGCAATCTGTCAACTCCCGGATCTACTGAATAATGGGAATGGTTGGTGATGCTCAGCTCCCTGTTTTAACTGGAGTGTTCCAGCCAGGATCTGTATTCTTACTGCTCTGAGTAGCAATTACCCTCCAGCATGCTGGGTCCAAGGAGAAGATTTTATTGCATTTCCTTTAGTTAAATTCAGTCTTCATTGCAAAGTGTCAGACACTTCATGTCTAATACTCTTAAACACTCCCCTAGCGTAGTAGCTCCATATTTGCACATTTAACCACTTTACATTCTCCTGTGAGCTACTCTTGTACTCTTAACTCACATGTAAAAGCTCTTCTGATTCTTTTGCTCGCTAAAATTACCTGGATGCCATCTTCGAAAAATTCCTTGTGGACATTTTTGAATGAGAGAACACTGGGAACATCTGTTCTTTCCTTTAATATTTATATTCTGGCATCACCATGCTTCCAATGGATATATAAGGAACCAGTTGTCAGATTGGAGTTAATAGTATGAAAAGTATATTTTCCTGCACCTGGGTGGTGCAGTTGGTTAAATATCTGACTCTTGGCTTCAGCTCAGGTTGTGATCTCAGGGTCATGAGATTGAGCCCCACATAGGGCTCCATGCTGAGTGTGGAGTTTGCTTGAGTTTCCCTCTCCCTCTACTTCTCCTTCTGGTTCTCCCTTCTGCGCTCTTTCTCTCAAATAAATAAATAAATAAATAAATAAATAAATAAATCTTAGAAAAAGAAAATATTACCAAAAATAAAAACTAAATTCCAATTTCTTGAAAAGCTTTCAAAGATACAATTTTCAGCTAGTTTTGTGAGTGAAAATTCATTAATCTTGTCTTAAAATAGGCATGTTGGCATGTCATAGAACTTTCATGACAGTTTTCTGTTTTCTCTTGTAGGTCTGAGTCTTCTAGAGGGGCAGTCTCGGGCCATCACTTGGGAACAGTTTCAGATTGTCGACAATGATGACATCCATGCTGTCCAGCTGGTCACCGTGGGCGGCCTGCACCATGGACGACTTACACTAAGAGGTGAAATATCAGCCTCTCTAACCTAGAAGAGAACCCAAGAAATAGTCTCTCCAAAGGCAGATCATATTTAACAGGATGTACATAGCATCTTTTGGTCCTCATTTCTTTCTCTTTTTTTCTCCCAAGTTTTAATTTAAATTCTAGTTGATTAACATATAGTGTAATATTGGTTTAGAAGTAGAATTTAATGATTCATTAATTACATATAACATCCAGTGCTCATCACAAGTGTCTTCCTTAATACCATCCTCCACCTACCTCCCCTCCATTAACCCTCAGTTTATTCTCTATAGTTAAGAGTTTCTTAATGTTTCCTTCCCTCTCTTTTCCCCCCTCCCTCTATGTTCATCCATTTTGTTTCTTATATTCCACATGTGAGTGAAATCATATGGTATTTGTCTTTCTCTGATTGACTTATTTTGCCTAGCATAATATACTCTAGCTCCATCCATGTCATAGCAAATGGCAAGATCTCATTCTTTTTGATGGCTGAGTATTATTCCAATATGTGTGTGTGTGTGTGTGTGTGTGTGTGTGTATACCACACCATTGTGTGTACACAACTTCTTTATCCATCAGTCGGTGGACATTTGGGCTCTTTCCATAATTTGGCTATAGTTGACAATACTGCTATAAACATCGGAGTGTATATACCCTTTTGAATCAGTATTTTTTTTCTCTTTTTTTTAAATCAGTATTTTTGTATACATTGAGTAAATACCTAGTAGTGCAATTGCTGGGTCACGGGTAGTTCTATTTTTAACTTTTTGGGGAAACTTAATACTGTTTTCCAGAGTGGTTACACCAGTTTTTATTCCCATCAACAGTGCAAGAGGGTCCCCCTTTATCCACATCCTCGCCAACATCTACTGTTTCTTATGTTGTTCGTTTTAGCCATTTTGACAGGTATGGAGTGGTATCTCTTCATAGTTTTGATTTGTATTTCCCTGATGATGAGTGATGTTGAGCACCTTTTCATGTGTCTGTTGGCCATCTGTGGATCTTCTTTGGAAAAATGTCTATTCATGTCTTATGCCTATTTGTTAAGTGGATTATTTGTTTTTTGGGTGTCAAGTTTGCTATATATATTAGATACTAACCCTTTATCAGATATGTCATTTGCAAATATTTTCTCCCTTTCTGTAGGTTGCCTTTTAGTTTTGTGGATTGTTTCCTTCACTGTGCAGAAGCTTTTTGTCTTGATGAAGTCCTAATAGTTCATTTTTGCTTTTGTTTCTCTTGCCTCTGGAGATGCGTCTAGTAAGAAGTTACTGTGACTGAAGTTAAAAAGATTGTTGCTTGTGTTCTCCTCTAGGATTTGGATTGTTTCTTGTATCACATTTAGGTCTTTCATCCATTTTGAATTGATTTTTGTGTATGGTATAAGAAAGTGGTTCATTTTCATCCTTTTGTATGTTACTGTCCAGTTTTCCCAACACCAATTGTTGAAAAGACTATCTTTTTTCTATTGGATATTCTTTTCTGTTTTGTTAAAGATTAGCTGACCATAGAGTTGAGGGTCCATTTATGTGTTTTCTATTCTATTCCATTGATCTGTGTGTTTGTTTTTGTGCTAGTACCATACTGTCTTGATGATTACAGCTTTGTAATACAGCTTGAAGTCTGGAATTGTGACGCCTCCAGTTTTGCTTTTCTCTTTCAAGATTGTTTTAGCAATTCAGTCTTCTGTGGTTCTATACAAATTTTAGAATTGTTTTTTTCTAGCTCTGGGAAAAATGCTAGTGGTATTTTGATGGAGATTGCATTAAATATGTTGATTGCTTTGGGTAGCATAGATATTTTAACATTTGTTCTTCCAATCCATAAGCATGGAACATTTTTCCATTTCTTTGTGTTATCTTCAATCTCTTTCATAAGTGTTCTGTAGTTTTCAGAGTACAGATTTTGTACCTCTTTCGTAGGTTTATTCTTAGATATCTTAGGGGTTTTTTTGCAATTGTAAATGGGATTGATTCCTTGATTTCTGTTTCTGCTACTTCATTATTGGTGTATAGAAATTCAACAGATTTCTCTACCTTGATTTTGTATCCTACAACTTTGCTAAATTCATCTGTCAGTTCTAGCAATATTTTGGTGGAAACTTTTGAGTTTTCTCCATGGAGCCATCTGCAAATAGTGAAAGTTTGACTTCTTCCTTAATAATTTGGGTGCCTTTATTTCTTGTTGTCTGATTGCTGAGGCTAGGACTTCCAGTACTGTGTTAAATAACTGATCAGAGTGGACATCCTTGTCTTGTTCTTTTTTTTTTTTTAAAGATTGTATTTATTTATTCATCAGAGGCACAGAGAGAGAGAGAGAGAGAGAGGCAGAGACACAGGCAGAGAGAGAAGCAGGCCCCATGCAGGGAGCCCGATGTGGGACTCGACCCCGGGTCGGCAGGATCACGCCTTGGGCCAAAGGCGGGCCCCAAACCGCTGAGCCACCCGGGCTACCCCCTTGTCTTGTTCTTTTTTTTTTTTTCCTTGTCTTGTTCTTGATCATAGAGGAAAAGCTTTCAGTTTTTCCCCATTAGGGATGATACTTGCTGTGAGTCTTTTGTATATGATTTTTATGATATTGACGTATGTTCCCTCTATCCCTACTTTGTTGAGGATTTTTATCAAGAATGAATGCTGTATTTTGTCAAATGCTTTTTCTGAACCTATTGGGAGGATCATATGATTCTTATCCTTTCTTTTATTAATGTGGTATATTATGTTGATTAGTTTGCAAATGTTGAACCACCAGTGCAGCCTAGGAATAAATCTCAATCATGGTGACTGATTCTTTTAATGTACTGTTGGATTTGACTTGCTAGTATCTTGTTGAGAATTTTTGCATCATCAGGGATATTGGCCTGTAATTCTCTTTTTTAGTGCAGTCTTTATCTGGTTTTAGAATCAAGGTAATGCTAGTCTTATAGAAGGAGTTTGGAAATTTTCTTACCATTCCTACTTTTTGGCACAATTTGAGAAGAATAGGTATTAACTCTAATTTAAAAGTCTGATAGAATTCTCCTGGGAAGCCATCTTGCCCTGGACTTTTATTTGTTGGGAGATGTTTTATTACTAATTTAATTTCTTTGCTGGTTATGGGTCTGTTCAAATTTTCTATTTATTTCTGTTTCAGTTTTGGCAGTTTGTATGTTTCTAGGAATTTGTCCATTTCTTCCAGATTGCTGTTTGTTGGCATGTAATTTTTCATAATATTCTCTTTTGATTACTTGTATTTCTGTGGTGTTGGTTATGATCACTCCTCTCTAATTTGTGATTTTATTTATTTGTGTACTTTCTATTTTCTTTTTTAATAAGTCTGGCAAGGGGTTTAACAATTTTATTAATTCTTTCAAAGAACCAGCTCCTGGTTTCGTTGATCTGTTTTACAGTGGATTTTTTGTTTGTTTGTTTCTATATCATTTATTTTCATTCTTCTACTGGCTTTAGTTGCTCTTTTAGGTTATGTATTTGAGACTTTTCTTGTTTCTTGAGGAAGGCTTATATTGTTAGATACTTCCCTCTTTTGACCACTTTCATTGCATTTCAGGCTTTAGACTGTTGTGTTTTCATTTTCACTTCTTTCCATATATTTATTTCTTCCTTAATTTCCTGTTTAACCCATTCATTCTTCAAAGGGATGTTTTTCTCTCTCCATGTATTTGTAGTTTTTCTAAATTTTTTCTTGTGGTTGACTTCAAATTTCATAGTGTTGTGGTCTGAAAATATACATGATATGATCTCAATATTTTTGTAATTGTTGAGGCTGATTTGTGATCCAGTCTGTGATCTGCTCTGGAGAATGTTCCATGTGCACTCAAAAAGAATGCATATTCTGCTGCTTTAGGATGAAATGTTCTGAATATATCTGTTAAGTCCATCCGGTCCAGTATGTCATTCAAAGCCATTGTTTCCTTGTTGATTTTCTGCTTGGGTGATCTGTCCATTGCTGTAATAAATAGGGTATTAAAGTCCCCTACTATTATTATATTATTATCAATGAGTTTCTTTATGTTACTAACTGATTTATGTATTTGGGTGCTTCCAAGTTGGGGGCATAAATATTTACAGTTGTTAGATCATCTTGTTGGATAGAGCCCTTAATGATGATATAGTATCCTTCTTCATCTCTTGTTACAGTCATTAATTTAAAATCTAGTTTGTCTGATGTAAGTATGGCTACTCCGGTTTCTTGTGACATCCATTAGCATGATAGATGGTTCTCCAAGCTCTCACTTTCAATCTGCAGGTTACTTTAGGTCTAAAATGAGTCTCTTGTAGGCAGCATATAGGTGGATCTTTTTTTTTTTTAAGATTTTATTTATTAATGAGAGACACAGAGAGAGAAAGAGAGAGAGAGGCCGAGACACAGGCACAGGGAGAAGCAGGCTCCATGCAGGGAGCCCGATGTGGGACCCAATCCCGTGTCTCCAGGATCACACCCTGGGCCAAAGGCAGTGCTAAACTGCTGAGCCACCTGGGCTGCCCGGATATTGTTTTTTTAATACATTCTGATACCCTGTGTCTTCTGATTGGAGTATTTAGGCCATTTATATTCAGAGTGGTTTTTGATAGATTTGAATTTATTTATATTTATATTTATATTGTATTATAAATCCATTGTATTACCTGTACAATTGATGTTTCTGGAGATTGTCTCTATTCCTTTCTAGTCTTTGTTGCTTTTGGTCATTCTTTCCTACTCATAGAGTCCCCTTTAGTATTTCTTGCAGGGCTGGTTTAGTGGTCATGAACTCCCATAGTTTTTGTTCGTCTGGGAAACTCTATCTCTCCTCTATTCTGAATGACAGCTTTGCTGGATAAAGTATTCTTGGCTGCATATTTTTCTCATTCAGCATGTTGAATATATCATGATACTTTATTCTGGCCTGCCAGATTTCTGTGGAGAGATCTGCTGTGAACCTGATTTGTCTTCTCTTATAGTTAGGGATTTCTTTTCCCTTGCTGCTTTCAGGATTCTTTTCTTATCTCTGTATTTTGCAGATTTTAGATGATATATCTTGGTGTTGGCTTGCTTTGGTTGATTTTGATGGGAGTTTTGGTACCTCCTGGATTTGGATGTCTCTTTCCTCCCCCAGATTAGGGAAGTTTTTAGCTATAATTTGTTCAAATTAGCCTTCTGTCTTAGGCCTCATTTCTAAATGAATTGTCATGTCTAGAAAATCTGGAGATCTCGAAGCCATTAGCGTCTGTGTTAGGATGCTCACATCAGTGGATGACTATTTATTTATTTATTGAAGGGGCAGGAGGAGAGGGAGAAAGAGAACCTCAGGCAGACTCCCCACTGAATGTGAGTCCATTGCAGGGCTCAATCCCAGGACCTTGAGATCCTTATCTGAATCAAAATCAAGGGTCAGACTCTTAACTGACTCAGCTATCCAGATGCCTCTGGAAGACCTTTTATGAGTAGCATCTCATGCTACTCATTTAAATCATTTAAATCTCAGATCTCCTTCTAAATATATGCTTAAACTGATGATCTTATCCCAGTTGGAAGACAAAATATTTCCCTGATTCACAAAATTGTGATGAGAAACAGAAAAACTTTGCTTTTTTAATACTTGGTAATCATTCTGATATTATATTGTTAGTAGCATTGTGTTATTATGTTAACTGTTTTATAAGGATGGTAGTTAACAAGGTATTAGCCATAATAAAAATAATATTCATATCATATGATAATATAGTCCATTTCTTGTAGTGAGCTTAGAGGAATTAATTCAATTATACTCTTGGTATTCCTAAGTATAAAACAGAAAGAGAGCTCTTATTTATTATCATTTGTGATTAGGAATTCTGAAATAAAAAATAAAATGATAAATTCTCTTGCCCAATCCCAGGAAAGTAGGAGGTCAGCATAAGCCTGGGCGTATCAGTTAGGGTGGATATTCAGCTGCATGGAATGGAAACCCATTTTCCATTTTAAATAACCCAGTTATTTAAAAATTCAAGAGTTATTTTCCTCATGTGACAAATTGCCCAGAGGTAGGCATTCTAGATCCATGATTCCAGGACCTCTTTCTGGTCTGACAGTGGTCACCAGATGGTGCCTATATCTCCAGACTTTGGGTCTGCGTTCTAGGAAGGAAGAAGGAGAAGGGACAAGTTACGTCAATTAATTTGCTTTCTTTAATAACTTTTTGCTGGAACCGGATACGTGGGTTCCACTTAAATCTACCAAGTCACGTACTACCCCCTAGATGGAATGAAGTGTGGGAACCTGAGTATTTTTAAATGATCATATTGCTATTCCAAATAAAACTAGAATTCTGATACTGGTGAAAAATCAGAAAGTGACTACTGAGCAAGTAACCTGTACTATCTATTATACAAATGTTTAATCACTTATTCCAGTGAGGGCTTTAAAACATATGAGAAGAGGGGATCCCTGGGTGACTCAGCGGTTTGGCGCCTGCCTTTGGCCTAGGGCGCAATCCCGGAGTCCCGGGATCGAGTCTCGCGTCGGGCTCCCGGCATGGAGCCTGCTTCTCCCTCCTCCTGTGTCTCTGCCTCTCTCTCTCTCTTTCATAAATAAATAAATCCTTTTTTAAAAAAACAAACAAACAAAACAAAAAACCCAAAAAACAAACAAACAAACAAACAAACAAAACCAGTATGAGGAGATACTGGGGCACCTGCCATCAAGAATTGTAATCATTTATGCAGAGTGAAGCAATGTTTATTAATACTGTAGAAATGAAGAGTAGAGTGGTAGCCCATATGATGTTGTGGCTCAGAGGAGGTAGAAAATAGTACTAATATTTTTTTTCTTTGTCCTAGATACTGTACAAAGCATTATACATACTCTACCTTATATTAGCTTTATGAAATGAGGTACAATTATTATTCCCACTTTACAAATGGAGAACTTGAGATTTAGATAAGTTGACTTGTCTAAGGCGATGTACCTAAAATGTGACTGAACTGGGATTTGAATCTGGGCCATTTGATATCAGAGCTCTAGCTCTTGGTCAATAAGCAAGTGATTCTCAAACTTTAGCATGTGTTAGACTCTTCAGGAAGTTTGGTAAAATACAGATTGCTGGGGCTCACCTCCAGAACTTGGCATTTCTAATGACTTCCCAGATGGTACTGCTGCTCCTGGTTCGAAATTGCCCATCTAAGTAGTGCTGCCATGTAGGATGATAACAATGAGTTTGATAATAATTAACATATTTTGTAGGCTTACTGTTCTTTAGGTTCTCTCATCCTTAGTAGGGAATATGAGATATGTATGATTGTCCCTGTTTTATAGATGCTTTCACTACAGCTGCTCCTTCTGCACCCCTCATTCAGTCAGCTCCATCTCTGCTCTCTCCATCAGGCGGCAAAGGATTTCTCTTCACTGTGGCTGACCTTCAGGCTGGAGTTGTTCGCTATCATCATGATGATAGTGACTCCACCAAAGATTTTGTGATCTTCAGGATATTCGATGGCCATCACAGCATCCGCCATAAGTTTCCCATCAACATTTTGCCCAAAGATGATAGTCCCCCATTTCTCATAAGCAATGTTGTGATTGAACTGGAGGAAGGGCAGACCATACTGATCCAGAGTTCTATGCTGAGAGCATCAGACATGGACTCCAGTGATGACTACATCTACTTTAATATCACGAAACCTCCTCAGGCTGGAGAGATCATGAAGAAGCCAGGGCCAGGACTGATAGGTAAGTTTTGAATAAAGATTTTTGGTGTCAGAATTTGTACAAAGGTGGACATCAAGTTTATGAGGTAAGATATTCCCATTTTATGGATGGGAAGCCTGATACTTAAAAAAGTTAAATTGATCTATTCAAATTTGTGCATCTAGCAAGTTCCAGAGCTGAACCTCAAGGTAACCATTACCCTATGAAAAATTAAGTCTGCCAAGCACGATGACAGAACAAATAAGTTTGAAGAGAAGTGTTTGGCCTCTTCTAAATTATTGATAAAATAATTTCACAAATAACATTTGTTTATGCTTTATTAGAATAATTTCATAACATAATTTCAAGACCACTTCTTGAAGTAGTCAGAAATAACAAAATAGGTATCAAGTATTAGTGTTATTCAAGAATGTTTCTTAAAAATATTTTTGTAATGCTAATTTTTTTACCTTTTTTAAGGCAGGTGTAGCAACTTTAATTTTTCTACTTATTTATAAGCTTTGTTAGGAGTATTTATGAAGATTTCTGGGATACATACACCATGCTAGGCAGAGAACACTTTGGAAACAGGTCCAGTATCTTTTTACCCCAAATCTGAAAGATTGTTACAAAAGTATGTGGTGTTTTGTGGACCCGATAGGCTATCCTGTCCCTGGCTTCCTTCAGAGGGATCTATTTAATGGCATCATTTACTATCGTCACTTTGGTGGAGAGGTCTTTGAAGACTCTTTTGAATTTGTCCTGTGGGACAGCCATGAACCTCCAAATTTCTCAGTGCCACAGGTAAGAGGCCATCTCTGAATACCATTCTTAAGTATTATCCACAGATGTCCATTCTGGGAGGTGTCTTTTTTTTCATTCTGGGAGGTGTTATTAGAAACTACATAAAAGCAGGTTTTAAGGTTCAAAGTTGAGAAGCAATGGATTCAACGATTAAGTCAATTTCTTTGCAACAAGACGTCTCTACCATTTTCTTTCCTAATAAGTCTTGTCAATTATTGTACTTGTAAATTATTGTATTTGTAAATATTGCATTTGTAAGTTCTTTGTCAAAACTCCATGTATGCAGTTTCTCAAGATCATTTCACCATGGGGCTCTTTTATACAGAATAGACTCCCAGAATTTGCTGACCTTATAACATGAAGAAAACACTGGCATTTTGTGTGTAGTGGCTGCAGTATAGTCTCTGAAGTTACACTGCCCATGTTTCTCTCCCGTCCTTGACCCTAGCTAACTGATTGACCTGTTCCTCAGTTTCCTTATCCTTAAAATAGATAAGAATACAACTTCGTTATAGAACAATTGTGAGGGTAAGTGAGATAATCACATATAAAGTACTGAGAAGTTTCTGGCACATGGCAAGTACTCAATAGATAAATTAGCTTTTGAAGAACTGTAAGTTTTGTTGATTCTGAAAAACTATAAGGTTTACCACCACTCAAGTATATCATTTACGTATATAGGATGCAGAAATAGGTATAAGGAGGCATTCTCATATAGAAATTACAAATTACAGAAGATGGAGTTAGCATTGGATCTGGACAACTATAAACTATAAAAGAGTAGGCTCCATGCAAAGAGAGGATGACTGGTGGTAGGGATGGAAAAAAACCGTTGAAAATATGTGATCACTTACTATACATGGTTCTTTTTGCTAGGCATTTTATACCTATGATCTTGGAAGGTGGCATGTATAGAGACCTCAGCAAATCTAGGACCAGCCCTAGAATGATTTTTTAAAAGATTTGTTTGTTTATTTTAGAGCTGGAGAGGGCTAGAGGGAGAGGGAGAAGGAGGAAGCAGACTCCCCGCTGAGCGGGGAGCCTGATGCAGGGCTCCATCTCACGACCTTGACATCATGACTTGAGCTGAAGTCAAGAGTCAGAGGTTTAGGGGGATCCCTGGGTGGCTCAGCGGTTTAGCGCCTGCCTTCCGCTCAGGGCGTGATCCTAGAGTTCCGAGATTGAGTCCCACATCAGGCTCCCTGCATGGAGCCTGCTTCTCCCTCCGCCTGTGTCTCTGCCCCTCTCTTTCTCTTTATCTCTCTCTCTCTCTGTCTCTGTCTCTGTGTCTCTCATGAATAAAAAAAAAAAAACTTAAAAAAAAGAGTCGGAGGTTCAACAGACCAAGCCACTCAGGTGCCCCTCTAAAATGATTTCTTAAAGCATGTATCACTATTGGTTATATAATGCTTCTCATAATATCACAGTCACCCGCATTAGCTGCTACATAGGTTATTGAGCTATTTTTATCTGTTTGCCAAAACAAAGGGATACAAAAAAGGACAGTCAGGAAGAATCACACTAGAGAGCACAGAAACTAAGGGAACTAGGTGATCCCTGGAAAGAGAATGGAGGATGAATGAGAAAATTCTTAATTCATCTACATATTGAATTGATTCTTTTACGAATAACAACTCTCTTTTTTCATCAATGTATTATTGCCATTTCTAGATTGCATTTTTGCTTGAGACCTTAGTTGACTTGATAATCGCAAATGGCTACTACTAACAGGATTTATTTTTAAATCTCCTATTGTATCTATACAAACTGATCTGTTTCTGACTAGAATACCATATCACTTTTAGCAGACTATGTGTTTTTTAAAAAACTGAAAGCTCAGGACTTCTTTTTCCTTTTCTGTTATTATCTATTTTATACATCATAGGTATAGATTTACTTATATTTATCTCATATTTATAGATCAAATGGAGATGTGAAATCTTTCTGTAATAAGATAATGAAAACCTTATTGAATGAGAATATTTCTAAATCTTGGCAAATAAGTCAGACCAAACTCTCTAGATCCAGTTACAAGTTTATTCCCTATGATGGATGGATTTCTAAAGAAAAGGTCATGATTATGTTTTTTTTCCTTTGGTTTCATCTTCATAATCTGTGTTGAAAAAGAGATACAGAGAGAGAATCTATGAATTTGCTGTAAGAATCAAAGAGTTGGCCACATTCTTGTAACTGAGGATAATTAAAACCTGTTAATACAGTGGCAGAGTGTTTGGTGGCATTCCTCTGGCATCCATTCCTCCCCCCCTCCCACTTCTGATTAGTGACAGCTTTAGCTTAATCCTTCTCCAGACTATGAACCTACTTTTAGCTATAACATCACTTGTTCCAGGAATCCTTCTCCGATGCCCCTCATTCCATAACTCCCCCAGGCTGGGTCAGGTTGCCCTTTAATATGATCCAATATCAAATAACCATAATGTGAGGCCATTCATTATTTGTCTTATTGGATCAGCTGTGAGCTTATTGATGACAGGAATCACAAATTATTTATCTCTGCATCTTCAGACTTTGGTATCAGACTCAAAGTAGAACCTCAAGAATTGTTTTTTTGTGTGTGCCAAAATGAACTCTGATTCTTTCCATTTTTATCAAAAGTAAGAGAAAATAAGAAGATTGAAACATTTGGTAGGAACTGGGGAGGGAGTAACATAGGGAGGGAATAAGTATAAAGCTTTATTCTTCAGAGTTTCTAGGAATTAGTATGTGCACAGCAACAAAACAAGTATTTTGTGTATTGTGCTGGTAAATGTTTTTGTATTGTAAACCCCCAATATCATCATCAAAATTCTAATTTTTAAGAAACTTACATGATCAAAATTTAGTCTACTTGATGATTTCATCTTCAATTTGAACAAGTATGCAGTCATGTCTTACAGATAAAAATTCAGCAAAACCTGTAAAATAGTCAACAAAATCTGCAATCCACCATTAACTGAAAGTCCAGATAAAAAAGGTTGCATGATGGGAGCTTTTGTGATCAGAAGGTACTGTGGTCACCAACAATTAAAGTAGGGCCCGAGATTGCTTAAGCCACACTGTTAGAAAACTTTGTTTTACAGAGACAGAAAGCAAAGATATCCTCAGGTGAGACACAATGCACATAAAGCAGGAAAGAAGTTATGTAGGCAGAGATGCTCTTTCCATCCTCTCATCCTCTACTGAGCACTCTTCTATGAGGTTGACTGACACACCAACAGTATATCTACACATTAGCAGGAAAACCTTTCCCTCTTTCTATCTTGGTTGTCATTACTGTCATCAAATAAAGCCTCACGCACTCAATGTTTTTTGAAAAATATTCTCTTCTTTCTCCTTACTAGAGGCCTTTATAGGGTTTAAGTTGTAAGAGATCTTAAACCAGGAGAAAGTGATATTAGAAGTAAAGTGGGATGGATGAAGGGATGGGTGAACTAGGTGATGGGGATTAAGGAGTGTACGTGATGTGATGAGCACCAGATAATTAAAATAAAAACTTAAAAACAAAGTAAAATGGAGAATGCAAAATAAGGATAGATGAGAGAAACAGAAAGAGCACTAAGAAACTGGGGAAGAAAGGAAGCGGGTACCACAAAGTCCTGTGAGTCAAGTGAAAGGAAGCAACTGGATGTGACTAGATGAGAGAACAGGCACCCAGGGCAAGGGCATTTGTCAGAAGTCAGACTGGAAAATGAGGTGGGTAAAACTAACATTGATAGTAGTTCCTGGGACTGAGAAATAGCACTGGATAATCTCAACAGAAGATACAAGATAAAAGAATCAGGCAAGAATCAAAACTGAGACAAAAAGATCAAAAACCCAGTCTTTTTTTTTTTTTTTATGATAGTCACACACACACAGAGAGAGAGAGAGGCAGAGACACAGGCAGAGGGATAAGCAGGCTCCATGCACCGGGAGCCCGACGTGGGATTCGATCCCGGGTCTCCAGGTTTGTGCCCTGGGCCAAAGGCAGGCGCCAAACCACTGCGCCACCCAGGGATCCCCAAAAAAAAAAAAAAAAACCAGTCTTGTAAGAAAGTCAGATACTAGCTGTTGGAGTATCATATATTGAGTCTGATTCTGAGGGTCAAGGTCAGGCTTTGTTATTTTGTATACTGATTTATCACTTTATATTCAAATTCTCTCTAAGACTATTTGCAGGTGCCTATGGCCATAAATAGACTGGAGGGATGTAGGAGCCAGAAATGGCCATAAATAGACTGGAGGGATGTAGGAGCCAGAAGCAAGAGCTGAGTGGTTGGACACTAGTTTTTCACTGTTTGGGAATGGGTGTTCAATAATGCCTTTTTTTTATAACCAAATTTCAGTACAATGAGAATTCTTTATTTCTCTATGGAGCTTGTTAAAATAGGATTTTTCTTACCCACAGACACACATACAATAATTGTTTAAACATGCATAAATATGTAAAGATACATCAATTTAAGTGATCATAAAGCATGTTGAAAAATGTGCCCACCAAGAATTACTACAGGGGTATAAAAAAGCATGCTTGTACATTCTTTTTACACAAAGAACACATTGGAGAATAAATTAGCATGGAAAATGGTCTCTTTGAAGGCACAATAACTATTGTTTCTATATTAAATCCAGTTTTTCAATTAAGTGGAGCCTCGCTTATGCACACTATGGCTGGGAGGTCCCATAGAGAATTTCTGAACTTTGTAGATTAGCAAAAAAATATAATTGGAAAAAAATTGTGACACAGACTCCAGGAGACTGGAGAAATGACTGTCATTGTGTTCTTTTATTTTAATAACTGGTTCTAGTTTTTAATTATCGAAATACTTCATAATGGAATAGTAAATATTTTGTGTGCTTTTGTAGCAGTAAAGAAGGATGAAGACAGGGAATTAATTAATTGAGCACCTACTACCAGGTATTCACTGTGCTACTAGAGAGAAAAACTGAGCTCCAAAGGAGTTAAATTATTTGCCTGATGGCACATAGCTTGTTGGTGGCTGAGCTGATGTCCCAGGCTTTATCATTGCAAGAGCTTAACCATGTTTTAGTTATTGCTTTGTACATAAATTTAAAAAGGAATTTTCTTCATTTTCAAATTAAGTATTGTGAACACCATTATTGTAGAAAAACTGGCATTGCTGATGTGTGCTTTGGTAACAATATTAAAATAATTAGAAGCAGGGTAAGAATACTCTTATGCATCAAGCTGTGCAAAGATCCATGATGCCAAACAAATGTCCCATTTTGAGAGAGTGTTAGTAATTGCTTTCTCACAACCAGTCATGGATTATTGTAAAAAAAAAAAAAAAGATAAATGTGATGATAAAATCTGTTTGGCAAAGTTGCCGTGTCCTCTTACGTGATCCCAAACCTGTGAGCATGACTTTAAGAATTTTAGAAGTCACAGATAGGGCATGTTGGCTGAGTTAGCAAACATGGATGAAGTATCTTCTCCTTACAAAATACCATGCCAGTTGTTGTATAGCAACCAAAATGAACATAATATTTATTGAGCACCTACTGTGTGCCAGACATTTTATCCATATACTGATATTTGACCCTCATAACAACTCTGCGGTGGTTGTTACACTTAACTACCCAATAAAATCGACACTCAAAAAAGTTGAGTGACTTGTTCAAGGTTAAGAGCTACTAAGTGGTATACTCTGCATTTCAACTGTCTGTCCACTGACAAATCCCACATGGTTTGCAGTATACTATGATTCTCCCTTTGTGGACGTTTCAGTCAAGTAGAGACAGACATGTGAACTACTAATACTACCAGACAATGAAATAATAATATTTGTTGAGGGATAAACAAAATTCAGAAACAATTCCAACTGAGAAATTGAGCAAAGTTGTTTTTTTAAAGATTCATTTATTTTAGAGAAAGAGAGGGAGAGGAGCTGGGGAGAGAGAGAGAGCACACATGCATGCATGTGTGTGAGGAGGGGAGGATGAGGCATGGAGGGAGACTCAAGCAGACTCCCCTTTGAGCATGTAGCCTGATGTGGGGCTCAGTCTCATGACCTGGAAACCATGATCTGAGCTGAAATCAAGAGTCTGAGGTGTAACCCACTGAGCCACTCAGGTGCCCTGAGAAATTGGGCAAAGTTTTAAGAGCCCTGAAAGGTAAGAGAGCCTCAAGTTTGGGGAGAAAAGCATTGCAGATTGAAGAAACAGCATGGTCCAGATCATAGAGGCCTGCTTGAGAGCTACAACCTGATACCTTATGTGCATCTAGACTCCTGGGTTAGCATCGGAAGGTGGTAAAAGATGAAGCTGAAAAATGAGTGTGTCTAAACTGTGGAGGTCCCAGGTGCTATGCTGAGGAGTTTGAACAATTTAATCCTTCCTGAGTGGTGGCTTAGGCTTTTGAGGAGATGAATGACTGATTTGACTTGCAATTTTCTTTTAAAAGAGAACACTAGAGGTATGTAAAGTCTAGATTCAGTCTGGGAGTTAGGGTTCACAGGAAGGTGTTGCAATAATGTAGGGAAGAAATGACAAGAGCTGGAGCTAGACCAGTAAGAGTGGGAATGACAGTTGTGGAGGGAGCAGAAAGTGGTCATAGTGTAGGAAATTTTGTTAGCAGGCACTCTGGGCCTTGGAGATGTGTTATGGGTCAGTGGAGAAGGAGGAACCAAAAGTTATGACAAGGATTCTAGGATCAATGACTGAGTGGAAGGTGGTAGCAAAAGAAAGCACAGGTAGTTGGTAGGAGAAATAGAAGTAAAATCGGGACCTTGTTATGTGCCTGTTCCCTAGCATTAGTGACTGCATTAACTGTAGTTGTGATAATTATATTCTTAAAACATAACACAAAGTGGGTAAGAATGTTCTATTTTTGGACCATGTTCTTATTAGCTCCTGAATCATTTCAGGGGAAGTATATTATAAATGGGACTTTTTGAAAAGCATCTTCACCATGACTGGGTGATTGTGGGGTGTTTTCTTTGGTGTCCTTTGGTATTTCAAATTAATGGCACAGATCATTTCTTTCCAGGTGGTGACCATCCATATCACTCCAGTGGATGACCAACTTCCAAAGGAGGCTCCTGGAGTTTCTCGGCATTTGGTTGTCAAGGAAACTGAGGTGGCCTACATAACTAAGAAACATCTACATTTTATAGATACAGAATATAACAGGGAGCTTCTCTACACGATAACGACACCTCCGTTTTTCTCTTTCGGCCACAGGTATCTCTTGAGAAGTCATCACCTGGGCTATTTGTTGAGGGTTGTGTCCAAGGATTGAGTCGCAAGTGTCCATATACAGTACTGTGATTCAATTGCTCTGTTGATCAGACATGAATTTGTGTTCAATTCCACATTTACTGTAATCTCAAACTTATCTCATACCTCCCTTCAAAAGCTGTATTAATTGGTAAGTGACCTGCCACTTGTAGTGTCTTCAGCTTAGGTAAGCTTAAAGCAATCTTTAATCTTTTTTTCATACAACATTTCTTTCTTTTGTAAAGAGCATGTTATTTTTGTCTTTTTAATGAAATTTATTGAATCTTCATAACACTATTTTCAGATATTACAGGCCACAAAAGGTTATATTCTCTAATCTCAATTAGAAAAGTGGCATGAATATACCTGAGGCTTGTGTCATGTACATGACAGCAAGGAAACATTTTTTTTTAGGATGAGAAGAAGCAAGGAAACATTTTTTAGGCTGAGAAGAACAATTTCTTTTCATGAGATCAAAGTAGAAAATTCTGTACATACTTTCTGCAGTCATGAGAATGGCATTGATGATTCTGGACTGAAGACTAGAACCCCCCAACAGGAAGAGAGAATATGAAGATTTTGATTTTCTCTTACAATGGGCTTTTTTAGCTTTAGAAAATTTGGTTGTGGGCTATTTGACTTAATGTTCCTTGCCTGGAAAATTAGCTGATGTGTCCTTCTGTATTTCTCTCTAGACATCTGGATGCTGGGAAATTAATTATGGTGGATAGCATTTCAAAGCTAACTAAAAATTCTGCAGCCCGAGGGCTGAGATCATTCACTCAGGTATGATGCTATGCTAAAATCTTGACAAACGTGATGGAGGTGTCTTCTGAGAGAAGGGATGGCACTCCTAGTGTTGCACTTGAGAATGTTGGCCTTTGACATCTGTCAAAAGCATCAAATGCCTCATGTCTACTTCTTCCTGCTTCCATATATTTGTTAAGCATGTGATATCTATTTGAAAATGCTTCATTGCATTGGATATGATTTCCAAATCTTATTATAGCTCAACACAGCCTTTGGCACCGTTTTATCAGCAGCAGGGTTCTGATTAACGGATCTGGTGGTGCCTAGGTTTTATTCCACCACATTCGGGTCACTCAAGATCCACTGTATTAGTTTCCTAGTGCTGCCATAGATACTACAAACTGGGTGGCTTACAGCAACAGAGATTTACTGTCTCAAAGTTCTGGAGCCTGGATGTCTGAAATCAAGGTGTCTGCAGGGCCACCTTGAAACCCTGTAGTGAAAGCCTTCCTTGTCTCCTCCTTAGACTTTTGGATCACCACCCCAGACTGCTTCTGTTATCCTATGGCCATCTTTTCTCTGTGTGTCTCTCTCTTCTTCTGTGGACATGAGTTACATTCCATGAAGGGCTCACCCTTCCGTGTGACCTTATCTTAACTACTTACAGCTGCAATAACCCCATTCCCAAATAAGGTCATATTCTGAGGTACTAGAGGTTAGGACTTTAACATATCTTTTTTTTTTAAAAAAAAAAAAAGATTTTATTTATTCATTCATGAAAGACACATGAGAAACACAGGCAGTGAGAGAAGCAGGCTCCATGCAGGGAGCCTGACGTGGGACGTGATCCCGGGACTCCAGGATCACGCCCTGGGCTGAAGGCGGCGCTGAACTGCTGAGCCACTCAGGGATTCCGTAACATATCTTTTTTTTTTTTTTTTTTTTTGAGGGGAATGCGTTCAACTCATAACAACTACTACCTTCCAAAATCCTTCACTAACCTTCTCCCTGTTCCTGTGGACTGTACCCTGAATACTCCCCCGAGAGTCACAGTAATGGTGATGAATACTTAGGCAGCAGCTACCCCTGCACAGAGGGTTAATTCTGCTTAATTTCACTGTAGTTAGATGTTGCAAATAAGTGTGTAAACCCCATGTGCTCAGTACTAGTATTTTATTATTTTATTTATTTTAGTGATAAGGAATCGAGGCCTTGCAAGTTTAAGTACTTTGACCAATATCACACAGCTAATTTATTGCAAAGCTGGGTTGAAATTCACATCCCCTGTCTTTTATAGAGTTGGCTGGCTTCAAGCACTTGACATATTTACTTATTTCCTTTGTTCTTTTCCGTCCTGGTTTTAGAAAATGTGATTTCTAAAACAGATTTTTGGGATCTTCAAATTGATGATGTTGGCACTTCCAGTGTTCTGTGTCAATGTGATGGCTCTTGGAGACCTAGTTCTCTGAAAGTCTCTGATCCTTGCAGATGGGCGCCCACATTTCCATCTCGATTTGCTTTGCAGCATGCTGTAAACCACATGAAAGTGGCCTACAAGCCACCCATGCAAGATATGGGCCTCAATCCAGGATATGTTCAGTTTGCATTTTCCATCAGTAACCAGCGTGGAGGCACTTTGCATGGGATCTGCTTTAACATCACAATTCTTCCAGTGGACAATCAAGTTCCTAAGGTATGTACGATGTTTGATGTGAAAGACAAAAAGGAGGGAAGACCTAAAGAAAGAAAAGAAAGACTCCAAGACTTATTGGAAATGCTAACTTTTCATTAGCTATTTTATAGAACTATTTAATTTTCCAGCTCCAGTGTAGGAAAAAAAGCTTTTACCTCCCCATGGGACTTTTGGTCTAAAAGGTGAGATTTTCCAGTTGCTGAATTTGGCATTATTTTCAAAGCTTTATCAAAACCTCTTTCATTTCATTTCCTTTCTGCTAAGTCTCACATGCTGATCAGGGGAAGGGGATTAAGTTATGGGTCTCTTAGCAACTGGAAGGACTTATTTGTTCTCTTTGCAGGCCAACTATATGCTCACTAATCTAAATAAGCTTTTTAATTTTTCAAATGAATTAAGATGAGTCCTTCCATCCTCTCCTATCTCAGCCTTAGTGTTGACATAAGCATTCAAGCATTTGGGTGTCTCATTAAAACTGAACTACAAAGGCGATGCTACTTTCTGCATCTGATCTGTGAGGCTGGACTTCATATTGACAGTTTGTTTCAAACCCCATTAGAGGGCTAGACTTCATTCATGTGGCTGTTCCTGGACTCATTTTCCCCTCAGGAGTGGCAAGACAAAGTAAGATTACCTATATATCAGGAACAAGAGAGATGACAACCCATACATGTCTCACCCCTCTGGAAAGATGTCACCTTCCAAGTACCTACCTGGAAGACAGCCAGGAGTCCTGAGGCTCCCTTTCCGGCTCTCTCCTCCCCATCTCTACACCTGCCCAAAGCTGGAGGCTAGAGGTCTCACTCTGAAGACCAAGGGGCTTACCCAACCCACAGAACTGTTCTGATAGAGCCAAATGATACATTTAATTAGTGAGTTGCCAACATTTACACATTAGGAAGTTTCACATCAAGTCTGAATTTCTAGCTTTACTTGAAAATTTGGAAGCTCTAGCAGTAGTGAACTCACTTGTCCCCAGCAGCAGTTGCCAGGGCTTGCTCTCCAGTCCCAAAAGGCCCCACTTAGCCCAGTGCACTCATTTACATCACTGACCTGCCCCCTCAGGCCTCTGAACTTGCAACTTTTGGCAAAAGATGCACTAAAGGTCTCACACAGAAGACAAAAGAATCCGAACTATATTCTTTGATTCCTTCCCTGTCAGGGACCAGATCACATTCCCTGTGGAGGGAGTAGTTTATTATGTCTGTTAATTTGATTAGATTTTATTCAGACCATTCTTTCTGTATATGAGATACATGCCCTGAACTAGCCCAGCATCTAAAGAAGCCAAAGGTTTTTCTAAAACAGTCATGGAGAGAAATAGTGCTTTATGCAAAGCAATCCAAACCTCTTGCTAGAGAAAAATGATTTATGGACAGAATTAGAAATGATGAAAGGAACAATTATCTTCCTCTTTTGAAGGTAGATGGAATAGTTATGAGGACTCAGGGCTAATGTGGCATAGTGGTTTCTTTTTCCTATAGTGTATGGGACAAATGAAATCATACCTTAGAGAACTGAGAATATTATAAATAAAGTTAAATGAGTAGCTGCAGTGAAACCAGTCATGAGTGATTGGTTTCCTGGTGTGAAATACCTGCAGATAGCTGAGTTGAGTGATAACCACTAGGTGATCATAATATGATGCCAGCAGGAAGACCCCCAAAACCTAAGTACTGGGTTTAGGCAGAGACAGAAAAGTTAGTGATGAATGAGTTGGAGCAAATTAGCATTATGCTTTTATTTTTTGAAAGTTGACCTAAAATACATTTATAATTTAAAACCACAGAATATAGCAGAATATATCCCTTGAAATATTAGCATCTTGGAGTATTAATTGATGCAACTAGAGAATCAATGAAGCTGGCAGACATGGACCTTGTTTAAAAATAATGCTCCTCTTTTATAACAGGAGTATTATTTCTTTCTTTCTCCTCCAAACAGTAAAAATGTAGGAGTAAGGCATGTGGGAAGGATGGGGGTGAAGGTAGTTGTAGGGAAAGAAGGCTCTTGTTTTATGTTTTCCTTTGCTAGTAGAAGTAATGTATTGAAGAATAGAAAGCAACTGTCTCAGGGTGGTTGGTCTCATAATTTTCGTGAGCAGGGGCTGCTTTGGGGCAGCTGTGACCTGGTGGGCAGGAGGATAGAGCAGGTCTCCAAGTGAAGGCTATGACTTCTCCTTGCTCACTTCCATTTCCTCTGCCCATCTCCTCACACCCTGCCCTTTTTATTTAATGAGCTCTGTCTTCAGTGATAGCTCATAGAACAAGGCTTCGAATGTTTTCTTCCTTCTTTTTAGGTGTTTACCAACCCCCTAAGAGTGGCTGAGGGAGCTCAATGTGTCATCAGCACAGAAAATGTTCTGATTTCTGATGTGGATACCAAACTGGACAGCATCTACCTCTCCCTACAAAGACTGCCTCAGTGTGGAAGAGTGGAGCTGGAAGGATTTCCTCTAAACATAGGAGACATATTTTCTTGGGGAGACCTCCATGCCTTAAAAGTTAGGTTAGAACATTTCCTGGATCTCTTTTTCGATATGCTTTGGCCTTCATCTGGATCAGTTGTGAGGCAAAGTAAGGGAAAGAAGTTTGTTCAATTTTTTCAGGGGTACCAGCATGCCAATTAATACTTTCAAGGTTTGGTTGAAAATTAGAAATGACAATCTTTTAATTTCTCTCCAGACATTTTCTTTCCATCTGGCTTTCTCTATCGGTGGGAATTACTTTTTGAATATTTGAACAACAGGAATTAATTACCATGAATATTAATTTGCTGTAACTATACATGTCACAAGAGGTAATAGCCAAACTGAATGAATGTAGACTAAAATAGTCTATATGGCTAAGCTACATAGTTGAACTCAGCTTTAAGGAAGGTCAGTTTCACAACCCTGGAAATTCTGGGATAAAATTCTGTTGATCAACATCTTTAGTGTAAATTTTTATCCCATTCTACTGAGAATGGACTTGCAAGCAAACATGTAGGGTAGGCTAGGGAGGTAGGGCATGGAGTAGTACTTGGGTCTTTGGCAGTCAAAAATAGAACAATTCACTTTTTATGGTCCGACAGCAGTTCCCCTCACCTTGAGGTTTTTCATTTCTTCTATCTACTGCAGTTCTGTAAAAAACGTTCCTACAAAATCTAATAAAATGCCTTCTCTATAAAACAATGGAAAATACTCAAAAAGCAAAGGTCAGGTAGAGATATATTAGTTGACTTATCATTTATAAGTTCAAGTTGTAAATGGGAATTTTGATCCTTCAGAAAGTATTCAGCATCAAATGCTTAATTCCACACTTGGAAGTTGACTAGGAATTCAGATTTGTACATAGGAAGATCAATTTCATCTGAGATTTAGTTTAGTTTAGCATTGTTTATTCACAGTCTCCAGTATCTTGACCTCTTTTCACTACTCACTTCTATCCTTATTAAAATTTCATTTTTTAAGAGATCTCAGCTTTTAGCTACATGTTAGAACAAGAAGTCTGTTTAGCTAATTCTTACTAGGGAGTGAATGATGGATGGAAGAAAAAGTACTCGTATTTGCCAGCAAGGATTCTTCCATAGACTTACATTTATGTTTTTTTCCCCTAATTAATCTTTACAGTAATCAAGCCTGACAAGGGAGATGGTTGTATTCTCATATTATAATTGAAGAAACTAAGAGGTTGAAGTCACTCAGTATATGGAGGAGTCTGGTTTTGTTCTGTATGACAACATAACCATACCTTTAGATATGTATTCCTATATCCACTTGGTCCTTTTAGGGGTATTAGCATGGTAAGATAGGATTAGTACATTATCACATATCTATTTTTGATGAAAATATCAGGGATCATAGGAGGCAGTGTGTGGGAGGATACTGGGGATGGGAGATGGACTTTCTTTGCCATTGGAATGAAATCCCAAACCTGAGTCCCTTCCCAGTGTATGGGTGGGTCTAGCCCTGAGTAAAACACCTTTTAGACCTGGGATTTTTTCATATGTAAGTGTTATATATGTTTGATATACTATTTTTTTTAGAGTTATCTGTTTGAGAGAGGGAGAGTATGTGTATATGAGCAGGGGGAGGAGCAGAGGGAAAAGGAAAGGATTCTCAGGCAGACTCCCCACTGAGTGTGAGCCCAATGCAAGGCTCAAGCCAAGAACCCTGAGATCCATGACCTGAGCTGAAATGAAGAGTCAGATGCTCAACCACTGGGCCACAAGGGTGCCCCTCAGTATACTATTTTTATGTAACTTTAAATTTCATTTCCTAGGGCTTATTTCCTATTGTGAACAAATCACTGAAAAGCTAAAAATTTGGCTCAGTTCAACAGCTATTTAGAACTTACCATGTATCACTACAGTAGCTGGAGAGTAGATGAAAAGTCTTGAATTAGATAATTCCGTTATAAAGCTTGACTGAGAATTAAAGGAAAATAGGGCTAATGCCTAGCCAAGGAAAAATATTTTTAAGTCTGGAGAGATTAGAAAATCTTTATAGATTGAGTGGAAGAGAGCTAGTAAATAGAAAAGGGAAAATGGAGGGAGAGAGGCAATAAGTAATCCATAGATTAGAGTTTTAGAGAAGAGCTGGGTAGATTGAAAGCACAAGCAGAAAGATTAGTAGGTGAAAGGGGAGGGGAGAAGGGGGCTCATTGAGATTCATAGAGTGTCCTACTCTTACCTGTCTGATGTCTTCTCAGTAACCCCTGACCCCAGCCTTGTTTTACATAAGTAAGCATAACTACACCAACTGGTTCCCATTGCCATGGTGGCAACATGAAGGGAAGGTTTTGGATTTGGGGACAAATTATGAATGCATATAACACATTCTTCCAGGGTGGAGCCATTTTTACATTCAGGGATACTTGGGTAGTTAAGTATGTGACTTCATGATTAAGCTATGTTTTTTGTTATTCATTTGTTGACCATGTGGCAAAGCCATGGAAGGGCTTTTGTGTCAGGCATGCCCTACTGTCACAGTGGCCATGAGGGGCTAATGGCACATATCATCCCTACAGGTATCAGCATGATGGATCTGAGATACTTCAGGATGACATATTCTTGGAGGTCACAGATGGCACGAATTCAGCAGAATTTATTCTACACATTGAGGTGGGTAGAACGTTTACTCCCTGGTTCATATAGAAATGAACCATCTGGTTTGGAAGCCTCTTTTATGGAGGGGAGAGAGAGCACATGTATGCGAGTAGGGTGGGGAGGAATAGAGGGAAAGGGAAAGAATCTTAAGCACAGGACTTGATCCCATGACTCTAAGATCATGATCTGAACCAAAATCAAGAGTTGGACACCCAAATGACTGAGCCACCAGGTACCCCTGGTTTGGAAGTTTCTTTTTTTTTTTTTAAAGGTTTTATGTATTTATGCATGAGAGAGAGGGGCACAGACATAGGCAGAGAGACAAGCAGGCTCCCTGTGGGGAGCCTGATGTGGGGCTCTATCCCAGGACCCCAGGAACATGACCTGAGCCGGAGGCAGACACTCAATCACTGAGCCACCCAGGTGCCCCTATTTGGAAGTCTCTTAAGAGTTCCTGATAGAACTTGAAACATGTCGACTCCAAACAAAAGTATACTTGTTTACATCTGAATGTCTCAGGACAGGCAATAGACAACAAAATTATATTGGTGAAAAGGGCATACTACTTTTTCTTTCTAATCTATTTAAAGATTAAACCACTCTGATCTCAAACCTAGATACTTAATTTAAAAAGATGTGGTATATATATATATATATATACATACACATACAATGGAATACTACTCAGCTGTCAAAAATGACATTGCTGTTTGCAACCATGTGGATAGAACTATAGGGTATTACACTAAGTAAAATAAATTGTTCAGAGAAAGACAGTTATCATATGATCTCACTCATGTGGAATTTAAGAAACAAAACAGAGGATCATAGGGGAAGGGAGGAAAAAAACAAAATCAGAGAGGGAGAAAAACCATAAGAGACTCTTAATCATAGGAAACAAACTGAAGGTTGCTAGAGGGAAAGGGGGTATGAGGTAACTGGGTGATGGAAATTAAGGACGTGTGATTTAATAAGCATTGGGTATTATATAAGACTGATGAATCATTGACCTCTGCCTCAGAAACTAGTAATGTATTATATGTTAACTAATTGAATTTAAATAAAACCCCCAATTGGTTCTATGCATAAATTGATTCTAATATTTTTGAGCTATAATACTCAGAAATATTTATTTAGCAACTGGCTGGATTAGGCTAGCATCACTGGGCTTTTCCTTCTTGTGTGGAAGAAGCCATGTATGTAGTGCCCCTTTGTGAATTCCTGTACCATGTACTCCTTTCTGAGATGTATTTGAAATGATTTTTACCCCTTTTGACAAATGATGAAAAATTTGCACATAAATGTTGATGGGAATCCCTGCATTTCTCTGTTGAGTGACCACTTAAATCCATAAACAAAATTCATAGGATTTACAAGTATTTATAGTTAGTGACAAAGGAAGGTATACTGAAAGAATTACCATGCCCCAGAAAGAACCACTAATGACTTTTATCTACCAAATATTTGTTTGAAATTTTTCAGATCTTTGTGATATGAAATTATTATTAGTGGTAATAATGTGTATGGTATTTTATGGTTAGTAATTAATTTAGGTTGATTATATCCATCTATTATTTTTAAGTAGATGAGGAAGAAATTATCTCCATTTTAAGGCAAGGAAACTTAAGTTCAAGAAGTTTCCATGACTTTCCCCAAATCATTCTATGTAAGCTGTCTGTTTATTGTGAATTTTTAGACAAAAAGGGCCATGCCCTTGGAAACCAATTAGAAGTACAGGTAACTTTTGGACAATTATGTGTGATTGTTTTCTATCCAGGAAGAATGTTAAATTCTGTTGCCTTTGGGCTTTATTATCCTTTGAAAACTGAGGCTATTTTGTGTTTTGTAAGGTGGTCATCATGGATGTATTGGTGCCATTCATAGATAGAGTCAGGAACAGTAATAAAGAGGGTCCTTAATGAATCCACTCAGAGGACTTGAACAAAGATATTGTTCCCTAAGAAGCCAATAGAAAATAGAATACAGTATTGCATACTTTTTTTACCTTCGATTAAATAAATAAATCTGAGTTTTTATTACCCCATCTACCCTTTAAAGGAAAATATGAAAATAATTTCATGTATACTTATTGTAGAGTTGTTAGCCTGTTTAAATAACAGGGTATCCAGAGCATATATACATATTTACCTTCATTCATTTATTTACTCTATAAATATTTAACAAATGCTTTCTATATGCCAGTGCCTATGATAGATGCTTGAGATATGATGATGAACATGACAAAGAAAGTCTCTGTTCAGTTAGAGATTATAGGCAGGGGTGAAGGCAGACATTAAGTAGATTATCACTGAAATAATTAAAATATGGATATATCTACAAATAAATGAGGTGCTAAAAGAGAGTAAATGGTAGAAGTCCCTAAATGAGTCTGAGTTGTCTAAGAAGTTTTCCATGAAGAATCCAAATGTAATCTGAAGGAGAGGGTAGGCAAGCCAGGAGCTGAGGTAGAGTCTACAGAGCCACAGGGCAGAGAGAGCATGCAGAGATGGTGCAAAGACTCAAGATGGGAGGAACTCAGTGTCTTTGGGTGACAAGGCAGTGGGGTGGCAGAGGCCCCCAATTACATGAAGTGAGGCCTAATACATTCCTAATACAGTCCTAGGAAGCTGCTGCTTGTCCCCATATGGCAGTTACTTGATGAAAGCCACATTTTAAAAGGTGAAAGATATACACAATCTAAAGAGAAACAGAGTTATGAAAGCCACATTTTAAAAAGATCACCATGGCTCAAGTGAAGGGGCCTGAAATGTGGGATTGAGAGTATCTGCAGGTTGGACTTGATAACTAAATGTGTAGCAGATACACCAAGTTGAGACCATGAACTCAGAGGCAGAAAGTCCTTCATTCTTGCCTTTTTGGGGTCCCTGGGTGGCTCAGTCAGTTCAGCTTCTGACTCTTGATTTTAGCTTAGGTCATAATCTCAGGGTCAGGAGATCAAGCCCTGTGTCAGCCTCCATGCTTAGCACAGAGTCTGCTTGAGATTCTCTCTCCTTCTTCCTCTGTCCCTCCTCCCAGTCATGCTCTCTCTCTCTTTCTCAAATAAATAAATTTTTTAAAACATTTAAAAAAAATAAAGGACTTGCCTTTTCAAGTGTCTGGGTGATTCCATTAGATTCAGAGAGCCAGAGTGATTCCATATTGCTCTTCTTTCCTTTCTACTTAGAGCTTTATTTTCATACAGTGAGAGAAAAATGTTTCATCAAGTTGAAGCCTGGGATTGATTTAATGGTTATGGAGTTTCAGAGTTAACTCAAAATATTTGAAATAAGCTGTTGCTTATTATAAGTTTAGAGAAACTTCCTGGGTGGCAGGAAGTTGAGGGTGGAGGAAAGCTTTGTAATTGCCAAATAATTTGAAATATAAATAACTCTGATGTGGTAAATGTAAATGCATCAGACCACAAGGACCAGATTTCCTCTAGAATATGTGTGAATTTAACGAAGGAGGATAGGGACTTCAGTGAAGACTGATTTGTATTACATTTATATTTTGTCTGTCTAGAAATAAATGAGAGCTTTGAGTCCCAAACCATAACCATACTCTTCCATTTCTACCTAAAATGTCTCTCATGTTGGCCATTTCTTGCAAGATGATTCATATGGGGAAAAGACACAGCCTGCTTGGCCAAATTCCATGGTTATTGTTTCATGTGTCTGGAAGATTGAAAATGCCTGTCATTCCGACTATGAGCTATGGTTTAACAGTTGGGCAATTTGTCATTGCTTTCTTTTTCTTGAAAACATGCATTCCCCCCAACTAGGTATTCCCTGTAAATGATGAGCTACCAATCCTAAAGACTGACCTCATTCCCATGATACATTGCTCAGAGGGCGAAGAGGTAGTCATCACCTCTGAATACATTTTTGCTACTGATGTGGACAGTGATGACTTGAAACTGATGTTTGTGATTGCTCAAAAGCCTCAACATGGGGTGGTGAGGAAGGCTGGAGTCACAGTGGATCAGTTCTCTCAGGGAGATGTCATCTCGGGGGCTGTGACATACAAACACACGGGTAAGTGACCACACGGCGACTAGTGTGTGAGTGGATGCAAGCACCACAACAGTCATAACCCTCCTTCTTGCTGGGGGCTCTGATAAATCTAAAAGTCTTAACGCTTGCTTCTGTTAAAAAAAGCAACAATAGTAGCAGCAGCCTGTAACCCATTTTATAAGCATAATCACCATATTTAGAAGGATTTCTGATCTCAGTAACATAGTGAATTTCCAAGAGTGGAGAAGGAGCACCTATTATTGCTGTTTTGTTCCTGATGCTTCTACTGAGACCTTTAATTCACCCTGGGTCATCTGCATTCCCTTTTTGGTCAATTCAAAGAAGACTTCATTTGACCATCACAGCTTTGGGATCCATAAAACATAGCAGAAATGCCTGAAGTAAGCACCCTAAGATAACTATATTGCTAATTTTAATAGGCACCTGGCTGGCTTGATCCATACAGCATGGGACTCTTGATCTTGGAGTTATAAGTTTGAGCCCCATTTTGGGCACTGATATTACTTAATAAAAAAGATTTTTTAAAAAACACAAGTTTACTTGATTACCATCGAGTTCCTAAGGAGTAACTTTTTTGTCTTTTGAATTCCTGAAAAGCAAAGATGATATCTTATGGTTTTGAATAATCCCACAGCATTAGACAGCAATGAACACAGAGTAATGATACAGTAAAAGCTTGTTTATTAGCATCGTTCTTTCATTTCTGGCATCACATTATATTGTTACCCAGATGGCATTTGTCTGCATGTCAAATGTCCAAATAAGAAAAATATTAACTCAGCATCTGTTATCTGCAAGACACACTACTGGGCACTGTGGGCTGCAAAGGAGTATAATCCAGACTCAGCTGCAAAGGACTTTCAATTTAAATGGGTAGACAGACTCACTCATGTGTCACATATCTGTACCTCATCAGTCTTTGCCTCTTGCACGTCTTCTGATCTCTGGTTTGAGTGCACTTCCTCGGTAATAATACTGTATACTTCCTCTAAACACTTTTTATTGCCACTCGATTACAGTTTCATGTGTACTCATCCATATGCTGCTCTCGTGTGTAGATTCCATGGGAAGCAGGATGGGGATAGAAGGCCAGGTGAGGGCGCAGGGAATAAGAGGTTTCAGAACTCAAATCACTTCCTTATTTGAAAACACATGGAGAATACAAGCAGTCAGTGTGAGAGCCTTGAGGAACCCAGAGTAGGGAGATTGAGATAGAAAAGGCTTAATTGGAAATGGGGGGGGGGGGATATTGTGAAATAGTATTTTTATCTGTACTTTGGAAAACCATGATTTAGTAAGATACCAGTTGTTTTATGGCCAGTTAGTTAGTATGGCACATTTTAATCACTGTGCCGGACATCTCTTGAAAAAATGGTATCCCTTTATCTTCTTAAGTGTATTTAGTCTTAGGAAGGGTTTCACTGGTTATTGCCCTGTCCTGGGGAGCAGAGTCCACTTGCCCAATGTCTCTCAAGGGTCCACACCTGGGTGCCTCATTCTGATTTCCTCAATAGGTCTCAGACTGGCAGAAAAGGGGCTGTAGCCCGATAACTGTTGGTTTTCATATAAATTTAATATCGGTGGCAGGCTAAAGCAGCATAGATATTGGGGTGAGATGAATTGGGGGTGAGATGAATCTGTCTTCTCTTCCAGTGCTTTGCTCCAAGTGCTAAACAGCAGGTGTCCATCTTTATATCTCTTCCAGCGTGATGGCCACATAAGGAAGTATGAACTAATTTTTTTTAGAACACTAGGCAAATTACTTGAGATAGATGGGTATTTTGTTGTTGTTGTGTTACTAAATTAGCAGAAATACTTCCAATTCAGAAGATGGTTTGTTATTTGAATGATGTGTTTCCTTGCAATGTTCTAGCAGTTACTCAATTGGTAATTATTTAGCATTGCCTGGGAGAGAGTATAAGGACCACACAGTACTGAAGGACCTAAAGTTTTAGTGGCTCTGCTTTGCCTTTATGTGTTGATTATAAAGGCTACCTGAGAATAATTTTGTCACCATTATTTTTTTTTTGCTTTCCATGATGATAAAAATAATACTACATGCCATTAAAAAAAACTTGGAAAGCATGGAAAATAATAATGAAGTTTTGAAAAATCACCTATCTACCTCTCAAAACTGGTCACTGTTGACATTTCAGTATTATAGTACTTTGTTTTCTTTCTTCTGATCATAATTTTTTACATAGTTGCCTATCATGTATGTGCAGTTTTGTTAATTACTTTTTTCATTGAGCTTGTGAGCTAAAAATTTATTAAGATATTTATTAAATGTTATGAAGTTATTGTAAATGTAAGTTTTAATAATTGAATAATATTTGATGATGTAAAGTTACATCATCAGAGAATCTGCTCTTCTCCCAACATTAAACATGAAGTCATTCCAACAAAAATTTTTAAATAACATTGTGGTCAACCATTTTAAGTATAAATCACACCCTAAGACTATATTCCATTTGAGGCAGAGAATTCTCCACCCATGATGCTCAGCCTGGCTTTTCTGTAAATGTATCCAACACTTCATTATATTTGAAATTACAGTTATGGAAGGCACTATGTTTGCTTTTTTTTCTTTCTTTAAAAAAGCTGTCTATTCTTCCTTGGAATGATTTTTCCACTTCTCTTCTTGGCTCTCTCTCCTTGCAGATTCTCCTTTCTCCATCCCAGTTATCTACTTAATCTGCCTGGTAAAGTACTCATCACTTAATGCTCAGGATAAAGCTAGCAGAGCCATCTGGAAAGACTTCTTAGACTTTCTCTGCCATGTGTGCCCTGCCCCCACACCCCTGTCTGCCAGAACTTTCATCTTTCTTCACTTGCAGCTCCGTGTACATAGTCAGGCTGAGATATAGGAATTTTCTATTTAATTAGTAAAAAAATGACTTCATGGTGGCAATTTCACATGGTTCCTCTTAATACATACATACACCTGTGATAGTCTAACAAGCTGCTTTTCTTTCTTTGCCATGAGATTGTGTCAGTGCCTGGCCATAATAGGTCTTTTGGCATTTGACATTCTTTTGAACTGATTTTGATGCTTTCAAAATGTCTGCCTGATTCTCTGCTGAAGAACCCAGAACACTAATTATCACACAAGAGCCGTTAAATATATATTTATCAAATGAATGAGGAATAAAGAGGCTTTATTCCAATTTATTTTTAAATAAATATGAATAAATGAGAGGCATCTTATATTTGTTACTACTCCTAAACTTAAAGGCAGATTATTTAATTCTAATTCTCTCCACTTCAACTTTATTTTTTCTTACAAGCCCAGTTTTCTCATTCTTCAATCATTGGTTGCTCCGTAATATCATCTCTTGATTTTCCTTGTCATTATTTTAAGTGGGTAGAATAAGGCCAAGAACAGTACAGTGTAGATTTGACCAATGTGTCTTGTGAAAAGACCAGTGATGTCCCTGATCTCTTGTGCTCTGGTCTATCAAAATTCCAAACGAAATTGCTTCCTTCTTGGCACTTTCAATGTTATGCATGAGAAGTACCAAAAGCACATCTGCAGAACTTTTCTGTTCCCTGGATCTTCTACCTCTGTGCTGTTAGTTAACCAAGAGCAGATTGGCTGGTTTGCTGATAAACTATCTAATCCTCACATTTTTTTCCCTTCTACCTCTTGCTGCTTCAGTTGGGGCCATATTAAATCCCACATGCATACCCCTAAAGAGTAAAAGGAAAGCATAAATAAATGCCACCTTTTTCCCCATGTCCTGTTGTTCTTTTGTTAATGTCTTGGCTATTATTTAATAAGGAAAATATTGAAATGAATGACAAAAATGTGGCTCATCTTTCTATTTCACCTTCCCAGCTTCTTCCGTTGCTCCTAACTGTGGTGGCATGGTTGATGGTTGTTCATTTAAGGTAGTTGATGTAAATGGGAAGACAATCCAGTTGGAAGGACAAGGGTGCCTTCTGCTCTCCCTGAGGTTGGTCCTAACACTAGACAATCAGGAAGGAAGAATGAAACCATCAATAGTCAAGCTTTGTGCCTCTCCTTGTTCATTTGTGAACTGTCAGACCCTTGTTAGCCTCTTTTTTGCCCCTCCATATGGTGAGAGATGGCTGGCCAGGATTTCACCAGAGGCAACAGATGGGCAAGCATTTTTTCATTATTTTCACAACTATTTCCTTTCATAGAGATAAAATTGAATTTTGCAGGTTACCCACCTAGATTTCCTTCCTTGCCATTGTACACATGTAGTAGAGAGGTAGGTTGGTTTCATCTTAGTATTCTATATTTTTATAAAGTCAGTTTTCAACTGTAGTTGTGTCTTCCAGGTGGTGAGATTGGCCTGGTGCCTTGTTTTGATACCATTACATTGGTGGTTTCGGATGAAGAAGCTGGCCCTTTTGTGAATGGCTGTTGCTACAATGGGCCTCATCCATCTATTCCTCTTCATGAGTCCTTTCCAGTGTATGACCTCAACATCACAGTACATCCAGTGGACAACCAGTCACCTTCAATCGCAATTGGTGACAATGTTTTTTTTCTACTAATGTTCCATTATCTCATCTGTGTCATACCTGTGGTTTAGTGAAGAACTGAACTTGAATTATAGTTAAGATAGGAAACTACCATACAGAATTGTCTGAGAATTGCCTCAACACAAATTTGCAGAAAACTCCATATGTTTAAAAGATTACAAGGCAAAAGAATTTATTTGTTTAAAAATGTGGATAATTCTGTATGGAGAGAGAATGTGTGTTAGTGAGTGAGTGTGTGTGTGTGTGTGGGTGGGAGGGGATGAGGACAACATTGGAATCCTCAAATACTCTGGTTTTATTTCACGTGGGAAAATATCATTTGCCTGCTAGAGAGAGGGAGTAATTTATTTTATCCATAATAATTTCTATTAGAGTAGAATGAAAATACCAGAGAGACCATTTATATACATTTAACCTTATTTGCTTTTTAGAAAGTCATCGCTTCATAGGCATTATGTATATGTTCTGTCTCTTAGAAAAAAAATACAAGCATATGTATGGATGTTATTGTAATTTGCAAACTATCTCCCAAGCAATGTTCTGGAAAGGAAGCATTATCCCTGCAGAATAATTAAGCACCAAGGCATGAAAAAATGTTCGTTATGAGCAATTCATAATAGCTCGCAGGCAATTAACGCTCTGACAAACAGAGGTAACAACTGATCTTGAGGAGTACATAAACTACATTTAGTGGCTTATCATTAAAACAGTTTGGCAGGGATCCCTGGGTGGCGCAGCGGTTTGGCGCCTGCCTTTGGCCCAGGGCACGATCCTGGAGACCCGGGATCAAATCCCACATCGGGGCTCCCGGTGCATGGAGCCTGCTTCTCCCTCTGCCTGTGTCTCTGCCTCTCTCTCTCTCTCTCTCTCTGTGACTATCATAAATAAATAAAAATTTAAAAAAAAAAAAAAATAAAAAAAAAATAAAACAGTTTGGCAGTTCTTATTTTCATTTGTCACTTCTATAGAGACACAAGGGAAATCAGAGTTCCTTGAGAATGACTAAAGGGCTGTACTAGAGCATTTAGTATTTCTGCTGTCTTTCCATTATTGTTTGGCTTGCTTGTCCAAGAAAAAAAATATAATTCCACAAGTCAAATTAAATTCCACCCATTACCCCTGAATATTTTCACTGTAAGGAGAAATTATGCCAAAGGAAATGAACAACTCCCATGGAAGTATATTTGCATATGGGAGGCTTCTCTGAATTGGAATTGCAATCACTCCCTTTTGTCTTCACTATTCTGATTAGAGGATTTCACGCTAAGTCATAATTGCGTTGTTATTTGCATGCAGGTACCATGTTTGTGGTAGATGAGGGTTTCTCCGCAGCCGTTACCATTAACCATTTGTCCGCCACTGACCCTGACACTGCAACAGATGACTTGGAATTTGTTTTGGTTTCTCCTCCCCAGTTTGGCTACCTTGAAAACACACTTCCTTCTGCAGGTTTTGAAAAAAGCAATATGGGCATAAGCATAGGTAAGTCATGACTTCGTGACCAGAGATAACCCACCTATGTTTACAGATCTCACTGGACAGATCATGCTCAATGACTGGGTAGGAACTTAAAAATGTTCAAAACACTATGTACACTCAAGATATTATTATTATTATTATAGTGGATACTTTTGAATATTATTGTTTCTCTTTTTGATTTTCAGTTTTGAATTGCCCCATGTATGTGAGTTACTTCAAAATAAGTGGAGATTTCACTTATGAAAACTCTAAGAATAAATATGGAAGAAAGAATGTTTTAAAAGACCTTCATCGCAACACAAAATACTGTAATAGAATTTAGATTTATCTTGAAGTTGGATTTATCTTTGATAGATTTATTCTATCAAATCTGGTGGGAGCTCATAAGTCTCCTCTCAATCTTTTAGCATTTTTAATAGACATTGGTAGAAAAGATTAGGACATGTATCATGGGTGTAACAGAGAGAGAGCCTGAAATGTTGAAGGTGATGGCTTTAATTTTGAAACCAAAATGTGTCTCAGATATTTTTTTTTATTTTTAAAGATTTTATTTATTTATTTGAGAGAGATCAGAGCTAGAGAGAGAGAAAGAACACAAGCAAGTGGAGCAGGAGAGGAAGAAGCAGACTCACCACTGAGCAGGGACCCCAGTGTGGGGCTTGATCCCAGGACCCCCGGATCATGACCCAAGCCGAAGGCAGACTCTTAACCAACTGAGCCATCCAGGAGCCCTGTGTATCAGATATTTAAATAGCTCTTGTATTTCAGGCAATAACAACCAAAACAAAAACAGACATCAAAACCAAAACTATTCAAATACAACACTTCATTTATTTATTCAAAGACAACACTTTAGAAATAAATGAACTAAATTATTCTTTAAGTACCTTTGAGGCATATCCAGTTTAAATATGAGAGAGGCTAGGTTTAAGATTAATTGCACTAATAGAATGACTGACTGCATAGGAAAAAAAAAGATCCAGCTACATGCTGCCTACAAGAGACTAACTTCAGCTTCAAGGGCACACAGGCTCAAAATGAAAGGATGGAAAAAATATTCCATGCAAATGGAAACCAATAGAGAGAAGGGGTACTTATAACCGATAAAATAGACCTTAAGTCAAAACTGAAACAAGAGACAAAGGTCACTGTAAAATGATAAAGGGGTCATTTCATCAAGTGAATATAATAATTGTAAATTTATGTGCATACAACACTGGAGCACCCTATATTTAAAAATATACCAACAGATCTGAAGGAAGTAATGGCAATAATGCAGTAATAGTAGGGGACTTCAGTACTCTACTTTCAACAATGGATAGATCATCTGGACAGAAAATCAATAGGGAAACAGTGGAAGTAAACTGTTTAGACCAAATGAACCCAGTGGACAAATACAGTAGTACATTCCATCCAACAGAAGCATAATACACAGTTTTCTCAAGCATGTATGGAACATTCTCCAGGATAGATTATATGAAGTGTCACAAAACAAGTCTTAGCAAATTTTAAAAGATTGAAATCATGCCAAATATTTTTCTGACCATAATAGTATGAAATTAAAATCAATAAAAGGAGGAAAAGTAGAAAATTCACAAATATGTGTAAATTAAGATACTGCTGAACAACCAATGAATGGGTCAAAGATGAAATTTTCTAAAAGTCCTGAGTTCTGATCACAAGGGAAAATTTTTTTCTTTTTTTTCTTTCTTTCTCTTTTAATTGTATCTTTTTTTTTCTTTTAATTGTATCTATATGAGAAGACGGATGTTAGCAAAACCTATTGTGGCAATCATTTCACAATACATGTATACCAAACCATCATGCTCTACACAGTGATGTATGCTAAGTATTTCTTAATAAAACTGGGAAAAAGAAATTTTAAAAATTTTAAAACAAAATGCAAGCACAACACACCAAAATATCTGAAATTCAGCAAAAGCAGTGTTAAAAGGGAAGTTTATAGTGATAAGTGCTTAAATTTAAAAAAAAACAACAACTCAAATAAACAACCTAACTTTATAACTCAAAGAACTAGAAAAATAAAAACAAAATAAGTCGGGACGCCTGGGTGACTCAACGGTTTAGCGCCTGCCTTCGGCCCAGGGCATGATCCTGGAGTCCTAGGATCGAGTCCTGCATCGGGTTCGTTCCCTGCGTGGAGCCTGCTTCTCCCTCTGCCTGTGTCTCTGCCTCTCTCTCTCTCTCTCTCTGTCTTTCAGGAATAAATAAATAAAATCTTTTTAAAAATCTTTAAAAATAAAAAGAACAAAAATAAGTCCAAAGTTGGCAGAAAAAAGGAGACTACAAAGATTATGGTAAAAGTAAGTGAAATAGAGATTAAAAAAACAATAGAAAAGATTAATGAAACTAGGACATGGTCTTTCAGAAGCATAAACAAAACCTCAAAAGCAAAAGCAAACCTTCACCTAGACTTACCATGAAACAGAGACAACTCAAATAAAATTTGAAATGAAAGAAGAGATATTACAGCTGATACCACAGATATACAAAGGATCGTAAAGAGATTACTATGAACAATTATACATCAACAAATTAGACAACCTAAAAGAAAAAGATTAATTCCTAGGAACAGACAACCTACCAAGTCTGAATCATGAAGAACTAGAAACCTTCAAAAGACTGATAACAAATAAAGAGATTTAATCAGTAATCCAAAACATCCTAACAAAGAAAAGCCCAGAACCAGATATTTTTACAGGTTCTATCTAATTTTTAAAGAAAAATTAACAGTATTCTCAAATTCTTGCAAAAAATTGAATAGAAGGGAAAACTCCCAAACTCATTTTATAAGACCAGCATTACCCTGATACCAAAACCAGGTAAGGATACCATTAAAAAAACCACAAACCAACAATATCCCTGAAGAATATAGATGTAAAAATTTTTCCCAAAATATTAACAAACTGAATTCAGTAGCACATTTAAAAGAATCATACACCATGATCAAAAGGAAATTATACCTAAGATAGTAAGGATAGTCAACATATGCAAAGCAATAAATATGATACACCAAATTGATAGGAAGATACGAATTCTATGATGATCTCTATAGATGCTGAAAAGGCGTTTGATAAAATTCAACAATGTTTTATGATAAAAACTCTCAACAAATTGGGTATAGAAGGAACATACCTAAACATAATAAAGGCCATATGTGATAAATTCACAACTAGCATCATACTTAGCAATAAAAGGTTAAAAACTTTCTAAGATGACCAAAACAAGTGTGCCCACTCTTACTGTTCCTATTCAACATAGTACTGAAAGTCCCAGCCAGAGTAATTAGGCAAGAAACAGAAATAAAAAGCATCAAAATAAAAGGGAGAAGTAAAATTGGCTCTGTTTGTGAATGATATTACATGGAAAATTTTTAAAGATTTTACGAAAAAACTGTTAGAACAACTCAGCAAATTAAGTAGTTTTAGGATACAAAATCAACAGAAAAAGATCAGTTGTATTTCTATACATCAATGATGAACTATCTGAAAAAGAAATAAAACAATTTCATTTACAATAGCATAGAAAACAATAAAATACTTAGGAATAAGTTTAACCAAGAAACTGAAAGACTTATACACTAAAAACTTTAAGACAGAGTTGATATCCTGATGGAAGAAATTGTAAAAGGCATAAGCAAATGGAAAGATATATTCATGAATTGAAAGTGTTAATGTTGTTAAAAAGTCCATACTACCCAAAGCCATCTATAGATTCAAGGCAGTCACTACCAAAATTCAAACGACATTTTTCACAGAAGTAGAACAATCAATCCTAAAAGTCTTTTGAACCACAAAAGATCTTAAATTGCCAAAGCAATTTTGAGAAAGAACAAAGCTGAAGTCATCATGTTTTTTGATTTCAAACTGAATTACAAAGCTATAGTGATCAAAACAGGATGGCATTGACATAAAAACAGGCACATAGATCAATAGAACAGTATAGAGAACTCAGAAGTAAAACGACTCATATTTGGTCATTTAATTTACATCAAAGGAGCCAAGAATATACACTGGGAAAAGGACAATAAATGGTGTTGGGAAAATTGGACAGCCACACACAAAGGAATGAAAATGACCAACCAATGTCAGACTGTAAAAAAAATGATCTCAAAATAGATTAAAGACTTCAAACCTGAGATTGTAAAACTCCTAGAAGAAAACATACGTGGTAAATTCCTTGACATTGGGCTTGGCAATGTTTTTTTTAGATTCAACACCAAAAGCAAAGGCAACAAATGCAAAAATCAACAAAGAAAGATCACATCAAACTAACAGACTTCTGCAGAGCAAAAGAAACATTCAACAAAATGGAAAGGCAACATGCAGAATGGGAGAAAATATTTGCAAGCCATATATCTGATAAGGGATTTATGCCTAAAATGTATAAGGTACTCAGGCAACTCAATAGCAAAGGAGCCCAAATAATCTGATTTTAAAATGGGCAGAAGAATTGAATAGACATCTCTCCGAAGAAGACAGACAAATGGCAAACAAGTATGCGAAAATGTGCTCAGCATCACTCATCATCAGGGAAATGTCAGTCTAAACCACAATGAGACGTCACCTCCCACCTGTTAGAATAGCTTTTATCAAAAAGACAAGAGATAACAAATGCTGGTGAGGATGTGGAGAAAGGTAACACCTGTGCACTGTTGGTAGGAATGTAAATTAGTACAGCCACTATGGAGATTTCTCAAAAAATTAAGAATGGAACTGCCATGTGATCCAGCAATTCCATTTCTGGGTATATATCCAAATGAAATGAAAATGGGGTATCAAAGAGATATCTATACTGCCATGTTCATTGCAACATTATTCACAATAGCCAACACATGAAAACAACCTAAGTGATCAGTGATGGATGAATGGATAAAGAAAATGTGATCTTGGGGCAGCCCAAGTGGCTCAGCGGTTTAGCACTGCCTTCAGCCCAGGGCCTGATCCTGTAGACCTGGGATCGAGTCCCACGTCGGGCTCCCTGCATGGAGCCTTCTTCTCCCTCTGCCTGTGTCTCTGCCTCTCTCTCTATCTCTCATGAATAAATAAATAAAATCTTTTTTTTAAAGAAAATGTGATCTAAACACATAATAGAATAGTATTCTGCCGCAACAAGAAGGAAATCCTGTCATTCTCAACAACACACATGGACCTTGTGGGCATTATGCTAAGTGAAATACATTAGGGAAAGACAAATACCATATGATCTCACTTATATGTGGAATCTAAGACCATTAAACTCAAAGAAACAGTAGAATAGTGGTTACCAGGGGCTGAAGGGTGGGGGAAATGGAGAGATGTTGGTTAAAAGGTACAAATTTATGTAAAATCCAGGGATTTGAGGTACAGCATGGTGACTATAGTTAATACTCTATTGTATACTTGAAAGTTGATTTGAAAGTAGAGTTTTAATGTTCTCACTACGACAACAACAAAATGGTAATCACATGAAGTGAATGATGTGTTAACTAAACTTATTGTGGTAACATTTTATAGTATGTGTATATCAAATCATGACATTGTAAAACTTAAACTTACAATGTCATATGTCAGTTATATCTCAGTAAACCTGGGAGAAGAGATTTATTGCATTAAAGGTATGCAATTTGGCCTGCGTCCTAATGCTCAACCTAGAGCATTTTTCTCTTTTGATTTAACGTAATGTCAAAATACCAAAACAGCTAATTCCACTCAATCCAACCTGTTGCTTGACATCAATTAGGCAAGTGATTGACTGACTCTTGTTTTGCCTTTACATGAAAGAGATAGTCTCTTTCTTATTCAAGTATTATAAGAACTCTTCATATAGGAGCAGTGGTTTTAATCAAGGGAAGGTCTCTCTTACATTCGTTCCAACTATATAAAGAACAGTCATGAAGTCCCTACACATCCTGCTTAGCAGTTATCGGCCTTCTGTTCTCCATGCAAATTTTATTCCTTCCTTATGGTTTATGGATATCTGTTTTTATGTTGATGGCTGACAGACATTATAGCAGCTCCTGATAGCTAATTCTGAAGTCAGCCGTGATGATCTCTTATTTGCTTTTCTGAGAAATAGGCTATTGGGTTAAGGATTAAGAGCCAGTTGCTTGGGAAAAAAATGTTTTTCTTATTTACCTGCTCCCTGTTGATGTGCTCTAGCTTCGTTCCCGTGGAGAGCCATGAAGGCTTTGCACATTAACTATGTGCAGGCTAGGCATCTAAGGATGGAACCGACGGCTGACCAGTTCATGGTGTATGTCACAGATGGGAAGCAACGCTCCTTGGAGATACCATTTTACATTATAATCAACCCCATGAATGATGAAGCTCCTGACTTTGTAGTGCAGAATATTACTGTAAGAAAGATAACAGAATTTTCCATTTATTTTTTTATCATTTTCTGATTTTATTTTGCACTTAATACATTAAGTTGATAAGGAATGGGGAGAGCAGTAACCTATATTATATAATGCAATTACTTGAAAAATATTATCTAATAATGATGGTATGATTATAAGTGCTAACATATAGAATTGCATGGATGCAATTAAGTTGCATATATATAGGATGGAGTACTTACTAGGTTGTAGGTACTATTTCAAGTCCTTTACATGTGCTTGTTTTTAATACTTATAAGGTTTTTAGGATGATGGTATTATTATTATTGCCTTTTAGTAGCTAAAAAAAATGAGGCACAATGAGGTTAATTTATTGGCCCAAGATCACAGAACTTGGAAATAAGTGGCATATAGGGAATGGTATATAGGGGATTTGCACCCAGGCAGTTTGATTCCATAGCATGGCCTCTTAACCAATGCTATAATGATAAGGACTCTTAATTCACATATATAAGGCATATTTTTATATAGCTACTTTTTAAAAGATTTATTTACTTTGCTAGAAAAGGAGAGAGAGAGAGAATATGAGTGGAAGAGGCAGAGAGAGAGGCAGGGAGAGAATCCTCAATCAGACTCTGCTGAGCTTGGAGCCTGACACAGGGCTCCATCTCACTACCCTGAGATCAGGGCCTGACCTGAAAGCAAGAAACCACCTGGGCACCCCGTTATATAGCTGTTTATAAAGATATATGGAATGAAAAAATACAATTTGAATCATTTTTTTATGTAGTTTTAAAGCTATCTTTCTATGATGTTTGTTTTATTTAAAAATTCAGATAGTTAAAATGGCCATGATATCACTTCTCAGATAACACCTGTTGTCCTAATTCACATGTATTAAAGCATATTTTTATGTAGCTGTTTTCTAAAAGCTATTTTTATACTGTCTTTAAAAATATAATAATATGGGCAGCCTGGGTGGCTCAGCGGCTTAGCCCCGCCTTCAGCCCCAGAGCCTGATCCTGGAGACCTGGGATTGAGTCCCATGACGGGCTCCTTGCATGGAGCCTGCTTCTCCCTCTGCCTGTGTCTGCCTCTCTCTCTCCTGAATAAATAAATAAAGTATAAAATAAAATAAAATAAAAGTATAATAATAAAAATATATGGTCATACAAGTTAGAATAGTGAAAAACATATGCAATGAAATATGACAGTCTCTCTCTTCTGTAGCCTCTACCTACAGCCACTCCCATTGATTGAGTTTTAGTAATTCTTCAAAAATAACTTGTGCACATGCCAGTGATTTGTGTGTATGTGTGTGTGTATAATATATATGCAATTTTTCTGTATTTACTTATAAATCAGGGATCATATTATGCCTACTATTCTGCTTTTTAAAAATCTAATTAGCGAATCCGTGGGTGGCTCAGTGATTTAGCGCCTGCCTTCAGCCCAGGGCGTGATCCTGGAGTCCCGGGATCGAGTCCCACATCAGGCTCCCTGCATGGAGCCTGCTTCTCCCTCTGCCTGTGTTTTGTCTCTGCCTTACTGTCTTTCTGTGTGTCTCATGAATAAATAAGTAAAATCTTTTTTAAAAAATCTATTTAAATATATTGGAAACCTTTTCATATCAGCATAATAATCTTTTAAAACAATTCTATTTTTTACATATGATTATTTAATTCAGACATGTGTACCACAAATCTTGGTTAAATGGATCAGCATAGGCTTTGGAGTAAGAGGGACTTGGGTGCTGCCATTTACTGGTTGTAGGGTCCTGGATAAATTATTTCTCTCTATCTTTCTGTTTCCTTATCTGCAAACTGTGTATCAAATCCTTAAGGGGTACCTATGATGCTCAAGGTCGTCAGGCACATACTAGACCCTTAATAAATAGGTACTGTTTGTATTATTGCTGTTATGTTGGGCATCTTTTTTCGGACATTTACCAAAGCAAATATTATCTATTTTGAAACCATTATCTAGTCTTATTTGTCACTAAAAATTATCAAATTCTAAATACAAAAGACTTCATTTGATCTGAATTTTCTACTATCTCTTCATGGTATATGAGAGTCATCTCATGAAGAGATTTAAGAGCCAGCTCCTATACTTCCTCTTCTGTTGGCACATGAGTTTCTCTAGAGAGCACTTCAGTAATTACGAGAGAGAGGAAAAACTCTACAATGAGTCTTCTATACCTACCTCTGTTGTCACCTATCTATCAAGAGTTGGAGTTTCTGAAATAATTAGGCCACTGGGAAATTGTCCCTTGCTCTTCTTGGAAAGTAATCGTACTTATATTACCTGTTCACTCATTAGGGAAGCTATTGAAGAGTAACAAATATGGAGGCCCATGTATTACTGGCAGAGCTGGCTTTCATCTTTAAATGATTTTTAAAAATAGTCATATTTAGCTTGCTTTTTTGGGGAAAAGTGTATTTCTTGTAGACAGTTGAGCTTCCATCAAGTTGGGCTGCAACTTGCAAAAAACGATGAGGTTTTAGTTTAAGATATTATAATCCATTTCAAACTGCTCTTCTAGTGAGTTGCTGCATTTTGTGTATATTGATCTAAACCTTTTATTTGTGATCTCAATAGATTCATTGTGCAAAAAAGAATCCCAATTTTTCCAATGAAATATCCCAGTTATATTGTAAAGTAATTTACCATTTTCTAAATAAGAAAGCCATATATATAGTGAGCCCAAGTCCTAAGCTTGATTGAAAAAGGGGTATTAGACCATATTTTAGGTTGCTTTATTAAAATTCTTGGAGAAAAAGGCAAGTCACCATCAAAGATGATTTCACAATTACATCATTGCACATTAAATTATGATGCCATCTTAGTCCTCAGTAAGGACTAAGATACAAGAAAACCAGCATCATTTTAGCCCAAGTATCAGAATGGCAAGTGATTCTTCTTCACTTCACTAGACACTGGTAGCAGGAAGGCTGTCTCAGTAAGAGAGGCTGCAGAGAAAGGGCATTTTCACAAATCTAAACCATATGTATCCTTTAAGGCTACATGCCCACTCTACCATGAAGACATCTCTGGTCTTCTCCACCCTTTTGCACTTCTTGTTTATCTATATTTAGTAGCCCTAAATAATTTTCTTCCTTGCATTATAATTATTGATGGACAGGCCTTCATGGTTTCATCTGACTTTGATTCTTTAGAATCTTCTTATTCCCCACAGCATGAGACCCAGTGCATTGCAGATTACCGATAAGCATCTGTTAAGTGTATACACTCTGATTGTTTAGATCTTGCTATGTTTCAAAAGAGGAAACAAGTGTTTCTTTGTTCTCTTTATTCTTGCCATGAGAAAAATATTGAGACAGTTAAGTACCATGTCAAGTTATAAATGGCTAGATCCCACCCGAAATGAAAATAGTCAGTTCTCTTTGTCCTTAAAGGATTATAAAACCTGAGGTGGGGGATAGGGGTGGGAGGAGTTATTTCAGGAAAATTGAGGCATAAGGACTGGGGAGAGGTGTGGGACCCAGAATTAAACTGAACACTATTATGTATCCAGAAGCATCCTTCTCAATTGTTGTTGATTATAATTGAAATACAGAAGGTTTTCCTGCAATGGCAAAAAAATAGAAACATAAAATACCCCTGGTGCACAGAACACACATTCGTACCATTTCTAATGCAGAAATGAGAATTGTGAAAGCAACATGGTTCAGGAAGTTAAAATAACAGATTAGGATCTGAAGGTGAAGGGTCTACATTTAGTTTTACAGTTGAACTCTTGACTTCCAGAAAGCAAGCATTCTTTTGATTGCTTTTCCCCTGACTTTTGAATTATCAGGAAAAAAGGTGTGTGTGTGTGTGTGTGTGTGTGTGTGTGTTTTGTCCTTAATGGTAATGAATAAACTGCTTTGAAATCTTCAGAGAAAACATGAGAGAGATTAATAGATTTATCCTTTTCTTCTAAGCTCATGTTAAACAAGCTATTTCTTTTTATGACTCATTACACACAAATTTCAGAGAAAATTTGCAGTAGGATATCTTAAACTTATTTCTTTTGAGCAATTTGCTAAAAGAAAGACAAATTTTAGTTCTACACAACTGACTTTCTGACTTGCTTTTGCTCAGGTGTGTGAGGGTCAGATGAAAGAACTGGAATCCTCCACCATCAATGCAGCTGATCTGGATGTTCCCAAAGACCCCTTGCTGTTCAGCATCACTCATAAACCACGCCATGGCCTCCTCATCAACAGGGTGCTTAGCAAAGACTTTCCTCAAAATAAGCAGTCTGTCAACCCTGACCAGAAGCACGAACTTGTTCAGAACTTTTCCTTGGAACTTCTCAAGAATGGTAGATTATGTTCTATTTATATTCATTTATTGTTATTGATTTAATAATGTAGTCCATAAAAGATAATAATAAATCTTATATATAGGAAGTGAAGAAATAGCATTCAACTGCTTTATTCATTTATCCCTCAAGGGTTTTCTCTGGGCTCTGGGTTAATATAGGGCATGAAGCCTCAGAGATAGTGGGTAGTTGAAAAGGAGATATGTTTTCTTTCACTTTGGGAGCATCACTAAAAATGATATTTGTGGGGCACCTGGATGGCTCAGTCAGTTAAGTGTCTGACCCTTGATTTTGGCTCAGGTCATGATCTTGTGGTTGTGGGATTGCGCCCTACATTGGGCTCTATGCTCAGTGGGGAGTTGGCTTGAGATTCTCTCTTTCCTCTCCCTCTACCCCTTCCCCTGCTCATGCTCTCCCTCTCTCTCAAGGAAATAAATAAATCTTTAAAGAAAATGACATTTGTGCATTTGTGATTTTGGGTATTTTAGCTCCAACTTTTTCATGTCGTAATAAAAAATTCCTTTTTAAAACTACTGAGATCATGGAACCTAAATTTGAAGAGATTTGTCGGCCAAAATTTCTATGTTTGAAACAAATATAGAACCACATATAATAGCTCATTATTCTCTGTGGAGATAATTTGTTCTTTAAGGAAGTGACACATTGGAATAGCAGCCTGAATTATTTTTTAATTACTCTTTTTAAAAAATCAATTTTATCCCATTTTCCAAATATAAACATACTTTTAGATGTAGGAGAAAAGGGTGGTTCTAGCATCACTGCCTACTCTCACTCTCCTTCCTGCCTTCACATATTGTTTCCCCAATCTGAACCCTGTTTCCTAGGCTAACCAACACACCATGCCTTCAGAACCAGGTAACTTCTGACCTCCCAATGGAGCCTCCCCCTACACCACGCTTTCCAGACCATCTCTTTCCCATGCTGGCTCCATCCAGCACTGGTTCAGCACTTTTTAAATTTTTCCATTCCCCAGCCAGGGCAAGCGCTCTGCCCCAAAGTTTATTTTGCAATAGTTGTACAGTGTCCTGGCACGTTTGAATTTGAAAAGTTAATTCATATATTTCTCAGTTTTTATCAATTGCAAAGAAAGAAATTCTGGGGCTTAAGAGATGATATTACCAAATCAACAACCGTGTGTATCAAATAATACAATATGTTTTTACAGTGGTTATTTTTTTTCAAATTTGGCAAAGGAAAATGAATAATCAAATTTTACTCTCAACAAAGCCTGCTTTTAATTGGTTATTATTATTTAAATATTGTATTATTTGGTTAATAAGCATGCATATTGGTAAAGTTTGCAATATACAATGATTTTGAAGAAAAAATGAATGGTTTACATAAATTAATACTTTGGTCAATAGCTTGGTGACATTCTCAGAGATTAGATTTTTGTCTTCATTTTATTTTTGATTCATTTATGGTTACATATTTTAAAAAACTTTAATATATTCTCACATACATCCTCCCATGCCAAACATACAGAACTTATAAAACTGCCACCACATTATGTAATCGGTTTTTTTCTTATCAACTATAATAAACCTCTTACCTTTTAAATGCTAATTGAAAAGATGGTTTGTGATAACTAGCTTTTCATTGTATAGGAGAACTACACTGTAATTTTATGTATCTTCTATTTTTAAATGTGCAGATAGCTTTTCATTTCTTGATATTACATGTTATACATAAACATATTTTACATATGTTTTTGTAATATAAATCTTAGACCATATCTCTTAGAATTTTTTAGCATAAGTTTTTATAATGAAATTACTTGGTAAAAAAAAGGTGACCATTTATAATATTTTTAGGGGAAAATTGCCATTGCATGATATACATGAGCATGCCTATTTTCCTAATCAAGAGAGGATATTTTTTAAAACTTTTGCATGTTTGGTAGTAAATAACAGTCTCTCACTGTTATCTTAATTTGAAATTTTTAGATTATGAGTAAGATTTACCAAACTTTTGTATTTATTGACCATCTATGTTTCACCTTTTGTAAATTGCTTGATAATGTCCTTTTCTCATTTTTCCATTGATTTATATCAACTTATGAGTTGATTAAATATTAATGTTTCATTTTTTTGTCACATGTTACAGATAAGTTTTTCTCTATTTTATTTGCCTTTTAATTCATAGTCTTAAGTACAGAACTCATAAATTATGAGTGGTGTAATTCATCATTATTTTTCTTTCCTTTTTTTTTGTTTTTGTATTAGGAAGATGTTCTACATTCAGAAATAAGATATTTACTTGTGTTTTCTTCCAAATATTTTAAAACATCTTTATTGAGATATAATTCACATGCCATAATACCCACCCATTTAAAGTCTACAATTCAGAGGTTCTTTTAGATGTTCATCATCATGATCATTTAGAGAACACTTTTATCATCCCCCAAAAGAAATACTATACTCATTAGCAGTTATTCTCATCCTTTTCTTCATCAACCCTTGGCAACCAGTAACCTATTTTTTATCTTATAGATTTGTTTATTCTGACATTTCAGAATCATATAAATAGAATATATGACCTTTTATAAGGGTCTCTTTTATTTAACATAATGTTTTCAAGATTCATTCACATTGCAGCATGAGTCACTACTGTGCCATTCCTTGTTACTGCTAAATAATATTTCATTGTATGGACATACCGCATTTATTTAATCCATTCATCAGTTGATGGATATTTGGGTCTATTCTGTTTTTGCTGTTAACCTTCATGTATACATTTTTGTATGGGTATATACTTACATTTCTCTTAGGTCTGTATCTAGGAGTAAAACTGCTGGGTCATATGATAACTCTATGTTTAATATTTTGAGGAACTGCTAGACTGTTTTCCAAATTAGTGGCATCAGTTAACATTTCTACCAGTAATGTAAGAGAGTTCCAATTTCTCTGTATCCTCACCAATGTTTGTTACTATCTATCTTTTTATGATAGCCATTCCAGTGGGTGTGAGATAGTATCTCATTGTGATTTTGATTTCATTTCCCTAATAGCTAATAGTGTTCGGTATCTTTTCATGAGTTTATTGGCTATTTGTCTATGTTCTTATATCTTCTTTGGAAAAAGGTCTACTCAAATCTTTTGCCAATTTTATAATTGCGTTGTTTTTTTAATCACTGAGTTATAAGAGTTCTTCATATATTTGGGATACTAGACCCTCCCTTATCAGGTATATGATTTGTAAATGTTTTCTCCAGTGCTGTGGGCTGTTGTTTTGCTTTCTTGATAGTGTCATTTTAATTTTGATGAGATCTAAATTATCTGCCTTTTTTGGTTTTGTTTTGGTCACTTGTGCTTTTGGTGTCTTATCTAGAAACCATTGCCTAACTCAGAGTCACAAAAGATTTACTCTTATGTTTTCTTCCAACAGTTTTTCTGGTTTAGCTCTCATATTTAGGTCTATTATCCATTTGGAGTTCATTTTTGTATGTAATGTGAGGTAGAGATCCAACTTCATTCTATTGCCTGTGGCTTTTTAGTTGTCCCAGCATGATTTATTTGAAAAGGCCACTTTTTCCCCCTTGAATAGTTTTTGTACCCTTGATGAGAATAAGTTGCATGTAATGTAGGGATTCATTTGTGGACTCTTTTCTGTTAGATTAGTCTATATCTATTCTATGCCAGTTCCACATTGTCTTGATTACTGTAGTTTTGTAGTAAGTTTTGAAAATGGGAAATGTGAGTCTCCAACTTTGTTCTTTTTCAAGATTGTTTTGGCTATTCTGGGTCTCTTACATTTTCATATGAATGCTGTTTGGTTTTTAAAAAGTAGTTTTATATTTAAGTTTTGATTCATCTAGAATTTATTTTGGTTATTGGCTTGAAGTAGGTATCAAACTATAATTTTCCCCAAGTAATGAACCACTGTTCTCTTACAGTTTATTAAATAATATATGCTTTCCTCACTGATTTCTAAATAAGATCCTTATCAAATACTAAAGTATTTAAATATGAATTTTTAAAAATTAAAAGGCTAGTCTTGCTTCATAAAAGTTTAATTTTATCCTATTACACTGATTAGTGAACTCTTGCTGATACCAATACCTTGTAAATTAAAAGATTAAGTGTGTTTTGGAATGGTTTAATCATAAGAAAGATTTACTTTCTCTCTTTTTTCCCCTTCTTCCAGGAATGAAGTTGATGTATGTGCATGATGACTCAGAGACTCTTGCTGATGACTTTACAATCCAGTTGTCAGATGGGAAACATAAGATATTAAAAACCATTTCAGTAGAGATCACCCCAGTTAATGATGAGAAACCAATGCTGAGCAAGTAAGCTACCCGAAAAGAGTCCCTTTCAGATGTTCTAGAAAATTCTGTGGTCCGGAAGACTAGGTACAAATGTAATATGTGTCTTCCAGAGAGAAACAAGTCTTTGACAGTTCCTGTCTATCACAACTTGTCCCACCTGCTCAGGCACCTAGAACTTTTGGTACAAATGGTAGTTAATGTAACAACTCCTTAGCAGTTGTTAAATTCACCCTTTAATTATTCGATTTTCCTTTAAAAATTCCAGTTAGCTTTAAATAATTAAGAATGACTCAACCTTCTGTGTGGAATGAATAGTGTACTGAGTAAACACATGTGTACACACACACCAAAGTGTAATAGATGTATAGACTTAACTAAAGTGTGATAATATTAACTGCAGACAGTCCTCCCTGTGGATTTGAAACAAACTTTTAACTAAAAGTGGCTGAGGGAAACATATAAATGTCATTTCTTTCATCATCTTGGTATTTCATGATCCACCACTCCTCTGTGTTCCTTATGGATTGGTACTACCTTGCTACCTGATAGCAAAATGATCACTCATATGATCTTTTAAAAATTCTGAGCTAATATTAATTGCAGATCATCTCAGTGTCTCCCTCTCTAGATGATCACCTTGATCAGAGAGTGCAGAGTCTTCCAGTTATATTTCTGTAGCTCCAGCTATTTCTCTTATTACTGGCAACTGTACATATCTATATGAGGGTAAACCTTGAGAAGGCCCAGCTCTCTGGTGCTAGGTGCAGAGATGTGTCTGCTTCTTGGGACCTTTTTGACTGCTTCATATCTGTATTCAATGGCACAGCAGTGATAGGCATTGAGCAGACAGTCTGAGTTTTTATCAGGGAGCCAACAGCTTCCTGAAAGTGTGTAAACCCCCAAAGCCTCCTCTACTTTGCAGGAAAGAGGACACAAACAAGTCCCTTTTGATCCTGCCATTTCTCATGGGCCACCAGTATGCGAAATACTGATGATAGTTTTTTGGAGGGTTGCATCACAGACATCAGTTCCACAAAAAAGGTGCAGCAGGTTCTGCTTTCTGCTCTACTTTCTATTGTCTAGTTAGAATGTTGGACTGGTATGACCATGATTTGTAAAATGAAACTATGAAGAGTATTGCAGTATTAAGTAACCTCTTTCTGATGACCTCACTGTATCTAAGAGGAAGGGAGAGAAGTGCAAACTGGTGTCTATTAAGTGCTCACTCTGTGACAGACACTGTTTTGAATCCTTTTACAGATATTTCCTTAAATTTCCACTAAAATTATGGGAAATAAGTGTTGTTATCCTTACTGAGAAAACTGAGACCAGACAGGTCACATAATGGGGCACTTACTCAACTCTGATCTCCTGTTTCTTGCTATGCTCTTGCTATTAAACTGCCTGACATAGTTTTATCTACAGAATCACCAAATCTCCTTTGCTCTGTTTCCAGATCCCCTCTTTTTCTTTCTTTTCTTTTTTCCCTCTCTCCTATAGAGGGGAAGTTCTATTGCTTCTTCTTCCGTTTCCACGTGTGTCCTTGGGTAGATCACCTCTTGCCTCCTCCCAGAATGTGCTCCATGATTTTCTTCTCTTAGATCTCTAGTCCCTGCCTTCTCATTCCTTCTGTTAACAAGACAAGGGACATAGTTAGTGGTGAAGAGAGCAGATTCTGGAGCCAGACTGCCTTGGTTCAGCCGCTAACCAGTTGTGTGGCCTTGAAAATGTCACTTCACCTCTCTCTACCTTTTAATCAACTTATTTGTTAGTGGAGAGTATAACAGTATCCTCTTCATAGGGTCTTTGCAGGGGTTAAATGAATTAAAATATGTAAAAGCACTTGAAAGACTGGCTAATATACAGAAAGCACTCCTAAGTGCTAGTTATTACCATTATTAACAGGTATTCTCATTCTAAAACCACAAAGATGACCCAGTTCCTCATTTATTTTAGTGCCAAACTATTTGGAGGAATAGCTTGTGCTTCATCCATTTCTGCCCAACCTTCCCCACTTTATTAAAACTACTCCCTTAAACATTACCTTTGACCTTCCTACGGAATTGAATGGTTCATCTTACCTTGCTGGTCCCTGTTAGATTTTGACACCTTTTCTTTGGTATTCCTTTTGATGCTATGGTAGATGCTTTTGGTTCTCTGAGTCATGCTCCCTTAGTCCCCCCTCTGATTGTAATTGCTCTTGTCGAACACACCATGCACACTCTCAGGGTTCCATTACCAGTGCCTCAGTGCATCGCTCCCCTTCTTGTGTGGCTTAGGGCTTTCTCTGAAGTAGCACTGACCCATTTGGCTCATGTCCAGAAACAGCAGAAGACACTCTGATGGTAGCTCCCAACCTATGAGATAAATAAATGTCCTGCACTCCCATCCTTCAGAAGCACAATTTGAAGCATATTCTATATGATTCTTCAAAAGATCCCCAGCAGCATTGAGTGCCATAGTAGTAAAAGCACCTTTTGTTACCTTATTCCTTCTGCCTCTGTCTCGTTCCTCACTTCTCTCTCTTGCTTCCTGGGATCACTTCCCAAATAAATTACCTTCACCATAGTCCTTGTCCCACAGTCTCTTTCAACATAAGTCAGACTATGACATACTTTCTTCTCCTTTGGCCCCTCTGTTATCTCATTCTGACACTTTCCCTCCTCCCAGACTCCTTATCTTCTTCCTCACATTGGCTTCCTTCCTGTTTTGATTAATCTGGTTCTATTAATGGCACCACTAATCTCCATAGTCATCCAGTCAACTGATTCATTAACCTTCTAGAGTAATGGGATTAGTATTCTCTAGGAATGAGGTGGGCAAAAATCACCCTCTACTGCCAGGGAAGATGTCAGTCCTGGAGAGGCAATAAAGTCACCAGGTAAAAGAGGTTACAGCTGATGTGCCTGGGCTCTGACTCGTCAACAGGAGCATGGAAGGTTATTGGAATGCCAGTTGATGCTACTTAAATGTCCTTCATTATCTGCATCCCAAGGAAACTTCACCAGTTTTTATCAGAAACCAAGCTGTCCAGTTAGACAGCATTTGGCCATGTGTGGTGACCAAAACTGAAGGCTAGAAACCGGTGGAAAGAAATCCCTTCCCCACCTTGGTTAGACCAAGGAAAATGGCTCTATTGGCTGGGAAAGGAGTAGCAGCATAGAGGAACTGCAAAGTCATAGTAGCAGCATTTATGGTAGAAGCAGCAGCTACTCATCCCAGCTTTGTCGTCAGGATGCCAGGCGCAAACCTGGCAGCTGTAACACTTGGGAAAGATCAGTCACTGTGAAGAGAATGCTTGCTACCTAGAAGTGTTACCAGGGCAAGGAAGAATAATGTAGAGGGCCATGTATTGCCTAAGAATCTCCAGATTCAAATGGTATTTCATAAAGGGTACCAGGACACCAGTGGCTAAGCCACTGAATTTCTTTAAGTAAGTTTTTGTAATTGTTGAAGAGTCAGAACTGTAATAGTCATTGTGAATGACCATCCTATCAAACTAGACATCTTCCTTTTTACAGGAAGGCTGAAATTACAATGAAAATGGGTGAAACTCGAATTATTTCTAGTGCTGTTCTTTCAGCCATAGATAAAGACTCACCCAGGGAGAAGATTTACTATTTATTTGAAAGGCTTCCACAAAATGGGCAACTTCAACTTAAGGTTAGTAGCCTTTTTACTTTTACTTTTCAAAACTCATGTAGCAGGTATAAATTTTCTTGATACACTGACTTCTATAACTGAATCTATCCTCTAATAGCTGTATTTTGCCCAGAGGTAGAAAATTTAATTTTGTTAGTTTGAGGTGAATTCACACCATTCTAAATTTTCTTACTCAACTCAGGCCAAATTCGACCAATATTAGGGTTCTTTGTTGTTCCTGCTCCCCTGGGATTGTACCTAAATTTTTGGGAGAGGGGCTGGTGAGGGTAAAGCAAATTGTCTAATGGCTGATGAGAACCAGGAGATATCTTAATTATCACCAGATTTTTTAAAAATTTCTTTTTTTAAAGGATTATATTTATTTATTCATGAGAGATACACAGAGAGAGACACAGGCAGTGGGAAAAGCAGGCTTCCCTCAGGGAGCCTAATGTGGGACTTGATCCCAGGACTCCGAGATCAAAACCTCAACCACTGAGGCACCCAGGCATCCCTTAAAAATTTTTTTCAAACAGACTTTGCAGAGCTGTTGTTGTGGATATTAACAATCTGATTCTCAAGTTTATATGGAGAGGCAAAATGCACAAAATAGTAAACAAAAAGGAGAAAAAAAATTAAAGGAATAGGACTTACTATCAAGTCGCATTAATTTAGCATGGATTCGGTGAAAGAACAGACAACTAAATCAGTGGAACAGAACAGAGAGCCCAGACGTAGACCGTTATAAAAATATAGTCAACAGATCTTTGGCAAAAGAGCAGAGGCAATAGAATGGAGAAAAGATAGTCTTTTAACAAATGGTGCTCACCAGTCTGATTCAGACTGTGTGCATGATGCCCAAGGAATAGCCCAACACAAATTATAGATCAGTCACTTGAAAAGATCCCTTGAGTAATCCATCAAAATGTTTGTTTGAATGATGGATTAAGGCTAGCAACAACAACCACCAACCATCCCCAATGTGATTATTTGACTGAATGCTTAACTTTTAATGTAATGGAGACAGTCCTAGAAGAGCAGCGAGGATTCATTCTGCCTGGAACAGCTTGATTGTCTTAGATCGTAGGCACCATAGAGAATCAGAGTGAAGAGCAATCACTGATTTAAATTGAGGTACAGCTGTGCCCTTATTTCATTTCAAAGGGTAATGAAGCAGAAATGCAGTGAGAGCTCACACATTTGGGTAGCATGGGAAGCAAAGTGTTTTGGGTATGTGAAAATCCAGATGGGTCCAGGTTCCCAGGATGGCACCACATAGTTCTGTCCCAGCTCCCTTGGGCTTTGCCAAATCTCTCCAAGACAATGAATCAGGATTCTAGGACTCCTGGACTTTCTCAAGGGTTCTTGTGTTCTTGTTGGCTTTCCTTATTTTGCTCCACCTTGAGTCTGACTCTTATTTTCTTCTCCTTTGGGGCTTGCAAGTGATTTTGTTAGGTCAGAGCTGGCATTGGGAGTGCAAATGGGGAATTGCATGGAGATGAGAGATAGGAAAAGATATCTTCTTTTGTATTTACTTTCTCAGAAAAGATTATTAAAGAAAAAAGTTAAATAGAATTGCAGGCTATGCAGTTTAAAACCCGAAAGAGACTGTTTTGAAAACTAAATCTGCAAATAGGTCGTATGATAGAAACACATAATGACCTTAATTATTACAATGTAACTAACTTTTACTTACTGAGGCAGAAAATACCTCTGTACAAACATCAGATGAGCAGAAATTTTAAAGAGGTGGAAACTTTATAAAATAGGTCTAAAAGGAAGCGGTAACACAATGAGAGGAGGAGAGGGCGAGCATTTTTTGCCAGGAACTGGGAGTCTGGAATAATCTGTCAAAGGAAAGAAAAATAACACAAGGATTTAAATTTTTATTTTAGTCTCTTAAACCAAACAAGGAAAAATACAAGATAATATCGTAGAATAAATTTGTAAGATGACATTCTTCTTGAATTATGTCAAATGACTTTTATGAGCTATTCTTAGGGAAAGCTATTGTATCTTCAGAGAAAAACCAAAAAAAATTATAAATCCAATAGAGATTTATCATTATTATAAAGAACTCTCAGTTGTCAGTTCCCCCTAGCATAAGAACCTTTTTAAATTGAGAACACCATAATTTCTGCACTGAGTTCAGTATATATTTTTTTAAGATTTTATTTATTTATTCATGGGAGACACAGAGAGAGAGAGAGAGAGAAAGAGAGAGAGAGAGAGAGAGAGGCACAGAGACAAGCAGAGGGAGCAGCAGGCTCCATGCAGGGAGCCTGACGTGGGACTCCATCCCCGGTCTCCAGGATCACACCCTGGGCTGAAGGCGGCGCTAAACTGCTGAGCCACCCGGGCTGCCCCCAAGTTCAATATAGAATATATGGTTAGTCGATGTTAGCTGGTTTTTAGAAGATTCTGATAAAAAAATAATATGTGATATTTGCAGTTATTTTTTGCTGACTCAAGACATACAGAGAGGGAATGATTGGGATTTTGATCATTTTCTTTGAGCTTCAGTAAGGCTGGAAAAATGTGGCGGGAGTCAATACATCTGTTCTGTTTTTGTTTTATCTATTTCAGATAAGTCCAGTGATAAGCCAGTTTGAAAAAATAGTTTGATTAATTATATAATGATAGGAACTAAAAAAAAAAAGGAAACCCTCAAATGAAACATATTTAATTTTTAAAGAATCAATTTCAGCAGCTCGATTACCCACCTGCTCTCATTAATTGGAATATTTAATCAGCTATGATTGCTTATGATAAATACCTTGGAAGTAGCACTGCTGTTGAATTGCCACAGAACTGTCAAAAATCCTTTGGTGGAAGGTAGTTTTTCCCCCAAGGTCTTAATTGGTTTCAATTTATTTCTTTGAAAGGAAAAAATATAAGGTAAAATGGCAAAAAAAAAAAAAAAGCATTTGGAGTTTCCCTGAAATATCACTTATATTGGAGGTTTACGGGGGTATGGAAAATGTCCACTAACATAGCTTGGAAAGAAAAAACCGTGAGCAGCTGACTAACTCTGCCACCTTTCAGACAGGGAGGGACTGGGTCCCTCTCTACCCTGGCATGAAGTGCACTCAGGAAGAAGTGGATTTGAACTTGCTGAGATATGCACACACCGGGGCAATGGATTCCCAGGACCAAGACAGCTTTACCTTCTACCTCTGGGATGGTGACAACAGATCACCGGCATTTGACTGTCACATCACCATCAAGGATATGGGAAAAGGTAAAATATCCCTCACCAGGTTTATTGGGACTATGTTATATAACCAGAAGTGAGCTCATGTAAGCACTCAAAGGATTTCAACTAACTCCTTTCCTTCCTTCCTTCCTTCCTTCCTTCCTTCCTTCCTTCCTTCCTTCCTTCTCCCTTTCTATCTCCCTCTCTTTTTGCCTTTCTTCCTTCCATCCTTTGTACCTGAAATTCCATCATTTATGATTTGCTTCTCTGACTCCCCACCTGTTCTCCCGGGAAGCTGTAAGGTTCATGAGAATAGCCCATTCTATTTGTTGTTTTTAGTATTTCAGAAAGCCTATTGGAAATCCAGCCTTGCTCACAATGTGGCGGCACAGGCTGCTTTAAGAGTCAGGGATTTCTAAAAAAAAAAAAAAAAGAGTCAGGGATTTCTGCTCTAAGTAAAATTTTACCAAATCAATGTGATAACTAATTTTATTCACAGGAAGTGAAATATTACTTGAAAACGAAGTTTCAGAGGAAAAACTTTTCCAATATAATAATACAAAGAAATAAAAACATATTTTAAAATTTAAAAATCATAAAAAGGAAGGTGGTCATTAAAAAGGTTAGACCGTTGCTCTCTTCACTTTGAAAGCGCTAATACCAACTCTTCTAGGGACAAGAGAGAACACAAGGAGATACTAAGCTTCTCTTGAATTAGCAGACCCTTTGTATAGTAGGACTCAGGAACCTCAGTAGCATATAAATGGTAGAAGGAGGAGGGTGAAAAAAATACTGGGAAGGAAGCACAACCAACAGTTGGACAGTTGATGCCCAATTGTCACTGCCCCATAATTTTTCTTGGAGTTTATGTGAGGAAGGTATGTTCATTTCTAGTTCATCCATATGGTCCCAAAATCTCTATATTCCTAGGCCCATGCATTTTCTTGAATCTTCAGTGCATCCCTGATTGACAGAATGCTTCCTTTTTCACCTTGCTGCCAGGAAGCTCAGAATGGCAGTACAACTCTTACATCAAGGGTGTCATAGAATTACAATTGTTTTGAATATTTCTCTTTTTAATTTCAGTCAGCATGATAGATTTGGAGATGTTTATTTGGGGCTCTAAAATAACTATTTTATTATTTGCATGTTTCTGGTTGTAAAATATCTTCCTTGAAGATGTCTAATAATAAGTGACCCTTAAAGAAGCTAATTATTACCATACCATACCTCTTACTTTCTGCAAAAGTAAGACTACTGTGGTTATCATCAACATATGTCCAGGCAGGGGCACCTGGGTGGCTCAGTGGTTGAGCATCTGCCTTCAGCTCAGGTCGTGATCCCGGGATCCTGGGATTGAGTCCCGCATGGGGCTCCCCGCGGGAAGTCTGCTTCTCCCCTCTGCCTGTGTCTCTGCCTCTTTCTCTGCATCTCTCATGAATAATATATATATATCCCCAGGCAAAATGTAAAGCAAGTCCTATATTAGCGCAGACAGCTAATGTATTAGGATAGACTGCCCTTGGCTAAGCACAGAACATTCACTGAAGAGGAGGAGATATCTGTTCTATATAGCCATCTTGGGATTTTTTCCAACTAGAGGTCCTTCATCTCTGAAGGCCTTGGAGTCACTCCAGAAGTGAAACATAGAGGAAAATAAGAGGATGACTGGCCTGGGCTTAGAGGCACCTGTCTTCTGCACATCCGGGTGGCTGAATCATAGTCCCAAGCGATATTAAGGGCGGCTGGGTAGTGGAAATTATAGTGGTGTGCCCAGGAAGTGAGGTTGGTGAGCCCCTGGCCAGTCTCTGTGACAACTGACATGGGATTCTTTTCCAAAAGGATTTGTGAACACTTATATTAAACTGACTAGCATTTTCAGAAGTTCCAGATTCCTTCTTTGTTCCTTTTTACATCATGGTTTATATCTATACAATGTTGAATTTAAAAAAAAAATCTTAGTGTGAATCTTCTCAGATTGTAGCATAATTTTATGTCGGTCATCTCTGAAGAAAACTACACTGAATAATTAAAGCATAATCCTAATATTGAGCATTTGGGTGATCTCCATTTGAGAGCAATTATGAATAACATCAGGCCTTCTGATTGTTCCATGTCTTGTGATTTGCACACTGGCAAAAATGATGTGGAGCTCTTTGAGAGAAGCTTAAAAGGACATGGTTTGTAGTTGACCTTGAACCATACTCTGCTGTCACAGTGCTGAAAAACTGCATTGAGGGAAAGCCCAGATGCTCTTCCTCTCTCAGATCTATCTTCTGCTCCTGATGAAGCATTCTGTGGGTGATTTTGAATCCTCAGCTTTGTTCATTCCTCTTACTCCCTTGGTGTATTGACTCCCAGGAGGCAAGCCCCATCTGGGGCTCAGATTTTTTTTGTTTTTTTTTTTTTTAATTTTTTTAAATTTATTTGATAGTCACAGAGAGAGATAGAGAGGCAGAGACACAGGCAGAGGGAGAAGCAGGCTCCATGCACCGGGAGCCCGACGTGGGACTCGATCCCGGGTCTCCAGGATCGCGCCCTGGGCCAAAGGCAGGCGCCAAACCACTGCGCCACCCAGGGATCCCCTGGGGCTCAGGTTTTGATTTAAAGTTAGGATGATCTTTGATTCTCCATTGTACTTAAGTTGGATAGCATTTTGAGTTAAAAGCACCAATAATCTACCAAAAGACCAATTCGATCATCTGAAGCAGAGTTTCTCAGTCTTAGCACTATTGATATTTTGGGATAGATCCCAAATAGAATAGTTCATATTCTTTGTTGTAATGGACTTTCTTTTGCATTATAGAATGTTTAGAAGCATCTCTGGCCTCTAGCTATTAGAGGACTATAGGAACTCCCAGATAAAACCACCAAAAATGTCTCCAGACAATGCCAAATGTCCCCAGGGCACTAAAGTTGCCACTCATTGAGAACCACTGGTCTAGTGGTATCTCCTTGATATTTTATTTTTTTGTTTCCTCATAGGACTAAATGTCTTCTCAAATTTTATTGACAATTTGTATTTTTTAAATTTAGAAATAGCTCAGCATTTACTTCACACATATTTCCTCTTGGATATTTATTCTTTTTGCATTGATATTTAAGAGCTCTGATGTATTACAGAGAAGCAACAAAATAATCTAGTGTAGATTATTAGTAGAAACTCAATATTGGAATTAACGATTATTTTTTAAATGAATGATGTGAACAAAATTGGACTATAATTTTTAGTTTGTAAAACTGTGCCATTAGTCCACATGTGACCCACTTCTCCTTCACTCACTTAAGCAATTCATACACTCATTCATTTACTGTCTTTTAAATACATAATACACACCTGTGCCACCACCATACAATTCAAGGACTGGAATGTTGACAGTAATAAACATCTACCTCTGTGCTTTTCCCATCCTTCAGAGAGAACCATCATCCTGAATTTTGTGTTCATATTCTTACTCTTGTTTATTATTTTCTGGGACTTGCTCAGGCAAAGAGCAAAGGTTAACAAGCTGCATCTGTGTTGCTGCATATAGTTCTAGTTCATTTTGCTGCCATATAAAATTCAGTTGGACCACAGTTTGTTTACGTATTTACCTTTAGAGTTGTCTCCAGCATTTTCAATTACAGTAGTGCTGTAGTGACCATTCTGGTACCCATCTCCTGGGCGTCACTGTATGTTTCTCTCTAGCACACAGCTGGAGTGGAATCTCGGGGTCAAGAAGTGTGTGAATATTCTACTCTTTATAGAATAATGCCAAATCATGTGCCAGTTTACATTCCTACCAGAATTGTATGCGAGATTCTACATCCTCTTCAACACTTGTTGTCATCAGATGCTAATTTTTTGCAGATCAGAGAGTTATGAGATGCTTATAACTTCTTGCCATCTTGATTTGTGTTTCCACTGATTATTAATAATATTGAGCATCTTTTTGGATTTTTATTGGCCATATGTGTTTCCCCCGCTGTGTCATAACTGGTCCTGTGTTTTGCCTAATTCTTTTATTAGCCTTAATTATATCAACCTTTCTATAGCATATTAGTTTTTATTTCTGCAGTTTTGCCTTTGGTTTCTTTTATCTATATCTTGGACATTTTTTTTTTAAATTTGGGTCTTGACCATAAGTTCTTCTGCTACACAGGTGATATTGTCATCCTTGTGAAACCGCTGGTGGTGTCTAAAGGTGATCGAGGTTTCTTGACGACCACCACTCTCCTTGCTGTGGATGGAACAGACAAACCCGAGGAACTACTCTATGTCATCACCTCCCCTCCACGGTATGGCCAGGTCCAGTATGTCCGCTATCCTGGAGTTCCCATTACAAGCTTCAGCCAAATGGACATAGCAGGACAGACAGTCTGCTATGTACATAAGAGTAAGGCAGCTGTCTCCCGTGACACCTTCAGGTGAGCTCCAAAGAAACTTCAGAACCCCCTTCCCTGGATTAATGCTTAGATAGATAAAAGGTGGCAGAAAATGAGTTCTTTTCCAACTCTATAGGATGGATATAGGAATGATCTAATACTGCCTAGATGTATGAAAGGTGGAGGTGTACAATTAATTGGACAACAGCAAAGCAATAAATTAGAGCCTGTTGTTTAAAAATAGAGCATATCTAAATGCCAGCTGTTCTAAGGGGAGGAATATAAACACCTGAGAGTCCCAGCTAAGGAGAGATGTAGAAAACTAACTCACTGCTTTTTGGGGGATATCTTTATCTGTCTGAGGAAAGGTATTTAGTAGTAAACATTTGGCACAAACAGACACTGCCTTTTGACACAACATATTCCAGGAACTATATCATAAATCATGTTGTCATAAAGTGGATCATGTTTCCCCATAGAAACAATGTTATAATTGGAGGCTGTGTACCTGTTTATGAATTCTGTATCAAATAAATCATTGGGATGAATAACAATCTGGTGAGAAGACAAAGATATGACATTAATGAAAGTCTGCATTCATTTAAAATACTGAAATCTGTTTCCAGTCATAAAAAGCAAGACAAACTCTAGAGGAGCTACCAACCATTTAGCAATTCTTAAAGCTGGCTGATCTTGAGGTCTTTTATAGAAATCCAGATCCCCAGGGCTGGGATACGAATCTTGGAGGGGCCCTAAATGGCTCTATTGGTTGAACATCCAACTCTTATTTCAGCTCAGGTCATGATCTCAGGTTTATGAGATGGAGCCTCGTATTGGGCTCCACACTGGGCATGGAACCTGTTTAAGATTCTCTCTCCCGATCTCCCTTTGCCATGCCCTCACTCCCACCCGGCTTGTGCTTGCTCACTCTCTGTCAGAAAAATAAAAATAATCTAAGAAATCTCAGTTGGACTAGCCCTTGGGAGAATCATCGTACATACACAGTCCTGTATTTTACCAATTAACATGGAGGCCCTGAGACCATTGGTTCATTTGCCATATTTGAAGAGCTTCTGACTCCCAGTACCATTTTCACCATGTCAGAATACAACTTCCAATGGAGTTCCTGACTGGCTCAGCCAGAAGAGCGTGCAACTCTTGATCTTGGGGTCATGAGTTTGAACCCCATGTTGGGTGTAGAGATTACTTACAAATAAAATCTTAAAAAAGAATATAACCTTCAAAAGAGCACTATAAACTAATGTAGATGCAGAATGCTCCTCTATTATTTTTTGGGTTCCCAAGAATTATCAAGTGCACTGACACACTCATGTTCAAATACCATTCTCCTCTATCCTACATCTTATCTCTCTAAATTCAGTATGTCTGCCGTGATAAACATTATTTAAATGTCAGCAAAGATGATTTTGCTTGCCTTATGGAATTACGATTTGGAAAGATGATTGGGACCACCAACTGTTAAAAAATTGAGGGGAGGGATCCCTGGGTGGCGCAGCGGTTTAGCGCCTGCCTTTGGCCCAGGGCGCGATCCTGGAGACCCGGGATCGAATCCCACATCGGGCTCCCGGTGCATGGAGCCTGCTTCTCCCTCTGCCTGTGTCTCTGCCTCTCTCTCTCTCACTGTGTGCTTATCATAAATAAATAAAAAAATTATAAAAAAAAATTGAGGGGAAGTTTGAACTAATATATTCTTTTTTTTTCTCTTGACAAATGTCCTTAACAAGTAGATAATCATTTGATTGATCAATATCTAAATAACAATTCAGTGCTTGATAATGCTGGGCATTAACTAAAATGTCAGATGTGTGGAATCCTTTTCATGCTGATTCTTTTGCTCCAGAAGTGGTCCAGGCTTGGGGTCAATTACATCTCCAATACTTAACCATTCTGTGGTCAAATCACACATCCTCCTGTGCTCTTGTGTCCTCTTTGTGAAAAGAAATGATGCTCACAATACTTACTTGTTTCACAGGGTGGTGGGAAGTTTGAATGAGTTTATGCATGTACTTATAAAAAATATGTGGTACATACGAAGAATGAAATAAGTGTTAGCTGCTCTTTTTACTACTATTATTGTTGTAATATTGTTCCTATTATTATTGATTATATTCTTTCCTTGACCCCTTTTTTTCTGCCAATGTTTATAATACCAAGATTAATCTTGAAGGAGAAAAGAAATTACAAAGAAGACTGATGATCTTTTATTCCTAGTTACTTATGAAGGTTGGGTGCTTCTTGGCTTAATACATGTATATCAGATTCAGGGCTTTTGATTTTACACCCATTTCTGGAACTGCTTGCTCCTGTCCATTCCCACTTTCCCCAGTCAATGCCCAACGGAGAGACTGCTGAAGATGTTAATGACTGTTTGGAGAAACCAGTGACCCTACTAGAGAGGTCAATCAATGAATGCATATAGATGTTCAGAAATCAAGCTTACAAATTAATCAGATGGGGATGATGTGCATAGAATGAAATACAGAATTTCTGTATGTGAGGATTGATGATACTCTAAAAATTTCCTAATCCACATGCATAGAATACTAGATGACATTTTAGAAATCATTTATCCTAGGAATTTTTAATTTTTATTTATTATTTTTTAGAGGAAGGAGGGGCAGAGGGAGAGAGTGAGAGAGAGAATCGTAAGTAGGCTCCATGCCCAGTGCAGAGCCTGACATGGAGATTGACCCCACAACCCTGAGATCATGACCTGAGCTGAAACCAAGAGTCGGATGCTTAACTGACTGAGCCACCCAGTCACCCCAAGAGTTTTTATTTGAATTTTTAAAATATTTAGATCTTCTAGAGATTTACTGGGAAGACTGATAAAAATATATTCTTGATTCTCACTCCAGAGGTGACTTTGTAAGTCCAGTCTTGGGTCAGAGATCTGTATTTTTCAAAGTTCTCTAGGGGATTCTGCTGCAGTCAGGACTAGTAATCACTGGGCTGGTCCAATCTATTGTTCCAAATACATTCAGAGGCGCTTTGAGAATTTACAGAAGCCCTCTTGGGGCCTCCTGGAGACACCACACAAAGGAGCTGAATTGGTGAGGCTCTGAGATCTTCATCCCAACTTACTGATAGAGCTGTTTTGTTTTGTTTTGTTTTGTTTGTTTTCCACACTAGGTTCCTGGGCAGGGTTTTCTTTTAGCAAAAAGGCTGTGGCTCTATTTCCCAAAGTGAGTAATTTGTACCACCAGTGATACAAAGATGCAAAATGATGTGGGTTTGGGAGAAAGCAGTGAATGACAGGGAATCCAGAGTGAGAACTACTCCATTGTAGTTCTGTCAATCCTCCTGATTATTTCAAGAAAGGAGTCTCAGGCTGGGGCTCATGTGTTCTTAGTAGCTTTTCAGTATTGTTTTCCTATTTTTTAGCAGACAGCCGTGGGTTCCAGGCCATTGGGCCACAATACCTAGCTAGAATTAAAAACATTATTTACTTGTATTTATCTTTGTAGTATTTATGGTGATTAAGTTTTTAGTAGTAAAAAATTTCAGCTTTTCCAGCTAAAAGATTTCCTTTTAAATACATTTCTTTAAGTACAAGAGTGAGTTGATCTAAAGCAAAATAGTAAGTCATAAGGGTACAGGTAGTACAGAAATATGGCAAAAATTATAAAGGTGTTGTCTGAATGACTCAAGTAGGAAACAAGGGTCGAAAAACATTGATTTAGTCTCATGCCTTCAATTTATGCATAGGAAAGCAAGTATTGCTTGAATACCTGCAATGCATCAGGCGGTGTACTAGGCTTTTTTTTTTTTTTTTTGTCCATCATTTTCCTTAAGCCTTACGCCACTACCTTGAGAGAAATGATTTGTTCCCACTTTATGCATGAGAAAACCAAGGTTCAAAGAGGCACAGAAAGTTGTCTAAATTTATGTAACTTAGTATCAGAGCTGAATTGGAGAAAAGATCTCCTTTTTAAGAGATTTTTCCATTGCACCAAAAATTCATGGTGAATATGCACCTGTGGGAAGAAACCTCCTCCTCAATGTGTCCTTCTGATGTTTGGCCAGCAGTTTTACATATTTATAATGGAAGAGCCTAACATCTGCCCAAGACCCTTGTTTTAATCTTGTCATTTCGCGAACCCAATCATGGGCTGCTGTTGTTTGTCAAGCGGAGCTAAACCAAAGCTGAAAGTCTGTTTTAATGAAAGTGAGATGGTGGTGCTTTTTAAAAATTAAATCTATGCAACCAATCTAATCACCTAAATTTATGTTGCTTGCTGTTAAATCTGGCAAGGAATTTGGCTGGGTAGAAGAGATAAATTCTATGGCAGAGGATTTTCCCCCTTCTCTTTTTAATGTAAGATATGGCAGCATTAATTAAACTGGGGAATTTAATGGTCAGATTTTACCTTCTGCAAAAATATTTTGTGAATCATAAATTTCTCCTGCATTGTTTGGTGCTGCTGGCCTGGAAGAAAGATTTGGCAGCACATTCTAGGACAGATGACACCAAGTGATTAGCAAGCTGACTTCAGCTGCTGGCAGCCGGGTACTAAAAGAACATGCTAATGTCCTCCATTTTGACATGCTGGCTGGACTATTTTTTTTTTTCTTTCTGAGGAACTGGCTCTATTTATGATTCCATTTTTATCTTTTAAATGCCATGACAGATGGCAGATTCTTCAGCCAACTCTATTGCCAGGAAATGCAGAAAGCCTGAAAGCACCATGGTAATGGTGAAATCAGACCAGGCAGGCACCCCAGACAAATCTGAGAGTCATTCCCCAAATTTCAGGAGAACACTGGTCATCCTGGCTGAGGGTCTTTTCAGTGGGGTATGGGGGGCATAAGGGAAATTAAACAAAGACGGATGCACAGAAGAAGCTGCCACCTTGATAGCACCAGCTTCTTAACCTTGGAATGGATGCCATCATTGCAATGGCACCGTTGTTTTAAAACTCGAAAACAGATTTGGAAGGGTTCTTTGGGGGTGGTGGGGGAGAGCATTTGGAGGATCATCTGGTCCACCTTGGCGGACACGAACAGCACTAACCTCGTTGCCCTTGTTCTGCTAGGCTTATTCTGACTGGGAAGCCAACCATGACCATTCACCCTGTCTCCCTGTGATAATGTTTCTCTGCCCGTGACTAGTTTGCATTGTTACTCGTGAAAGTGCCATGATGGGTCTGGTCCAGTCACGTTTAGAAATTTCATCCTTTTCACCACTGGCTTATTACCTTTCGGTCAGCACAGACAGCTGCCTCGGGGTCCCAGCTGGGAACACTGGCCTCAGTAAACATATTTCTTACTCTTATATGGTCTCTGGCTTGCTTGCCCTCATTCCCATCTGTCTGATGGCAGGCTGCCGATTTCCGACGTGGTCAGATCCCCATCATCAGGCAGGGAGGAGTCTGAGACGGACAGCCTGAATCCTAAGACAACTTCAGTGTCCTCATGTGGGTCATGCATTCGGAGATAATTACGGCTGTCCTGAGACTGAGCTTGAGGTGTTCTCAGAATTCAGTCTCTATGGGGGAAAGTCAGAATGCCCCCCGTGACTCACTCAAGCCCCCCCTTGAAGCTCCTTACTCCTGATCCCCATCCCTCCCCTTCTTTCCCCCTTCTTCCCCACCCATAATTTGACAGGAGTTTAATGGGGCACAAATTTCTTTAATTCCATGATTAATACTAAAAATGAACGTCCTTTGGCTTAAATTTGTGCTCAACTATAAACAGCTGACTTAAAACTTTCCCCCAAGAGCACATTTTGAGATAGGGATCTGATAGGAAAAAGAGAGCCACTTTATTTGAAATGGGAGGCGTGAAATATGTTTCTGGAGGAGGAGAGTGGAGAAAAGAGAAATTGGAGGTAGTGAGGGAATGCTTTGTCTCCTTATTTTACTTCGGGTTAGATGATAGGCTCCAGGGAGGAAACCCAAAAAAGTAACAGGAAAACAATGGAATAAAATCATAATTCCACGAAAAGCTCTCCCTGAGAAATAGATCATAATTTTCATCATAAAAATGCATATCATTTGACACTTGAAACTGCTGAAGTGACTAACAAAGTCGAAGAACACAGTTATTTTTCTGGATGCATCTCTTTTTCCTTTTTTCAAAAATAACTAATTGTGTGAACACTCATGATCCAGCAGTGAAATTGTCCTATTTGCTTAGAACATACCTAGCAAATGTGATTGTTTTATTTTAAGGAAACTGATTTCGCTCAATGTACAATTCTAAAGTTGGTGTCTTTATTCAGACTGTAAAAAATAATGCTGTGGAGGAAAAAACAGGTCACATTCTTTAGAAGTCAAAGTGTGCGACATGTCAAGAATTCGCTTTATTTGTAATATTCCACTTAGCAATTTCCCTTAGCAAAAAAAGAATAGGTTCGTTTTTTTCTATGCATCACATACTATTTTCCTTGTAGGCAGTCTTATAAGCTAGATAATTAGAAAGCCCAAAAATTTTAGTAAAATCTGTGCTCAGCCGAACTCCTGTTCATTTCCTTTTCATACAGCTGCTCCTTTACACTGAGCCCTCTGCCTCAGGCAGGCTGGTCGACTGTTTGTGCTCATACAACCTGGTTTCAGGTTCTCTTGTGTTCAAAAGCAGAGCATTGACCCTTAAACCCTCAAGGACAAGACACATTTTACAAAAAATAAAGAACTTGTTAGTCAAATTTGTCAGATGAGTAAAACAAATATAAACCTCATATCTTCTCTAGTTTAAAAAAAAAAAAAGGAACCTCCAAAGAAAATTCTTCTATAATTTCAGGTTATATCCTGCTATATTCTGCAAAAAAAAATTCTTTTTAGAGGGTTTTTACATTTTTTATTTTATTTTATTTTTTTACATCTATGGACTATAAGAGTATCTTCTCCATGACTATTTCTAGCAACCATAGTACATGGAGAAAAACTAACAGATACAACTCCACGATTATTTCAAAGTACGTCTCTTTGGTCTATAGTGAATTCATCAACTCCACTTGAGAGTGGTGATTTGCTAGCTTTTTGGAGTTTCAGTGGTGCATTTGGTTTCCTTAATTTCATGATACTCTCAGTTGTCCTTCAAATCAAACTTACGCATCGATACGTTTGAAAGATCATTTCGATTTGTTGTATTTTGACATTGGCAGTGGTGGGTGGAATGTAATGTGGTGATCGATAAAAATCAAAAGCACATTATGGTATCATAAATCCAAGGGTGTAAAAAATAAAAAAATAAAAATAAATAAATCCAAGGGTGTGTGAGAGATTTTGCACACCTTGGATTGATATCATTTGAGCTTTCTCTTTATCATTCTGCAGTGGTGTTCAGGTACCACAAGTCTGGCTTTGTGGTTTGTTAAACCGGCCTGAATTAAAAACTCTGTAGGAGCAGGAGATATGGGGTCCAGAAACCTGGTTCTCATCTCAGCTCTGTCTCCTACCTACCTTATGATCTCCCACTACATTCTGTACCTTTCTGCTCTAATTTCTTTTTTCTTTAAATTAGGTAATTAATCCTTGGTTAGCGTTATTACTTCCATATATATTGTGAGGGGAAAAGTAGAAGCACAAGAAAAATATGAAGGTTTAGAGAATCTCATGATGTTTTAAAGTTGGCTGGTCCTTAGCAATTGTCTGGTCCAATCTTTTACCTTCCAGAAGGGTGAAAATGAGACCTGAGGAGGGGAAATGAGTTAGGCATGATGACATGGCTGAGTACTGTGATTTTAAGAAATTTGCCATGAAAATACATGAATAAAATGAAATAGCCAAAATCAGCCACTGGATTGGCCCCCAGTTATCAGTCTTGAAAGCTTACCTTATTTACAAAGAAAATGTAGTTATGAAATTATAAATATATAAAATGAGTCTACTCTTCAAATCAATGCAAGGGGTCTACTTGTATGCAAAATGCCTATTTAGGGCAAGGAATTATACTAAATGCTGATGAGCCTGAGAAATCTCAATGGCAGACTTGGCCTGTTCTAGGGACGCCTGGGTGGCTCAGCGGTTGAGCATCGGCCTTCAGCTCAGGGCATGATCCTGGGGTCCTGGGATCGAGTTCCACATCGGGCTCCCCACAGGGAGCCTGCTTCTCCCTCTGCCTATGTCTCTGCCTCTCTCTGTGTCTCTCATGAATAAATAAATAAAATCTTAAAAAGAAAAAAAGAATTGGCCTGCTCTATTACATGAGTCTGCTGCCATTGTTGTCAAAAAAATAATTTTGGGTGTAGAATGTTATAGGTAATATGTGTTACCTGGTGACTGGTTTAATGGATAGAATGGTGTCCTTCTGAAAGATCTACCCTTGGGTTTTCATTTGAGTCTCACCAGGACATGTCCTTTAGTAAAAGGTGTGTATTATTTCATTCCAGTAGATGGTGACACAAGATTCCATGCTGAAGGCTGCCCTTGCCTCTCTTTGCCAGATTCATCGTCAGCAATGGCCTGCAGACCAAACATGGGGTGTTTGAGATCATACTGGAGACCATGGACAGAGCCTTACCCGTGGTGACCAGGAACAGGGGGCTGAGACTGGACGAAGGGACCACGGGCCTGCTCTCCCCTGACATCCTCCAGCTGACCGACCCTGACACCCCAGCGGAGAACCTCACCTTCATGTTGGCCCAGCTCCCACAACACGGCCAGCTTTACCTGCGGGGGACAGTGCTGCTTCAACACAACTTCACCCAGCAGGACGTGGACAGCAGAAATGTGGCCTATAGGCACTTGGGAGGAGACTCCCAGGTGGACTGCTTTACGTTTGTGGCCACTGATAGAACGAACCAAGGCTTCGTTGTGGATGGGAGAGTGGGACAAGAACCTGTATCATTCACCATCCAGGCAAGTATGACAAAGCCACAGGTCCCTGGGACACATGTAGAGAAAACCACTTTCCTCCTTTCCTTCCTTCATTCAAATGTGTGCTGTGCGAGGTGTGTCTCTGGCATGCCAGGCACTAAGCAAGGCACTGGGCATAGTAATATGGACAAGACAGGTGTGGTCCCTCCATGCAGGCTCTGACCAAGAGTCTGTGGCAGGACAGGTAGAAACAGAAAGCATGGGCTTTGGAGTCAGTCTTGACTAGGTTGGAATTTATTGGCCTGGTTTGCCATTTATTAGCTGTATGACCTTAGGAAGTCCTTTAACTCTTAGGATTTGACCTCCTGTCCTTAGAAAATTAGGCTTTATGGCATTGTGATAAGAATAAAATCAGACTAGGTACTGCAGGCACTAGCATATTTCCTGAAATATATTAGATATTCAATATCTTGTAACTACTGTTGTAATACTTATTAGGACGATACCTCTTGGTCCACATCATCTGCTGGCATTTTAATGGTTTTTGATGGAACACGTGAAAACGTACAAGGCAACCTCAATATTACACATGAAACAATGATGGGGAAACAATTGTAGCAGCTACAAGTGTTGGAGTATTAGGTCAGACCCATTTCAAGGAAAGCTTATTTCTTTCTTAGGAAGAGGGGAGTTTTATTATTTGCATTTAATAGGTGTTCACAAGTTCACAAGGTAAATAATTCGATCAAAACCATATAAGACCCCCACTCCAGTCTTTCTGATCCCCCAATTCTGTGCCCTTCCTCTGGCACTACTCTGCCACAGTTGTGTTGTCTATTAGGATGATTTGGGGAGGGCATAATGTGTCTTTCCTTTTTTAGTCAGAACACATTAAGCACATTGTTTCTTATACCCTTGAATCCACTCTCTTGGATGTAGTTTATCTTGTTCTACACACTTCTACCAACTGTAGAAAAGATAAATCGGAGTGTCACTGAAGGATACCTTCTGATTATGTAAATAATCATAATTTTCCTGTGCTCTTTAGTCTCTGTATTGGTGAGCATTTTCCAGAGGAACAGCGCAAATAGGATGTATATAGAGAAAGAGAAGTAAAAAAGAAAGATTTATTTTCAGGAATTGGCTCACCATTTGGGGTCTGACATGTCCAAAACCTGCAAGGCAGGCCAGCAGAATGGAAATCCCAGGAGGAATGGATGTTTGTTGCGATCCTGAAGGCAGTCTGGAGGTAGAATTGCTTCCTATCTAGGGGACTTCAGTCTTCTCTCTTAAAGTCTTCAACTGATTGGACAAGGCCCACCCACACTATGCAGTGTTATCTGTGTTACTCAAAGTCAACTGACTGAAGGGCTGATCACAACTAAAAGATACCTTCACAACAATATCTAGCCTGCTGTTTGACCAAACAATGAGCATCATAGCCAGCACAGTTGACACATAAAATTAACCATCACAGTCTCTAGGTGAATTCTAAGTAGAAAGTTAGGGAAGAATGATAACATAGAGTGGATGCTGATATCATTGACACAGTATGAAAGAAATACTTTGTATATAGTAAAATTATGTGGGTTTTTTTCAATTATATGTTTTGTTATTTGTCTCATCCCACTCTTCAATCTAGTAATATGTTTTTTCCTGACTCTTGATTCCCCACACTAGGTAGAAAAATGTCATTGTACTGTCTAAGCAGTAATACTTTTCTTGATCTATTTGGCTGCAAATTTGTAGGAGTTATACACTGTAAGTACAGGCATAAGGGTTCTAGAGTAGAGAAGAAAAAGGGAGAATTTAGAAGAAATATCAAACTTAAATGAGGCCTGACCCAACACCAACACTCATATTACAGAGCAGTTACTGTAAGAGAGTGATCTCTTGGAAGTTGCAGAATTTACTGATAGGAAAATGTGGATAGAAGTTGTAAAGGTTCTTTTTCATCCAAAGTACAAGGTTTTCTTGTATTTTCATAAAATACAATTATGTATAGACAAGGAAAGCCTCAAACTTTTTTCCATAATTTCCTCCAAATTTTCTAGTCTTTCTTAGCAGAGAGGTCAGGTAGTTTAGGAAGTAAGTGACTGCTACCCCTCAGTCTCTTGCCTTCAAGAGCTTCTTCGGTAAGGCAGTATAAAGTCTACCACCACTGAAAAATGAGTTGGTCCAGAAAAATCTACCAACTGTGAGTATACTACTGTTACGGTCTCAGCCTCAGTGGGACCGAGGGCAAAGCCAGTAGGCTTCACAAGTATAAAACACAACACAGTTGTATTTCACTGATACCAGTGTGTACAACCTGACATTCCTGTTGTAGGGAATCATGTCTATCTGACCAGGATACTGCACCTTGCCACAGTGATTCTTTTACTCTTCTCTAAGTGGGGACAGGGCTGGCAGTGAGGGAGAAATGACCAGTGTCACTGCTTCCTATGGTTTACACATGTCCGAGACGATTTTCAGTGAATCCAATACAAGTCTTCAAAGGATATAGTCTTCTTTTTTAAAAAAAATGCCTTGGACTCCAGTATTTTAAAATGCTTCTGATATACTAAGCCAGAAGACCTGTTTTTGAAGAAGCCAGAAATTTAATGAGATTAGGGAAGTGTGACCAGAGACACTACAGAGAACCACGTTACCAGGGTTTTTATTTTAAAAATATTTTTTAAAATATATTTAAAATATATTAAATATATATATATATTTTTAGAAAGAAACCAGAAGTGCAATGATATTCGGGCAAGTGTGACCAAAGACACAAGAGAGAACCATGTAACTAAGGTTTTTATTTTTAAAATATTTTTTAAAATATACTTTGTTTATTTTTGTTTTATTTTATATGTATTAAAATATTTTTAAAGTATTCTTGAAAATATATTTTTTTAAACAAATGATCACAACAGGCATTTATTCCTTTTGTAACACTTTTGTTTTTAAGGAAAATACAACATAAAAAAACTCCACACCTGCACTCAGCTAATTATAATTCTGAGGATTTCTTTCATAGTTCCAAGTATTGTTATTTTTCCTCAGCTGCCATTCACCATCCCTCTTACTGGCCATCATACTTGAAGGAGCTTCTCCCCCTAAAGGCTATGATAACTATTTGACTCCCCACCTCCCACCCAATTGCACAACTCTGAGGTTGCCATCCACAGTTTATAGGAGAGGAGAATGGCTGTAACTTTTGAAAATTGTTATTGCTTTTTTTGTTTGTAAAATAATTGTTTATTGTAAATAATCTTATAAGATACAGAAAGGGACCAGAAAAAAGTCTTTCCCAACATGCCACTCAAAGATAACTAATTTTGGTGACTTCTTTTCATTTTTTTATTCTGTGCAATTAAAACTGGGAGGATATTATATATACAATCAAGCATATTGTCTGTCTCCAGTCTTGATTATTTTATCAAAATCTAATGTCATTAGATCTTTCTTGAAAACATAATTTTTCAAGGCTGAATGGCACTCAGTGTTAGGTAGAAATGATTTATAAATCCCGTGTTGCCCTTTTAATTTTATGGATTTTTTTATTAATTGTATTTAGTAAAAACATACATATATATATATATATATATATATATATATATATACCCATACACATTCTGTGTACGCATCTAATTATTTCTGCAGGACATACTAAAAAATGTGAAATTTTTGGATCAGAGTATATATACATTTTACATATATGTATACACATGCATATACAAATTTGTCTCCAGAAAATTTTCACTGATTTGAACCTCTATCAGCAAAATATAAAAAAGTGTCTTCCTCCAAACGGTTACCAACATATTGTATGATTATTTTTGTTAGTAAAAAAGAACCTTGCCAATCTGAGAGGGAAAAAAAATATTTGATTGTTACAAAACTCCATATAGAAATACATAACTAAGCCTGATATTTTCCCCACCCCAAAACAAATGAACAGGTTTGTGTAAATGCTCCCAGAATTTTGTCTATTTATGTGTGAACATATGGATGAACAAAAATGATATTATAGTCATCTCCTGTTCTGCAAGTTACTGGTTTTTGGTTTTGTTTTTTTACCAGTTAACACTAAGTTGTGGAAATTCTCTATTTTCAGTTCCTCCTACCTCAATTTTTTTTAAATAGGTGGATAACAGTTTATTATTTCATCCTATACAAAAATATATACATAATCTTGTCAGGGCACTTACTCTTTACTTAGCTAAGGTGAACCCAGATTTATAACGGTATCATTTTTGGGCAAATGAAGTTAAGAATTGAATGATTAGGAGTAAAGGGAATGGAGACCATGTTCCTGTGCCTGTTTTCCAGTATCAGTAGTAAACGGTGCTTATTATCCATGCTGACCTGCTTCTTACCTAACTTCCATTTGCAAGATGGACAAGCTTCATACCGTACCTGACTGCAACCCCTTGTGATGTTTGAACCCATATGCCTCTTGCATTCATGAGTAATTCCACCTCCACTATCTTTGTAAATTGAGTCTACCTGTTTAGTTACCTGGTTCTCATCCTTAGTGAAACAAATATGTAAATGCCTATACTTGCTTTTCATTTTTCTCCTACTGAAGTATTTCTGTTTTTTAATTTGTTTTGTTTTGTTTTGTTTTGTTTTGTTTGTTTTAAGAGAGAGACAGAAACAGGGGAGGGACAGGGAGAGGAACAGAAAGACTTCTTAAGCAGGTTCCATGCTCAGCACAGAGCTGACTCAGGGCTCAATCTCACCATCCTGAGATCAAGAGTTGGACGCTTAACCAACTGAGCCACCCAGGCACCCCAGTATTTCTGTTTTTAATTTAACGTTTATGGCATTTGAACAAAGCAGTGCGCCAAAAATGTTCAATGCATTTGTGATGTATATCCTTATGTATATCTTTATAAGTTTATTTCTGTATACCACTAAACACTGGGAACATGGGAGGATCTTCCTCTGGAGCTAACGTTAAGTTTTCAATACAATTTTTTTTGTAAGACTTCATTTATTTATTTATAAGAGACACACAGAGAGAGGCAGAGACATAGGCAAAGGGAGAAGAAGCCTCCCTGAGGGGAGCTTGATGCAGGACTCCTTCCCAACACCCCAGGATCACACCCTGAACCAAAGGCAGTCACTCAACCACTGAGCACCCAGGTGCCCCTGCAATACAATTCTTGGGTCAATTTTAATGTATTCATTCAACAAATATTCCCTGAGCTGCTCTTAGGGTTCAGGCACTGTGCCAGGTGCACAGAATAGAGAGAGGAGGAGGGGTGGAGACATAATGTCTGCCATCAGAGAGCTTATGTCCTAATAGAAGAGTCAGACAATGAACAATTAACAAAGCTGGGTCAGAATTTACAATAGAAAGTCAGCCTCTATTCCAGCCATTGTGATATTTACTGAGGATTCTGTGAACAAACCAGCCGTTAGCAGAAATGAACAAATGAGGAGGATAAAGAATCTGAAATTTGGGCTAGATTATCATTGTGAACCATTAAGACCCTCTCTCTGGTGCTTAGAAGTGAGAAACCTTTGTATAAGATTGTATGTAATTATTGACTATCCAGGTTGACCAGTTGGACAAAACAGCCCCCCACATCACACATTTGCATTCCCCTTCTCAAGTGGTGCTCCTGAAAAATGGCTGTTACGGGATTTACCTCACTTCCCATGTGCTGAAGGCATCGGACCCTGACACCAATGATGATCTGATCATCTTTAAGATTTTACGAGGCCCCCAACATGGACATCTGGAGAACACAACCACAGGTACTGCCTTCCTTAATCCTTATAATTGCTCGCCTTAAAGTACCCTGTAGCTGGCAAGGCTAGAGAGTAATTGAATTAAGTATAGGCCCATTTGGTAAACACTCACCAGGGCTTACCGATAGATGCAGTTTATAAATCAATATTGGTGCGAAAGAGAGTTTGAGGCTGAGCTTTCCTAAATTTATCTTGAGTGGAAGAATCAAATACTGATACGCAGCTGTGTATTGTTCACAATTCTTTTTAACAGCCAGATTGTAATATATTCAGAAGAACACACAGTGTCAGGATCAATTTCATATTTGTGACTAATTTTTTTTCTATTAGTAATTCTAAGTGATGTCAGTTTAAAAAAAATTGGGAGGAGTATGATGGTTTCTCGGGACTGTATATTATTTCTGCTTTTTGAAGACAATGATCAAAATACATCACTAAAAAGGATGGCACAGAATTAGAGATTTTATTACTGTATCTTCCTACTCTCCCTCTATTTTTATATTTTCTTTAAGGCACAATATTTCTGAGCCAATTTAAGTTTAAAAGCCTAATTTAAGTTTATTGCATAGGAGTTTTAAGATACTTGCAATAACGTTAATTTCTTAAAAATATATAGTTTGGCTGTTTTTAAAGTTGTGCTTAAAATAAAATAACCATACAATTTATCAGCTTTTATTTAATATTTTGTTTGATTCCTGTTAAATTCATTCATTTCTTTTTTGTAGGTGAATTTATCCATGAGAAATTTGTCCAAAAGGACTTAAACAGTAAGACCATTCTTTACATCATAAACCCATCTTTGGAAGTGAATTCAGATATCATGGAATTCCAAATCATGGACCCCACAGGGAACTCTGCTACTCCTCAAATGTAAATTATTTTGCTTATTCAGTGGTCCTGTTTATAATGTCCAGAATATATCTAGTTATGAATGTGAAATATTGTTTTTCAAACAGAATCCAAAGATAAGTTGATAGGCCATTTCAGAAGCCATAGAACTGATTTTGGAGAAAGAATTTTCTTTCTAATGTGTGATCATGGGAAAGCCAGCAGCCTCATAGGGTATGGGGATATTAAAAAGTTAAATTATAGAGTGCTGGATCATTCATATTACTTACATAAATACATACACCTTTGCACACAGAGCGGTTTCTGTCTTGACAATTCACTCACATCCAGGACTGGGCTTGCAAGCTCATGTACAAATCATGCAGCAAGAGGTCACTCTAGGACTGCGTTAGTAACCAGTCTTCTAAAATACCTACAGCAGGAAAAATGAGGCAGTCAGGACGGGTTAGCAAAATATCTCTTCCCTCCAAAGAAACCCAAAAAACGAAATGATTACTTGTGATTGTGCCTGTAAGTTAATAAAACGATCACAGGTAAGATGAAGATCATGTAAAGGGGAATACAGACTTGGAGAAATACTAAGTGATGCTTTGAAATCGTATAAAATGTAGAACCATCAGAATAGCAAGAGTAACAAATCCTCACAGTTAACAAGATGAACAGACCATCCTAATATTTCTGACTGAGCCCCTGTTCTAAACTTCTCTTGAATGTAGACCTTGAATAATTTGCCAGCTATCAGATAATCACAGAAATGTTAGAGTCCAATTCTTGTGCTATGTTTTTCTTTTGAAATTTAACACCCTTCCCAGTCACCTCGTAGAAAAGTTGCTCATTTATCCTAATTTCAGTATTTGCCATAACCTGGTCAAGCCACACATCATCATAAGCGAGTACAGCCCCTTTATGGGCTTTTCATGACATGATATGGACAAAGAAGAAAAAAGCAAATTCACCTCTGTTCTCTCCATTCTTTCTCTGACTAAATTATAGTTCCAACACTTGCCAGCAGAGGTCTCTATAGTCATTGTTAGAAAAATGCATCCTCTTAGCAAAATTCATTCCGAGTCCTGCCTCCATTTGGCCTGATAACAGATAATACCTGGCCCAGATTCATAACCTTCACAGATTTTTATCAAGTGGCTATTATGTGCCAGGTTCACAATACTAGATGCTGGGAAAATAGGCATGAACAAGGAAGACCTGGGCCTTGACAGTAAAATATAATCATAAGTTTATAAAACTAAAATGGAAGACCACCACCCATTAAACTGATCTTATTCAAGAGAAATGATTCCTTGGCATTACAATCTTTATATAAAATTTATTACCTAATTGCAATTTCAGACAAATGTCTTCCAGTTCCCAAGAAAATGAAAAAAAAAAACTCTGCTCCAAAATCATTAATAAATTGATTATATTTTTAATAATTCAACTAAAGAACGGACTATTGACCAGACTTGTTTTTGACCTAATGCTGACCACTGCTCCTCTACCTATGAACATAGCGTGGTTGATAGGAATTTTTCTCTCCCTCAGTGGTGCTAGATTGATACTGCTTCAACTGCACACCCTTTTTATTCCTCATCGTTACCAAAGATGTTGCTTTTGAAGATGGTTTATGTTTTTAAATAATTCTCAGATTCATAGGAGAATCACAGAGGAATTTATAGCCTTAATTAAGGCTATTTTAAATAGACTCCTCCTTTTGTGATACAATTTTCATATACCTGAAGATATTTGTAATTCAGCTTGAAACGATTGGAACCAGTGGAAGGAGATGATGCAAATATGCCTACTAAGGGTTAACTCAGAAGCTATTTTGATTTGATTCTGATATATATTGTTTTCTTTGGAGTGGTAGGGGAGATAGATATTACTCAGCACTTACCTTCATAATTTGTTAGTGGTATAGTTGTCCCTAACCTCATTTGTAAGTAGATGGTTTTTGGAACAAGAAACCCATTATTTCTGTAAGAAACAATAATGTGAATAGTCACTTTTCCAAAACAGCCTGTAAGAACCTAGTTACATGTACTGTATATATTACAGGTATTTGCAACACAATTGTTTTCTACTCCATTTCTTTTTTTTTTTTTTAAGATTTTTACTGATTTATTTGAGAGAGAGAAAGAGAGAGAGCACACAAGCTGGGGGAGGGCAAAGGGAGAGGAAGAAGCAGACTCCAATGCAGGACTTGATCCCAAGACCCCAGAATCATGACCTGAGCTGAAGGCAGACACTTAACGGACTGAGCTACCCAGGCACCCCTCTACTCTGTTTCATTGCTCTTCACAACCACCAGTGAGTTAGGTACCACCATAATCCAGAATTTATAGGCAAGAAAACTGAAGCATGGAGATTGGAGGTGACCTTTCTAGGCTCATGCAACTAATTCTGGGATTCAGGCCCAGGAAAGGTGGTCCTAGAGTCCAACATTTTCCTTATTGCACTAAGGAACTTCTTGCCCACTCTTAACCAGTCAACTCAACTGGCCTATCAGGAAAGGAGCAGCAGACTTATCTCCCTTCTTTCTCTCTAGTCATTGGCCACCCAAGAAAGGAGGAATACATACTCTTCAAGGACATTAGGTTTCGGGTTTTTTTTTTTTTAAGTAGTGAATTACAGATATTGATATTAATGTGCCTTCATGTCCAACACACTGGGACACTGGGAATTATGGTATAGATAACAAACAATAGGCCACTGGACTTAGAGCCAAAGAACAGGGCTCAAGCTTTGGGTCTGCCATTGACCTAGGTGACTGTGCAAGCCTTAGTTATCTCTTCTGTCAGATGAGGGCGATACCACAATTTGTTTGGAGAAACAAATGAGATAAAACATGTGAGCACATCTTATATATTTAAAGTCCTTGACAAATGTAACTTGCAGTGGTGATTGCTGTTGTTCATTCATATGAGTAGAAGATTGACGGTTTGAAGGGGTATCCCGGAGACATTTGGTGGCCCATCACTAATTGGAAATTGATTCTGGAATGATTCACAAAGTAAACAGTCAACATGCTTTTTGATCAATAAGCTAATAAGCGTTATGTAATTTTATGTTCTTGTTTGGCTTAGGATTAATGGATTAATATTACGTGTATTTGGAGGGCTGAAAACCTTCTGTAATAAAGCTAAAGGGACTGTTGGGTACAATCTGGAGAGAAAGGAGGCTCTTTTAAAAACCAAGAAGGACTCCTGTTTAGGATCTTGATTGATAGTAAGTTTTTGCTACTAAAATGTTGCTATCACAGCATTTCTATAGAATATCAGTTCTGAGGGGTCAATAGATATTCCATTAGAAAAGGTGTTAGGAAATCTTGATTTAATCAAGTTGTTGCTAGCTTGCTTGCATGCTGTTTAACCGCATCACATCCCAGAATCATGGAGATGCTTGTATGAAGTGGGAATCTCTGAGATGGAGATATAGTACGTGGCATATCTCAATTTGATTTGCCTCTAGAACAATCACCACCCTACCCCAGAATAGCTTATGGGAGAAATTTTTCATGGAATACATTTGGGAGACATTTTATTGTAAATAGAAGTTATTTTATAACACTGAAATCCATGGAAATTTGCATAAAGATTTAAATTTGGCTAAGTGCCTAAATTTCAGGCACTGTGCTAGGTGCTTTCACATATGTTGTCTAATTTAATCTACAAAATACAGTCCTCTGAGGGTGATAAGGAAATCAGGCTCAAAGCATTTAAGTAATTGGCCAGAAGTCACGAAATGAATGAATGGCAGATCTAAAAGTGAATCCTGACCTCATGACTTCAAAGTGGGCGCTCATCTTATTGGCTCGTGCCTTGGCATGACTCAGTCACATGACGTCATATCTGTTCTCTAGCCCCGTTCCAGTCTCAAAATAGTGTGCAGAGCTCCCAAACTCAGCTACATAGGACTCACACTGGTCCTCAAAAATGCCTGTGCAGGTCACAGAATGCAGCCAACTTCTGACCAAGGCAGTTTATTCACACATCTTCTACATTGACCTCTTTACTGTGCCCACTGGGAAAAAAAAAAAAAAAGTGAACTTCAAAAGAAAAGTTGACCCGTGGTGAAATTCTTCATCACTGGGTTGCTTCTCCTGCTGCTGCACAATTCCAAGGACTGATTCTTCTCCTCCCTCTGGCTACCTTTATTCATTCCTGCCTTTGAAAGAGAAGGGACAAAAGAAATCAAACAGTAAAGGAATTTCTAACAGGCCAACTCAGCAATGTTTTAGCAACTTTTATGAAACACCTTGCAGGGGAAGAGGTTGAAACCATTGGCGAAGTAAAGCTTTCATGTTACCTGCAAGCCAGAAGTTAAAGTATTGGTCTCTGGATAGATCTAAAAAAGCACAGAGTAAGGGAAGGGAATTGGCACTTATTAAGCACCCACTGTGTACAGGTGCTCTATACATATTAACGAATTTTAATTTTCATCATTTGACATGAGTATAATTCTCATTTTAAAACTAATGAAAACTGAGGCCTCAGGAGACTGGGTAACTGACCAGAATCACACACTAATAAGTGGTTGCAAAATGTGTCTAACTCCAAAGCTCTTGTTTTGGGTACTCAGAGTGCTGCCTCCTGGCTAAACACTGTTTTCCCATTACCACGAGGAAAAGACAAAATGGAAAACACAGGTGTTCATAGCATGAGATTATGGAGATTAATAACATCCTCTTTGAATTGATAAGCCTTAGAATACCCGGAAAAATATTTTTTAGCCTTTCAATTTTCTTAAGTCATATGCTACTTGATTATACATGAAGATCTAGTTGGAAGAATAATTAGTCACAATTTTACTTCTATAAAACTTTCAGTGAGAAACTAAAAATACTTAATGAGTATTCATTAAGGCTCATTTAACCCCTTTGAAGTATAGACTCATCATCATTTACACTTTGTGAAGTGAGGAAACTGAGGCATAGAGCAGCTAAGTGCCTTTTTCACATGCACTTGTTAACCTAGATTAATGTCCCAAATCCCAAACTAAGGTTTGAATCCTAAGTGTTTCTTTCAGTTAATTGTTCATTCATATGACTCAAGTAGCTACAAAATGAAATATCAGAAAGTACATATATATATATATATATATATATAATTTTTATTCTTATTTTTATGTTTTTACAGCAGCACTGTTGACAATTTGGGCCAGGTCATTTCTTTGTCGTGGGCTGGGAGGCAAGCCAAGGGCAGGTAGAGTGTCCTGTGCATTGCAGGATGTTTACAGCATCTCTGGTCTCTACCCACAAAATGCCATTATCACCCTCTTCCCAGTTGTGACAATCAAAGCTGTAACTAGACGTTGCCAAAAGTTGAGAATCATGCACATATCTTAGAAAATACCATACATATGTATTAAGCAATCATGCTTTATGGTCAAATACTCTTTTATCAGCGCCATCTTTCTCAATACTCTAATAAAGTACAATAATAGCCAAAGAATCCAGAGTAAGAGCTGGAAAGAACATGTGAGGATCATTTATCCTAACATTTATTTCAAATTTTGTGAAATATGATGTTGATAGGGCTGGGGAGACGAAAGGTTCTGGTGGTCAATTTAGCTTGGGAAACAGTGGGTAAACAAGTTCCCTTCATTCACTGAACAAATATCTATCAAGCACTTACTGTCAGCCACTCTCCAAGGGACATGGGAATATATCAGTGAACCAAAGACTTCTGTGTACTTGGGAGCATGCTTCATATCTAAATAAATTAAATAGTATATTCTACATGATACTGCTTTGGAAAATGAAAAAGTTGGTTGGGATAAGGGGAATCACAGGTGCCAGAATTTAGGGATGGATTGCAGTTTTAAATTGGGTGTTTAAATGGCTTTTCTTATATTCATAGCAAAAGTTAGAGAAACATCAACAAAATGTTAGCAGAGAATCAACCAATTATGTGAAATCTACAATAAAAGTGTAGTATATCTAATATTATTACTTATGAATTATGTCCTATACATTCTTAAATCAGTATTAAACACACACACACGTGAGTGCACGCACACACCTCTTCCCTCCAGAGTCCATTGTTAAAATATTTATAACCATGTCACTGCTTATATGAATAAATAAAATATAGCAAGGAAAAATGTAAATTTAAAATATATGCTAAAGGAAAACAAATGAAAAGGCATAAAAATGGAGACAGGAAACAAAGCAACACAGTCTTCTTGTGCCACACCTTGAGATTGTGTTGTGTGTGGCAGAGGGACCAGAGGTCCTATGATCTCCAACCCAATTTAATCTCCACTGACCAATCCTATGTCTTCCGTTCACAGTAGTGGTTTTTGGGAATTCAAATTCAGTTTCCTCATTAAATAAATTTTTCTATTGTAATAAGTATCCCACAGTCACTGAGGGAGAAGTTTCTTGAGGATGATTTACCTCTGAGGATGAGTTACCTCTAAGGGACATTTGGAAATTTCTAGAAATAGTTTTATTTTCTTAAGATTTTATTTATTTGAGAAAAAGGGAGAGCACAAGCAAAGTGAGGGGCAGAGAGAGAAGCAGACTCGCTGCTGAGTAGAGAGCCCAATGCTGGACTTGATCCCAGGACCCCAGGATCATGACCTGAGCTGAAGGCAGACGCTTAACCAACTGAGCCACCCAGGCATCCCTGGAAACAGTTCTATTTTGGAGGGGATGATGTGATTGCATCTAGTGGGCAGAGGAGAGGGATGATGCTAACCATCTTGCAATGCACAGGATAGCCTCAGCAACAAAGAACTGTCTGGTCCCAAGGTCAGTAGTGTCCAGGTTGAAAAACCATGACCTAGGGGCTCAAGGAGTTCTCACTTCTTGCTAAATGACTTGAAATGATCGCCATATGGGTTTGACATAAAGTATGTCCATGAACTTCATTTCTGATCTTAGATTGAGCTTTGCCCAATGGTGACAAGAGAAGGAAGGAATCATTAAAATGTGAAGACTCGACTCAAGTCTTGCCTACATGACCCCTCCACATTCAGAGCTTTCAAAATTTCTCTCATGGGCTCCTGCATCAGGTTGTCTATATGATGCCCAGCAAACAGCTGTGTGACTTCCTGCAGGGGGAATTCCTAAGTGATTGACTACATCTCTTTTCTTCTAGGTGTTTGCATAGAATTTAAGCTACAAGCCTCAGCAATAGAAAGATCTCAAATTCAGTACTGCAAAACCCAAATACATTCAAAACATGTGTTGCACATATACTGTCAGTGTGCATGTGCTTTGTGGTTTAAATATTTTTCCAAAAAATATATAGCATGACTTAGTTTCATGGCTTTTCGATAGATCTTTATTATTTGTAGGTAGGAATTTTAAGACAAGAAACTAGAACATTGTGTAATGACAACTTTATCCTGTAAGCAATATGCTGCATTCTAATTGTGCATCAGGGAAATGAATGCACTTTCCCAAACACCAAAGCCCTTTATGGTTTGAAACTGAACAGCACTCTCCATGGTCCCTTTATGGATCTAGATCAGCAATCAAATTGCATTTAGCTTTAGGCCTTGAGGTCACCTGGATCTGCAGAGTGACAATGATGAATTTTTGCTTGTCATGGTTCCCATTAGCAGTGGATGGATGGATGGATCCTCAGGATATTGGATGTTGAAACTCATTTAAACCTTAGTGAGACTTAGCTGAAATCCACCCATCTTTATCTATTCCATTCATTCCCACTGCTCTTCTTTCCTTTCTGTTTCATCTCTCTATCCTTTCCCCTAATCCATCTTGTTGATTTTTTTCTCCCTTCTTAGCGGGGTCCTGAAGGAATTCTTTGCCACATGTTATTTTTATTGGCATTTATAATAGCCTCGTCGCTTGTTATCCTGTGATTCTTTAAGCATAGCCATTTATGTCTTTATTTCTTGACTGTTTCATGCCAGATTTGAATTCAGTTACATCAAAGACCCACGAGTATCCCAGTATTTCTAATATGAGGATTCTGTTTTCATGTCGAAATTTTATAAAGCCCAGCATGCCAGTAACAATAAATTTCATATGTATCAATTGAATAAACATGTATGTTCATATAGATTCATGAACCTCTACCATAATTCCATGCCCCCAAACTACCTTGCCTCACTGGCCCCTGGTCCTTGGAGTAAGAGAAAAAGAGTGCTTTTGAGTTTATCTTGCTGGTGCACTTAGAGTATATGACTGTGACACATGATTGGTACAAAGACATCAAGTGGATAGTAAGGGATAAACTTACTCTCTAATATGAATGGTCTCCACGAAAGCCTGGAGAACATTGTGAAACCCGTGCCCTACATGGCAGTACCCAGAATTTCTAGTTGTGTGAGGAAAATATTGTAAAAAATGTATTAAGAAATCTAGAAGACAGACCCTACATCTGAGTGGAAGATTGGGAAAACAGTAAGACAACCACTGAGAGTTTTGCCAATGTAGAAATAAAGGAAAATGAGAGAAACAAAAGTAACAGAAGAAGTGTATTGGATGATCATAGTGAAGATTGCTTGTGTCTTATACAATCATGTCTCTGATTTTCTCTGGTTTTCTGAAAAAGAGAAAAAAAGTTTCTCTATTATGAGGAGTAGACAGTTTCCATCTGATGTTGGGCTTGCTAAATCTACTGTGGGGAAAAAGACCACCCCCTATTTATCAGGTTTATTCAGTTGTATAGCTGCGTGCAAGCTACATGTCGGTTGGCCCTTTTATATGCACAGAAGAAGGAACAGATTATGATTGTAAAACCCATGCACATTGTAATTCCTAGGCATATCCTGAAAGGTAACCAGTTATTAAAACTGAACCCAAGTTCAGAGATGATCTGTGTCTGGAACCTTCTTGATGTACCAGCAAAGGCCAAAAAAATAAGAGAGAAGATTTCTTTATCAATATCCTTTCCAGAAATAAATGTTCCCTTGAATTTTATCACTGCTGGTTCCTTCAGAGCATTCACGTTGGAGTCCCTCTGGCAGGCTTTTAACCTTGGTTTCTGCATTTGTAAAACAGAATTCTAATACTTACTCTTTCTACCTCACAGCATTGTTGTAAGCATCAGATGAGATTGTTAGTAAAAGTTCTTTTTGAACTAAAATGTACCAAATAAGCATAAGGAATTTTTAGCAGTGGTGTAGGCTGATGAACCACTTCTGTCACCATGATATGAGCCAGTGGTTCAATCTCCTACCAAGCAGAGGATCCCTACAGGCATTTACCAGAATGTTTTTCCCTTTTCTTTTCCTTTCATTTACAGTTTGGAACTAAAATGGTCTCATATTGAGTGGTCACAGACGGAATTTGAGGTCTGCGAGAGTGTGGGCATGTTGCCCTTGGAAATTACCAGAAGGGGATATTCCATGGACTCAGCCTTCGTGAGCGTAAAGGTAACAAGTCAAAAATGTAAACTGTTGGGCTAAAATTTGGGTTGCTGTTTGGTGCCTTGATTATTTTCTTAAAAAGAAAACGAGAGTAACAAAGGAAATTTTAAAATTGCTGAATTATTGCCTTATTTTAGAGATTTTACATCTAATGTTTTCTGTCCTTTCACCCTTGATCTAGCTTAATTAGTTCCTAGATGAGATATTTCAGACTAATTTTTTAGTTTTTACATCTGGTCATTGAGCCTTGAAACTTGACTTTACAGGGAGATATATCCAACCTGGTGACCTCGGGCCAAACTCTGCTTTGTAAAAGAAAGTGTGTACGCAAGACATCCTGTGAGGTCTCCAGAGCAAAGTGCAGCCCCCAGATGGCTTTCTCTTAGTATGCCACCAGGATCACTTCCTGTGGTCTCAGGGGATGAGGGAAATCAAGGGGCAAACTTATCTTAAGAGTCACCCAAGTTAAAATTAAGAGAGCATATATCAATCCAGGCCTCCGAAATATAAAGAAAATTCAGTAATCACTTTAAAATTAGTCAACTGGTTATTCCTTTCCATTGGCATGGACCAGGGAGCACAACCTATGGCTTCCAGAATTGAAGGATTTTGGGGGGAGTTGCTATCATAGTAACACTTCAAGAGAATGACAGCTTGAAAGCTTTTATGAACTAACAGTAGTGAGCGAGCCTTGAAGACTCCGCTCCTCAATCTGATGAAAGGGGGAGTAATATTAGCTTCTGGAAAAAAGGTCCATCTCAGTTCAGTCGCAATTATATTAATAAATTCAAATCACCCTCAGAGCCTTGTGCACTTAAATCCTACCATATCCACATTTGGTATTTACCTGTCCAGTAGGCAAAAGCTCTTTTTCCCAGTGGATGTTTTATTGTTATTGAAACATCAGACAACTTGGAATGCCCTATAATTTCCCAACAGATTGTTCATGCAAAATGAAATCTGCCTGAATGGTTTTTAAATAATGCTTTGGTCTTCTATAGAAAACGCCATATGCTCGAGTCTAGAGTTTTGGGCCACATACCATTCACCTGGCCAGGTAGAAAGAACATATGTGGTGTGACATGGAACACTTTTGTCTACTTAAGCTGAACGCATACCGTGAACCTACAGGCCTTCATTAGACACAGCCCTGAGCCCTCAGGGACAGCTCCACCCAGAGTGCAGGTGCCACCATTACCCAGAGCATATTGGCTACTGGATCAGAGGCAGAGGAAGGGAAAGCACGTTGACTTGTGTTGTTTGCCCCAGTTTGAATCGTGCACCTTCACCAGGCTGATTGCTCCAACCAGCTTGCCTCAGACCATTCCTTTTCCCACACAGGAGTCTGTTAGCTCAGTGGTGGTAAATACTAAGTAATTGTATGTGCAAGAGCCATGTGGAGAAATGTGACTTCCAGCATATGGTGGATACAGGTGTACAATGGGCTTCCTTTTCACAATGAAAGGTTGTTCAGGAGGAGCCTTGGCATTGTAGGCAAAGAACAAATGGAGGCTTCGGAGGAAATACTCTCTTCAGCACAATTTCCACTGCAGACCCATTAGCAGATCTTAGGGCCTTTGGTGATGAACGGAGGTAATGTCTAAAGCCATAAAAATAGGAACGTTTACCTTTTCAATTGTGCACTTCATTTCTTTGTATGAAAGTGAAGAAATAGAGTCACCCATTTTCTCGGCCATCTTACATGTCTCAAAAAGGGCAAAGTGACCCCTGCCTATCATGGTTACATGGGATTCTCATTTAATGACTTCTTTTTCAAACTGGTCAAGGACACTGTTCTTAACATGGATTTAGACTCCCTCTGGGGAAGATAAGGCCATGGCTTGAGAGCCCTAAATCACCTCTGGTTTTTAGCCCTGGGAGTGAGGAACAGGAGATCAGTAAATAGTCTCTGTAAACTAGCACCATTTTTGTTGTTGTTGCTAACTTACTTGATGGAGCCTCAAAAGCCCTCAGTTGTGTGTGTATGGGTTGATTTTGTGTGGCCGTTCACCAGGTCTGCCATCCCCATTGAGCTCTTCTTCATTTCTGTGAAGAGGGGTGGTTTCATCTGGATAGGAAAATGGACCAAACTTGTATATGGTCAACTTGTCTAAGGCGTCAGTGCCCTGAAACTCACAGGATACCCCAAAGCTACTTGTTGGAAGCACCTGCTATTGCTTCTTCTCCCCCTCTCTTTCCTCTGAGGCACAATTTCAAAGCCAGCTTGGGGAAGAAGGAAGGTAATAAATGGACACTCGTAATGAAGAGAAAAATATTATTTAAAATTTATGTTGCTTTCTTCAATGACTGAATTATTTATAAAGATGTGAAAAAGGAAAAATGTTAACTTTAAGGAAGATCCATGTAGCCTAAATCTAAAATGGTTTATTATAATTAAAGAAAAAACTTTATGTTAAAAACAGATTTAAGAGCATGGCTTTGGGGTGGTGCCTGGCTGGCTCAGTCAGTAGAACATGCAACTCTTGGTCTTGGAGTCATGAGTTCAAGCCCCATGTTGGATATACAGCCTCCTTAAAAAAACAAGGATAAGTTTAGTCTATTATGATATTAGACTAGATGTTTCTCAATTAAAATATATTTTTATTAAAAAAGGACATTTGTCCCTTTTAAGGTCAACCAGGTGTCAGCTACAGTTGGAAAAGACTTCACTCTGACTCCATCTAAACTGATTCAGTTTGACCCAGGTACGTTTCATGTCTACAGTTTGTTTCCTATTTTTGTAGGAGTGTGTGGAGATCATGGGGACCCTCTTCAGCCACTCCAAGAGAGATCAGGTTGGACTTGAAGTTTTGTCCTTCATTTTTCACTTTATCACAAGTGAATATTTATTTAAAATGAGAAGAAAGCCTATAACAAATATAAAGTATCAAAGCAAACACCCAAAAAATCCAGAAAAGAGTGTCATTTGAAAAATTATTTGGGGGCACCTGGGTGGCTCAGTTGATTAAGCATCTGACTTTTGATTTTGGCTCAGGTCATAAGATCGAGCTTCACATCAGGCTCCATACTGGTTGTGGAGCCTGCTCAAGACAGATTCTCTTTCTCCCTTTCCCTTTGCCCCTTTCCCTCCTAAAAACAAACAAACCAAAAACCAAACCAAACCAAAACAACACAAAAAACAAATAAATAATTACTTGGAGTCCCTAACACAAAGCTGAACTAATTGAACTGTCTCGTATTTTGATGGAAATTTTCAGAAAGCCCTATTTGCCTCAGGTCATTTCTAAATGTTTTCTCTTGGAATAGGTTGATATGAGGAGATTCCAGGAAGATTAATTAGATAGCACATATTTTGTTTTGAATCAGTGGAAAAATTTTGCCAGGTGCAAAAGGGAATATAAAAGTATGGTGCCTGCCCTTAAAGATGTTCTCATGTGGGAGATAGAGACATGAAAACAACTCACTAACAGTATGTTGGGACCCAGAAGATGAGCCATTGTTCTGGTGAAGGGAAATTCTGGAAAACTTCCCAGAAGAGATGGTGTTTTGAATAAGTAGAAGAAGAAGAAGACTTCAGGGTGGAGGACCAACACACTTTTGGGGAGCTGTGTCTAAAGCACTGAGGCTGGAGCCACACCTCCCTTCCCTGGCTTCTGTAGAAAGGGCAGGTAGCTCTCCTTCACTGCATGGTTCTCTCTTTCCCTCTGGTCTGGGATGGACATGGATCACCTGGCCACTGGCAGATGGAAAAGGCCTTGAGAAGCAGCCAGGGCCTGTGACTTCGTGCTCTCCTCAGAGGAAGTATTCTGCACTCTGAGAACATTCCACCGAGTCAAAACCCTTGCCATTATCTACCACTGTCATGTGATATTCCAAAGGCAGAACAGAATGGCCTAAATATCAGCATCACTACAAATTTGACAACCTTAATAGTAAACATAGAAAAGAAATGCCCTTGAGCAGACATTTCTCCATAGAAGGCCTACACATGGCAAATGTGAAAAATGAATGAAAAATGTTCCACATCACTTGCCATCAGGGAAATATAAATCAAAACCACAGTGAGGAATGCCTGGGTGGCTCAGTGGTTGAGTGTCTGCCTTCAGCCCAGGGTGTGATCCTGGAGTCCCAGGATCGAGTCCCACATCAGGCTCTCCGCAGGGAGCCTGCTTCTCCCTCTGCCTATGCCTCTGCCTCTCTATCTCTTTGTGTCTCTCATGAATAAATAAATAAAATATTTTTTTTTAATTTTAAAAAATAACAAAAAACCCAAAACCATAATGAGATACCACTTTACACTGGTGAGAATGGCTAAAATTAACAAGTCAGGAAACAACAAATATTGGTGAAGATGTGGATGAAGGGGAACCCTCTTGCACTATTGGTGGGAATGCAAGCTGGTGCACCTACTCTGGAAAACAGTGTGGAAGTTCCTCAAGAAGTTAAAAATAGACCTACCCTTTGACCCAGCAATTGCACTACTGGGTATTTACCCCTAAGGTAAAAATGTGATGAACCAAAGGGGCACCTGCACCCCAATGTTCATAGCACTGCAATGTCCACAATAGCCAAACTGTGGAAGGAGCTGAGATGTCCTTCAACAGATGAATGGATAAAGAAGATGTGGTATATGTACACAATGGAATATTACTCAGCCATCAGAAAGGACGAATACCTCCATTTGCTTCACTGTGGATGGAACTGGAGGGTATTATGCTGATTGAAATAAGTCAATTAGAGGAAGATAATTATCATATGGTTTCAATCATATGTAGAATATAAGAAATAGTGAAAGGGGCCAGAAGGGAAGGGAGGAAACTGAGTGGTGAAAAATTAAAGAGGAAGACAAACTATGAGAGACTCCTAACTCTGGGAAACAAAGGGTTGCAAAAGGGGAGGCTGATAGGGGATGGAGTAACTGGGTGATGGACATTAAGGAGGGCACATGATGAGATGAGCACTGGGTGTTATACTATATGTTGGCAAATTGAATTTAAATTAAAGAAATTAAAAAAGAAAAATTACAGATATTAAAAAAAAGAAAGGAAAGAAATATCTTCCCGCCATTCACCACAAGTAGGATGATGTTTTGTGACTAGTTTGCTAAGGCTGCCCTCACAAAATATCACAAACCCAGTAGCTTAAAAACAGAAACTTATTTTTTCACAGTTCTGGAGGCTACAAGTTCAAGATCAAGGGGTCAGCAGGGTTGATTCCTTCTGTGAGAGAATCTGTCCCATGCCTGTCTTCCATGCCCCGGTGATTTGCTGGAATCTTTGGCATTCCTTGGCTTCTGCTGGATCTATACCAGTCTCTGCCCTTGTCCCCAAATGGCTTTCTTTGTGCCTGTGTCTGTGTCTAGATTTCCCCTTTTAATAAGGACATCACTCATAATGGATTAGAGGCCCCCTCTAGTACAATTTTATCTTAACTAGTTACATCTGTAATGACCTTATTTCAAATAAGGTCACGTTCTGATGTACTAGGAATTAACATTTCAACGTAAAGATTTTGAGTGACCCAATTCAACCTATAACAATGACCCTTAAATTTGACATGAAATTACCCAATACAATGATTGTCCTCCCACCCGTGATTATTTACGTTTCTGACTTGTGTGAGTTTGTTCCTCAAGTGACCTATTTTGTAGAAGAGCTGTTCCCAGTATGTATTTGATGATTATCCCAGGTTGCCTCAGGCTCTTGTGCTCTTGTGCTCTGGTCAACCTTAAGACGAAAGATTCTGATGCATTTGCACTGTGTGTGTCCTTTTTATATTTCATGTTAAGGCAGTTCAAACCTTTCCATTTTTTGAGGAGTCAAGAGTCTTTGTTATATGTTGTCTCTATTATTTGTGGTCTGTTTATCACAAGATTTGAACTGATTGGGCTTTCAGTAAATATTGAGCAGCCTGCCAGGTCTCTGGATTGATTACAACTAGCAAGTATCACACTTAGAGGGGACTCTGAAATCCACCTCTCAGAGGTTCAACTGGATAAGATAAAGACCAATTTGTCCACAGGTCCTGTAAATGTTTACTTACTCCTGTATCGTTAATCCTTGCCTCTTCTTGGTCTGGTGTCCCCACCCCCACGCCCACTGCTTCTGCCCCAGGCAATCTGTTTGTTTCTTCAACAATGTAGCCTCCATGATGGACGAAGAAATGGAGTGAGAATTCAGACAGTGGGATATTATAAGATTTGAGAACTTTGGGGAGGGTGCTGGAGAGAAACAGGTAAGGTCTCAGTCTAGTGAACTACGCCTTGCTGCCATTATACTGAACCCCAAACTAATCCTGCCTACTTTGCATTCAGCTCTTGTGACTGAGTCGAAGTGTAAATATTCTGAAGAAAGTGATTGTTTTCCTTTTAAGTATGTGTTCTTGAAAGGTTTGCTGCTTTCTTAATTGGGACTAAATCATTCCTAAGAGTCAAAATGTTTTCCAAAGGAACAGATCTCTAACATGGCATTTACTAAAAAACATTGAGAAAATGTCTTTCAATAATGAAATCTGCTTTGCAGGAAAATATCCAGTAATTGACCACTCTGTAAAGTGGGCTATGTCTGCATAAAATGACACCTTTTCCTCAGCACCTTTTGTTTTATGGGAACAGGAGGCTGGTGCAAGCCTTCTGAAATTGCTTATAATCTCGGTGATTTAACAACTACTTTGCACCTTGAAAATGGGAGAGGAAGGAAAAAGAAAAACCCAGAAAGTTCTTACTTCCAATCTCATTAACCTAGAAAAGTTGGTTCTATATGCACACCTGGTAGGCATAGAAACAAAATTGAAATGCAAGCAAGCCAATCAGAAGGTTACTTAAATTAAATTTGGAATAGATTTGCTCTAACCGTCTGGTTCTACTCCATTAGGTCTTAGAAAAACTTTAATTTAGGGGGAGGGAGTGGGCAAGAGGGAGAAGGGGTACTATAATTTTTTTAAAATGATTCTTACAATAAGAGGGCAATTAGTTGGGACTTGGCATTTTTTGCATGTATCAGATTTTTATTTGAATAATGCTGAACTTTTTGGACTTTGAGAGTCAAAACAGTTCTTTGAACATTAAACTTCTTAGCATTCAAGAACTTTCTTCACTGTCTGGTCTCTTATCCCTTCATGCCAGGTTTATTACAAAAGCTGCCTATGCAGTCTCTCTACTTCTAGCCTCTTTACCAGTCTTCCTGGGCCCTTAAATCTTCCTGCATAACACTGAGATAGATTTTTCTAAGCCCTCATTTTCAAGAGTCTTCCCTATTGCCTATGGTTTAGAGCCTGAATCCAGCCACCTGGTGTCCAGGGTTCTCCGCTCCCTGGCCACAGACTGCCCCCTGCTTTCTTACCACCTCTCTGATGTGAGCTCCGCTGCAGCCAGCTAATTCGCTCATTCTCTATGCAAGGCCTTGGCTCTGCTACCTTCCTGCCTTTGCTTATGCTGTTTTCTCACTCCCTCCCTCCAAAACCTTCCAACTCTGGAGCCTCCATACATGTCGTATTTACCATCTAGTCTGTATCTTGGCAGCTAATCATATGTAGCCTTGAATAGTGGACTCTTCTGGCATTTACATCTTCTCTTTTCCAAGATATTTTAAATTCCTTTATATCAGGGTTTGCTGATGTTATACCCGTGGTATCCTCCATAGCATCTATAGCAAAGGTAAGTACGTAATAGATACAAAATGTATATTTTGATGGGTCGATCTGTCCACCTATGAGGTGGGAGTTATATGGAAATTTATGTTTGGTGTTTCAACTTCTGTTTTTGCAAAGACTAGGAAAGTAATTGATTTATGAATTCACTTGATACTGAAAACTTAACAAACCACCTGTCAGCCTGGTTTTTTTAAATTAAATTATTTCAAATACACTTCATTTTTTTCCCTCTAAGTGCAGCCAGGAGTGAAATAAGTGAACAGTTTCATCTTTCCATTGGATTCTGTGGGGGATTGAGGAAACTTTGATTAGATCATGAAATCTGTATGTGACACATCTTCAAAAAGGAGGCTGTCATATAGATGGCACAATAGAGAGGCATAAATCTGCAGCAAACAATGTGCATGGAGAAAGGATTCCAGATTTTCAGAAGAGAAAGCTAGAAAAAAAAATGTTTGACTGCTTATACATAGATGGGTTTATGGGAATAAAAGCCCTCAAATAGCCAATGAATAAATGCCAGGGAGTAAAAGCTTTCAAAACTTAGTCCTAGAAAGTTAAACCATAAATTTGTTCACTTTTTTTCCCCTTCAACTTGAGCCTTTTTTTCTCTACAAAATAGTACTTTTTTTTTTTTTTCCTTCCACCACCTTGTCTTCTAAATAAACTAAGGGCGTTATCCTGTAATCTGCGTCATGGAAACTAGTCAGGGTTAGACAATCTTACAAGTTTCTTCCAGCTTGAATATTTGTGTTTCTGGGGTTCCATTGTGTCCCATCTTCACAGTGACAGAATGGCTCTGGATGTGCTTGTAGCATCAAAACGGTTCGGTGTTTGGTTCACAAAGTTACTATGAACCAAGCTTGACTGTAGCTGCATGAGCAGGGGCAGACAGAAAGAGAAAAAAAAAATTGGCTCAGTCTGTTTCTAAAACCCCCAGCCCATAAATCCTCTCGAGGAGGATATCAAATATTGAGTATTACATCATTAGAAAAAGCATTTGTGGGCTAGAAGGATCTCAGGAAGTCAAGCACCCGATGGAGGCAGCTGTCTTTAGAAATCAATCATTTCAAGGATTCCATGAATAGCATGAAGTACCACCCAATAATCACTTTTAACTGTCTGTACAAACCTCTTAGGATTTTTGAAACTATTACGATTTGAATATTACAGTACTTGTTTCTTGAGAAGGGGCAGGTCGGGGGAAAAAATTAAGTCTTGGATCTCATCTCCTAACCATTTTTGTTGTCGTTGTTCATCCTTTGCATAATGCAGCTTACTTTTTTTGTTACAGTGTTTGCATTGAAACGGAATCATCATTGTCCGGGAACAAACGTGGTCTTTTAATATTATTTGGGAGAACAGCAGGACTTCAGTGAGTTGGTAGCAGTACAATAGCTCACTTAGGCTACTGCAGCCGAGCTGTAGACATGTTAATTAATATATTTCTCTGACACCTAGGTGATTGAAATAGCAATTAAAGAGTAATTAAAATGTTTACTTCTTGTAGGAATGTCAACTAAGATGTGGAATATAGCAATTACCTATGACGGATTAGAGGAAGACGATGAGGCCTTTGAAGTAATTCTGAACTCCCCTGTGAATGCAGTTCTTGGCACCAAGACAAAAGCTGCAGTGAAAATTTTGGACTCAAAAGGAGGTATTCTTTTGATCCTCATCTTGAAATCAGGAGCGGTCCTGGCGCATAGCTGCTTGCTTTCAACAGCCAATGTGCTTGATAACGCCTTCAAATCAAAATGCTTAATTTCTTGTCAAGAAAGCAACCTCAGTCATATTGTAGGTCCTTTATTCTGGTTTCTGCTTCATATGGTTTTCCTCCCGCTAAGAGCTAGCGTTTGAGAAAAGCAACAAGTCAGTGGCATAGTTGGTTTCGTTTTTTTTTTCCCTACCCGTTTGTTGTTCTCACCAAGGGGGAAACAACATTGGTGAGAATCTATCGACAATTATTTTCCCCCAGCATTTGTGGGGCTGTAATTATCTTCCTCTGTTGAAGAGAGCTCTTAATGCCTCAAATCTGAGCCCCCACTGTAGTGTGACCAGGAAAATTCTGAGAGGAAGGAATGGAGAAAAATAGATGTGAAAGATACAGCTGGCTGGGGGATTCGAGAGCAGCTGGAGAATATTAATGAATAACCTCGGGTTGTGGAGCCAAGTAGGTCCTGGATGATATATGCAAAAGAACAACCTGTGAACTAAATAAAATAAAACCAAGCACAGTCCTTGGTGCTCTGATTTTTTTTTTTCCTGCCAAAGACTTTCTACTTAGGTGTCTATTTAGCATTTGACGAGTGTCCAGTTACCATGTGTGGACTTAGACCTATGAGGTTACACCTGCCGTACCCGTGGTACATTTTCCCCACCTGAAATTCACTCTCACCTCTTCTCTTTCTCATCCTGTAATAAAGATAACCACTATCCCCTTTCCTTTATAATACTCATATTTCAACAATGTCTTCCCCCACCACATTTAAGGCCAAATTCATTCCTTTTTCAGTAGACTTTTCTGGTCACAGTTAGTACATAAAATAAATGAAAATACACACTTTACACATGAAGTACAAAATGTCCACACGAGGGTCGTGGGTTGAGATATTTGTCATACTAACTGGAAATGTTTCCAATAGAAGTCCCTCCATTAAGATTTCCTGGATCTTTGTTCTGTAACAGTTGAATGCTAATTTTTATAACTGTTACTTGATTTCACTTCTTCAAACAATTCCAGTTTCTACCTGTAGGAGACTGGGGAAAGGATGAACACTTTGAAGTGTTTATAGAATGATACTTGATCAGTGAATTAATCTGTGGAATGCTGTGACATGAAGAAAGGTGAGGCAGTTTCCCCAGTATATGGTATGATTAGAAAATTATGACAATGGTTTTCATCTGTGGTTTGTGAAATCAATTTCATGACTTTATAATCACCCTGTAGAGGTGCAGAAGGGCACAGCTCTCCTGCATGGAAACTGATGAAGAGTAAAGGAGTTTCTGGCAAATGGCAAAAAGGCAACATCTGGTGGGAAAACCATCCATCTAAGTTTAATGACAAGTGCTGCAGGGGCTGTGTCGATGTGATCACTTATCTGTTTGTGTACAATGAACTGACCTGCCATCTTTCATGCCTCCAGGACAGTGTCATCCTTCATATTCCTTCAACCCAAACAAGCACAATGCAAGGGAGAAGGGCATTTGGCACCCGCTGTCCCCAGGGTCTTCCTCATCCACCACTTCTGGTTCCTTTCATCTGGAAAGAAGACCCCTTCCATCTTCCAAGCGGCCAGCAGTCACTAGGGGAGACACCGGGCAGGGCTTTGATTCTGCAGATCCGTCTCGTATGAAGCTTAGGACCCAAGGGAATGGCAAAACAGTGAGGATGGGGACTTCTGGGATGTGGTGTGTGGAGTACATTGTAAAACAATAAAAAAAAAATTAATAAGTGTTCTGAAACACTGAAGAAGCTGATTTGCATAATGAAGGGGAGCCATGATTCCTTTCACAAGTATGCAATTCCCCTCCTTTTTTAAAGATTTTGTTTTTAAGCAATCTCTACATCCAACATGGAGCTTGAACTTACAGCCCTGAGATCAAGAGTCTCATGTTCCAGGCGGCCCCGGTGGCTCAGCGGTTTAGCGCCGCCTTCAGCTCAGGGCCTGATCCTGGAGACCCAGGATCGAGTCCCATGTCGGGCTCCCTGCATGGAGCCTGCTTCTCCCTCTGCCTCTCTCTCTCTCTCTCTCTCTCTCTCTCTGTGTGTGTGTGTGTGTGTGTGTGTGTGTCTCATTAATAAATAAATAAAATTTAAAAAAAAAAGAATCTCATGCTCCACCAACTAAGCCAACCAGGTGCCCCAAGGCAGTGCCTTTTGTATACAGATATCATAATGCTGCCCGCTTCCTTAATCTGTACTAATTGAGGTGATAGATATACTGACCCATCCATATGATTTCTGCTTTGGTTCCTTTTGTGATCAAAGCAGGGAATAACCAGTGACCCTGGAACAGAATGAGATTAAGTGATCTATGAGTGTGGCAACCGCGGCTTTGACCTTTATTATTAGCACAGGATTCTAATTGGCACACACTCATGAGTGTATGTGTGTGAATGTTTTCTTGGACCTCTGTGTACTATAGATATATCAAGAAAATAAAGAAGTCTTTTCTCTATAACTGAAACTTTGAATGTATGAATCAATACTGGTAAGTGGTGATTGGGTCCAGTGATTTTTAAAAATTCTAATGATTTGGGCATGTAAAGTCTTAGGACATAAAACATATGTTTTAACATTTTTTAGACACAAGATCTTACTGAAAGGGTTTTACCCTGTTGCTAGTTATTATTCAAGCCAATTTTACTCATATGTTGTATTTTGTTGATTTCAGGTTCTTCCATCCTCTGTTTATAGAAATGGAACCGACATCATCTATCATGTAAGTGTAATCTGAGAAACTTGCTAAATTTCTTGTATTTGTGGATGCAAAGTAGTCAGTGAAACTATTTTTTAATGTCTTCCATATTTATGTATTTCTCTTAAAGGCCTGTTTTAACATTTGCTTCTGAGGCTTGGGTGTTCAGGAAGAAAACCTTTTATCTTTCTGCTGTAGCCCAATTTTTTGATTGTTCATTTTTCCAGCAGACGTTTTTGTTTGCTACCTGGCTATTTGCTTTCTCTTTATTGGTGTTTTCTGGTTTCCTCAAGTATAATGGAATGGTTTCCCAGAAGCTGGAGGGAGACAGTTCTCCGTCTCGCAAAAGGAAGGCCAAAGTAGCCATCACCAGTCAGCCACAAAAGACAAGCCAAGTGGCAGCGCTGCCTCAAGCAGATAAGATGGAATCCACAAGTGACTCACACTTTTCCAGACAGGTAGGAAAATCTCTTTACTTCCTATTCATCTTACAACAGGCTATTTGCTGGGCCACAAAACAGCCTTCAGGCTTGGGGATCCTTTGCTGAACACAAAGGCTACCCAACAAATGAAGACCTCAAGGAGGTGAGTGAGCGACCCAGCTTCTTTACGTCAAATCTGCAATCCCTCTCCTTCCCATAGGACCGATTGCCCTCAATTCCAAAGGACTGCACACCGGAATTAAAGGGACTTCTCCACTTCCACGAAAGCCTCCGGAAACTGTACAAGTGTGATGGAATTACCTGGAAAGCCTGGAGCCCCCAAACCGAGGTGGGACACAGGATGAGCCGCAAAGTATCTTTGTGCGATGCTCTGCGGTAAGCCAAGGGATGGGAAATGATCTGACTACTCATGCTAGGTCTACCTGCCTTGGAAGGTGAAGAGGCAAACAGGCCTGAGTGGTATTTTATGAATCACAAACCACGATCGTTAATCGATGCAATTTAAGAAGGTCATCAGAATGTTAAAAGTGCAAAATGAAACAGTGTCAACTTTAGTAGTGTTTTCTGTGAAAAGCCATCACACTTCTCAAGGTGTAGCATTGGGATAACGGCTGACCTCCTTTCTGGTGCCAGAACCACTCTAGTCAAGCCGGGGGACTCATAGGACTCCTTATGCTGAGAGCAGATTCTAGATTTTAAAGACCGTTCTGTTGTGAACATGAACAACTGTATTTCAGGAGGTGGAAGGTGAAGCCTGCCCAGCTGGGTGGCACCATCATTCAGGCTACTGCCACTCTTTGGTCACAGAGCAGAAGGGCACCTGGAGCACTGCTGCCCAAGCTTGCAAGGAACAGTAAGAAACCCTATTTCACCTTAATTAGTGTTTTCTTCCCTCCTGTCTCTTTTCTCACCCAGCTGCAGGGTCACTTCATTCATTCGAGTGCTAAGTGTCTGATATCTACTTGGTTTGGTTTCAGGAACCCTAGGAGAGTTCCGTAGTCCAGAATGGATCTGAGATTGAGCTTAATAGTATATTTTGATGTATCTCTTTATGTGACAACTGTGCCGTTGCTGAAATTCTATTTTTTTAGCATTTCCTGATCTTTTGAAGAAAGGCAGAAGGAGCTTTTCCAAGTCAGCAGCACTGCAGGTTTTGTCTTCTTTTTTTTTTTTTTAATTAAATAGGGATTCCTGCCCACTAATCTGAAAATACATAGCAATGAAAGGTCCTAAGGTATCAGACCTATGACAGTGTAAGAGACATTGATGGTTATGAAACCAGACAAGTTGGACAAAGGGTCAGTGGATAATGGAACACTTAGTGAAGGATGACTTGTGATCAAATAATGACAACAAAATTTATCTAGCCTGGAAGGACTTTAAAGATGCATAAATACCTATCCCTGATACCACCCCTGCTTTTTGCCCACCTATAGGCATATAACTCTAACACTATAGTCACCTATAGTATATAACTCTCCAGAACAATGCAATTAGACTAAGATCCCCCATGGTTGGAAATTGAGACTAAAGAAGTCTCTAGTGAATAGCAGTCAGATCTTGCACTTTATCAAATTCAAAAATTTATGCTCATCTAAAAACACTGTAGAGAGTGAAAGAGCAGGGCACCTGTGGGGCTCAGTGGTTGAGCGTCTGCCTTCAGCTCAGGGCATGATCCTGGGGTCCTGGGATTGAGTGCCACATAGGGCTTCCCTCAGGGAGCCTGCTTCTCTCTCTACTTATGTCTCTGCCTGTCACCCCGTGTCTCTCATGAATAAATAAATAGAATCGTTATTAAAAAGAAAGTGAAAGAGCACACCACATTTGGGAAAGCTAATCTCCAGTTGTCCATCTGATCTAGGTCTCAAATAGAGAAAATACAAACGCTTCCTATAAATCAATAACAAAAAGACAACCTGATTTAAAGAATAGCAAAGCGGGGATGCCTGGGTGGCTCAGAGTTTGAGCATCTGCCTTTGGCTCAGGTTGTGATCCTGGAGACCTGGGATCAAGTCCCACGTTGGGATCCCTGCATGGAGCCTGCTTCTCCCTCTGCCTATGTCTCTGCCTCTCTCTCTCTGTGTGTGTCTTTCATAAATAAATTAAAAAATCTAAAACAAATAGCAAAGGACTTGAAGATTTCATCAGAAAAGATATATAATTGGTCGATAAGTGCATGAAAAGATGTACCACCAGGGAAGTGTGAATGAAAACCACAATGAAATACCACTTCAGACTCACTATAAAATCACAAAGACTGGGATCCCTGGGTGGCGCAGCGGTTTAGTGCCTGCCTTTGGCCCGGGGCACGATCCTGGAGACCCGGGATCAAATCCCACGTCGGGCTCCCTGCATGGAGCCTGCTTCTCCCTCTGCCTGTGTCTCTGCCTCTCTCTCTCTCTCTGTGACTATCATGAATAAATAAATGAAATCTTTAAAAAAAAAAAAAAATCACAAAGACTGACGTTACCAAATGCTGCAGAGCAAATGGAGTTCTCATGTTTGCTGGTGGAAGTGAAAATGGTACAACCACTTTGTAGTGCCATTGGGCAATTTCTTATAAAGTTATGTGCATTTTCCTATGACCTAACATCTCTCCTCCTAGGTATTTACCCAAGAGAAATAAAAATATATTGCTAGAGGAGAACCTAGCTAGTGCAGTTGGAGGAGCATGTTACTCTTGATCTTGGGGTTATGAGTTTGAGCCCCACGTTGGGAGTAGAGATTACTTAAATAGATAAAATTTAACCAAAAAATATGCACTAAAAATACATTTACAAGAATTCATAGCAACTTTTTAAATAATAATAGTTTGCATCATTTGTCTTTTTGTTGTTGATTTATGAGGGTTCTTTATATTTTCTCCATCAACAAGGAAACACATTTTCTTGACAATTTATTTTATAAATGATAAAATGGAATGAACTACTAAAACTTCCAACCATGCGAATAAATCTCAAAAACATGTAGAGAGGAAGCAAGCCAACATAAAAGAGTACATATTATATGATTTCATTTATATGAATAGGAAAAGCTAATGTTAGTTGGTGTTAGAAAAAAAAACAATTATCTCTGGGAGGGATTGTAGGGTGACTAAAAAGCACGAGGTAAATTCTAGAATGATGGAGATATTCTATGTCTTGCTCTGGGTGGTTCTTAAATGGATATACACAATTGTCAAAATTCATTGAATTGAGTACTTAAAAATTTATGCATTTTACTGTATGCAAAATATAACTAGATTTTTATTTTTTAGAAGATTTATTTATTTATTTATTTATTTATTTATTTGATATAGAGAGAGAGAGAGAGCATGCAAGAGCAGGGTGGGGAGGAACAGAGGGAGAGGAAGAGAGAATCTTAAGCAGACTCTGTGCTGACTATGGAGCCCAACACAGGGCTTGATCTCACAACCATAAGATCACCACCTGAGCTGAAACCAAGAGTTGGGCACTTAACTGACCATGCCACCCAAGCACCCCATAACTAGATTTTTATAAAGCTAATAAATATTTTAAAAGTTTGGGGCATCAGGGTGGCTCAGTCGGTTAAGCATCTGTCTCTGGCTCAGGTCATGACCCCAAGGTCATGTGATCAAGCCCTGCATTAGGCTCCCTGCTCAGTGGGGAGTCTGCTTCTCCCTCTTCATCTGCCCCTCTCCTCTACTTATGCTCACTCAAGTGTGCTTTCTCAAATGAGTAAATAAAACCTTTAGAAAAATATATATTAAGTCTTTTAAAAAACTGGTCAAATCTACCACCCTTTTTTTACTGATGTATTTCATATCTTAAGTATAAGTAAGAGTCTATAGAGGTTAATAGGTGTCTTTCAGGTTTTTGTTGATGAGCAGGTGATATAAAATAAGTTAAACTATTTTTTAAGATTTTATAAATAATTATTGTTTAAATACATATGTTCCCATAATGCTGTATGTTAAGGAACAATGAAGACATTCTTCCAAATTACTGGGTGTCCTACTTTTATTTAAAATTTGCCTTGATGCATTGATAGCTCAGGTAGGAATAGCAGTATAGAGTTTTTTTCTCCTTGAGGAAAGAGCTCTGGTGCAGAATGAAAAGCTCTCTGATGTAGCAAGAAGACTGCAATATATTATGAAGAGGAGAGTATGGTTTCTATGATGACAAAAATGAGGGGGAGTACAGAAGTGCAGGTATACTGTAGCCAAGGTTACTATAATCAAACTGCCACTGGGATTTGTTGGTAAAATACAGATGAACAGAGCAACAGAACTTCAGACCTTAAGTTTGAAGGTAGCCTTATTGTTTGTCTTCCAGTGGTACTAAATGACAGTGCAAGTAACTCCTCTGGCCTCTAATGAAACTTTAACTGGTTGGTTCTTCATATTATGAGAAAAGTAAAGACAACGTGTATTAAGTGGTATCTTTCCATCCATTCATCAATGTTGGCATAAGGTCACCAAGTATCTTTTCTTAGAAGAGCTGTTCTTTACTCTGATATTATGATCTTCTAGCCTTTTGAGAAATGACTCAAAACTCATGTCTTTTGAAATAATGGCAATTTTTATAGTAGTATTGATATTCAGGGTGACCAACCTACATTAGTCCCCCAATATATTTTTTATTTTATTGATCCATCTAATTGCAGCTGGGTTTTAATAGTGAGTACAAAGAGTAGGAAGACTAGTTATACATCTATTAATCTCATCATAAATCTGTTAATATTATACAATTCACTCATCCCAGTAATAAACTTGAGGCCCAAATTAATTTAAAAGTCTAGCTACTTCCTCATGCATTTGACCTGAGATGTCATCTGCAACTTGGCTTTAAGCGCGTTTATACCCTGACCCTTTTACAGAAGGCTGACCTAGTTTGACGTGCCTCCCTGCCAATAAAACCTTCCGTGTATATTACACTGTATGGTTTACAGAATTCTTTCACGTACCACGTATATTGGCTTATTTGATCCTCCATCACTTCTGTGAGGGAATCAGGTATTATTATCTACATTCTTCAGATAAAAGAGATTTGGGGAAGCAAGATCACTTGCTTGTGGCTCTAAGCAAGTAAGTGGAAGCAACAGGACTTCATTTTCTATGATACTCTCCAAAATAGCTCCATAAAGATCTGTGACGAGCACACCTATGTTAATTTTGTGTTGAACTAACTTAAAGTAGGTTTAAAAACTATGTATTAGTATTTTGTATCTTTCACATCAAAGACATATTATAATTTTTATTAAATTATAGGACCTAAGTGTCTTTTGGATTGAAATCAAAGTAACCTTTCAGAGCAAACTGAAGGTATAATCAGGTTCTCTGTTTATAAATTCATTCCTTCAACAAATATTTGTTTGGACAATTAATGTACTGGAAATGTCTAGACCAGCCTGTGTCTTAAAGTATTATCCCCCAGTACTGGCCCCACAACTAAATCATTCTTCATTCATCAATGAGCTTCAGAGAAATTGACACCATCTCTCTCCAGATGCAGCTGTCCTGTATGGTGTCTTTGAACCCTGCATTTTACATCAGTAACATGTCATACAATCCTGACAATTCCTTCTCACATCTTCTTCTCACAAAGCTCTGTTAAGAATGTAGAAGTCACTGGGGCACCTGGGTGGCTCAGTCGGTTGAGCATCAGACTCTTGGTTTCGGCTCTGGTCGCGATCTCAGGGTCATGATCTCAGGGTCAAGAGATTGGACCCTGCATGAGGCCACCGATCAATGGGGAGTCTCCTTGAGATTCTCTCTCTCCTTCTGTCCCTTGCCCTGCTGTCTCTCTATCTATAAATAAATAAATAAATAAATAAATAAATAAATAAATAAATAAATCTTAAAGAAAAAGGAATGCAAAAGTTGCTGAATTT